TACTAGCAGACGTAGACATACCTAGGGTGGGCCCTAAAGTGTGCATGCATACCTATAGACCCCTGTTTTGGTGTAGCAAGCGTAGTTGGCGTAGTCAACATACTATCATGTGGTTATTTGCAATAAAATACCCGTAGCAGACGTAGCTATACCTAGGGTGGACCATGACAGTGTGTATGTATACCTAGAGACCAATGTTTTGGTGTAGCAAGCGTAGTTGGCGTAGTCAACATACTATCATGTGGTTATTTTCAATAAAATACCCGTAGCAGACGTAGCTATACCTAGAGTGGACCATGAGAGTGTGTATGTATACCTATAGACCAATGTTTTGGTGTAGCAAGCGTAGTTGGCGTAGTCAACACACTATTATGTGGTTATTTGGAATAAAATACCCGTAGCAGACGTAGTTATACCTAGGGTGGACCATGCCAGTGTGTATGTATACCTATAGACCAATGTTTTGGTGTAGCAAGCGTAGTTGGCGTAGTCAACATACTATCATGTGGTTATTTTCAATAAAATACCCGTAGCAGACGTAGCTATACCTAGGGTGGACCATGACAGTGTGTATGTATACCTATAGACCACTGATTTGGTGTAGCAAGCGTAGTTGGCGTAGTCAACATACTATCATGTGGTTATTTGCAATAAAATACCCGTAGCAGACGTAGCTATACCTAGGTTGGACCATGACAGTGTGTATGTATACCTAGAGACCAATGTTTTGGTGTAGCAAGCGTAGTTGGCGTAGTCAACATACTATCATGTGGTTACTTTCAATAAAATACCCGTAGCAGACGTAGCTATACCTAGGGTGGAGCATGACAGTGTGTATGTATACCTATAGACCAATGTTTTGGTGTAGCAAGCGTAGTTGGCGTTGCCAACATACTATGATGTGGTTATGTTCAAAAAATACCCGTAGCAGACGTAGTTATACCTAGTCTGGACCCTACAGGGTGTATGCTTGTTTTGGTGTAGCAAGCGTAGTTTGCGTAGTCAACATACTATGATCTGGTTATTTTCAATAAAATACCCGTAGCAGACGTAGGTACACCTAGGGTGGGCCCTACAGTGTGTATGCATACCTATAGACTCATGTTTTTGTGTAGTTGGCGTAGTCAACATACCATACTATACTGGGCTTATTTTCAATAAAATACCCGTAGCAGACGTAGCTATACCAAGCATGGACCATGACATACCTGTATACTCCTTCTTATGTGTAGCAAGCGTAGTTGTATTTTGTACATAATGTACGTTGTCAATTCTAATGTACGTTGTCTCAATGCTCGTACCTCAATTCACAGTTAACCCTAATAGTAATGCAGGCAAAGTATTTTTCATCACGTTAACTTGGAAATTAGAGCGGGGGGTGTCAGATTCATGTCATATTGAAACTTAACAATTACAGTCAGTTTACACTTGACACAAGTTGCCGCTCCCTCATCGTCAGGTTATAATTATTGTGATTTGCACCTAGAACGCATCCGACACCTTATAATTCAGTTATATTGCAAGTACGAAGCACGGATGTGGTATTTTTCTTGTACGATGAATAAAATTCCTCGCAAAAAGTCTGTAATGACTGCGGGTCATTTTCAAACGTTATTTCTAGAGTTGATTATGCAACCAAGTGGCTCGATGCAGTAATCGCTAGCACTGAGATTGGATTGAATAGTGTATTAAAATGCTAGTCAACGTGTTTGATAACTTTGATTGGACACTTTAGATATTTAGCTTATTAATTTTGTATATATATAGTGTTCACTGTCCATCCATTGAGACACAAGAGTGTGTTATTTTCTGTACGCGTGGATATAATTTATAAGTTTACACTCATCGTCAAAATCCTGTCTTTTTATACGTTTTAAACTTATATCTCAATTAAAACTTTCATAACATGTATTTCATGTATAATTCACTCGTCCGTGTTATGAAGCACGTTAAGGGTCTTTTATTGAAACTAACCACATCATAGTATGTACTGTGTTGACTACGCCAACTACGCTTGCTACACCAAAATATGAGTGTATAGGTATACACACACACTGCCATGGTTCACTGTGGGTATAGCTACGTCTGCTACGGGTATTTTATTGGAAATAACCACATCATAGTATGTTGACTTCGCCAACTACGCTTGCTACACCAAAACATTGGTCTCTAGGTATACATACACACTGTCATGGTCCACCCTAGGTATAGCTACATGTACGTCTGCTACGGGTATTTTATTGAAAATAACCACATGATAGTATGTTGACTACGCCAACTACGCTTGCTACACCAAAACATTGGTCTATAGGTATACATACACACTGGCATGGTCCACCCTAGGGATAGCTACGTCTGCTACGGGTATTTTATTGAAAATAACCACATGATAATATGTTGACTACGCCAACTACGCTTGCTACACCAAAACATTGGTCTATAGGTATACATACACACTCTCATGGTCCACCCTAGGTATAGCTACGTCTGCTACGGGTATTTTATTGAAAATAACCACATGATAGTATGTTGACTACGCCAACTACGCTTGCTACACCAAAACATTGGTCTATAGGCATACATACACACTGTCATGGTCCACCCTAAGTATAGCTACGTCTGCTACGGGTATTTTATTGAAAATAACCACATGATAGTATGTTGACTACGCCAACTACGCTTGCTACACCAAAACATTGGTCTATAGGCATACATACACACTGTCATGGTCCACCCTAGGTATAGCTACGTCTGCTACGGGTATTTTATTGCAAATAACCACATGATAGTATGTTGACTACGCCAACTACGCTTGCTACACCAAATCATTGGTCTATAGGTATACATACACACTGGCATGGTCCACCCTAGGTATAGCTACGTCTGCTACGGGTATTTGATTGAAAATGACCACTTCATAGTATGTTGACTACGCCAACTACGCTTGCTACACCAAAACATTGGTCTATAGGTATACACACACACTGCCATGGTGTACCCTGGGTATAGCTACGTCTGCTACGAGTATTTGATTGAAAATGACCACTTCATAGTATGTACTGTGTTGACTACGCCAACTACGCCTGATACACCAAAACATGAGTCTATAGGTATATATATACTCTGTAGGGTCACCTTATGTACAACTACGTCTGCTACGGGTATTTAATTGAACAAAAACAGTATAGTATGTTTAATACGCCAACTACGCTTGCTACACCCAAACATGAGTCTATAGGTATACCACACACTGCCATGGTGTACCCTGGGTATAGCTACGTCTGCTACGAGTATTTTATTGAAAATGACCACTTCATAGTATGTACTGTGTTGACTACGCCAACTACGCCTGCTACACCAAAACATGAGTCTATAGGTATACACATACACTGTAGGGTCACCCAGTGTACAACTACGTCTGCTACGGGTATTTAATTGAACAAAAACAGTATAGTATGTTTACTACGCCAACTACGCTTGCTACACCTGAGTCTATAGGTATACACACACACTGCCATGGTGTACCCTGGGTACAGCTACGTCTGCTACGGATATTTTATTGAAAATGACCACTTCATAGTATGTACTGTGTTGACTTCGCCAACTACGCCTGCTACACCAAAACATGAGTCTACAGGTATACATACACACTGTAGGGTCACCCTTGTGTACTGCTACGTCTGCTACGTGCATTTATTTGAAGAAAAACAGTATGGTATGTTTACTACGCCAGCTACGCTTGCTACACGGAAACATGAGTCTCACACACTGTCATGGTTCACCCTAGGCCTACGCCAACTACGCTTGCTACACCAAAACATGACCAGGGTACATTGCCGCGTGATTTTACATGTTGGTTGCGCTTTCTACACATGTGCGAGCCTACCAAAGCCACATTTGTCTGCATGTTACAGAAATCATCACGAAATATGTTCACCTATCTATGGGATTGTAACATGGGCATGTTATATTGATACATGTCAAGTAGGTGATCACCGCACACGTGCCCACTGTTTACAACAACGACCAATCAGATAGGTTTATTTTTTTACATCGGGCTGCGCATACGTATTGGGTTGTACTAAATACCACCTAGGTGCCCCACACCTAGGTGCCCCCATTGAAATGCCTTACTGGCATATTTTACTACTTTATTTCAAGCTAACATCTTTCCAAGTGTTTAATGGTACATAATAAAGTATTTTTATGGAACTTGTGTAGATATTTCTGTTCGTCATTATCTTTTTAATTGTCTTGAAAATTTTGATCGTTGTCGAAAAGGCCATTTGTTAGGATAATATTTCATTATTTGCCCACTAAAAATGCTACAGATTCACTATTTTAGCAACTCAAGTAAGAACAATAAATATATTTCAAATATAACATTTTAGCATTAAAACAGTTTTATTACTACAAATAAGTGACCATACATACATGAACAAAATTCCAGGTGGCCATCTAACAATAAATCTTTTTACATTTCATTGCACTATTTTACATTTCTTTGCAATATTCTCGACTACAAATTATTATTTCAAGTCTATTATATGTCAAGGTAATATGACAAAGGAAATAATACTATATTTAAAATGTGTATGTGGTTTAGAATGGAATTATAAATCCAGGTGCCCAAGGGGACACCTAGGTGATATTTAGTAACACCCTACGTATTGGAGGAAGTGGATGGTTCGAGTGTGAATTTGGACCAACTTTTGCAAGTTTTACCAGGAAATCACCTTTCATTTGGTATGTTAATAACGTTTTTTATCGTATTGGGTATGTAAGAATCATATGCATGTCGAATTATTAGCATGAATGTCACAGTTTGAACGATAAATTGAAATATAGATCTAACACTTCCGGAAAATATTGTCACAAACGCCTTGTGCACTTTCCTCTACTATTAGAGATCTATTTCACTATATTTTTAGAATATACCATTGATAGTGCTGACTGTGTAGTCCACAGTCTATTAGGGCAGTTTGGCCGACATGCCACAGTTTTTCCTATTCAGAAACAAATATTAGGTTATTCATGAAATAAAATGTATTCATTGTCGAATGAACGAACATGCATTTATTCAGTCCGTATTTAACGTTTACTTCCCTTTTAAATTTGCGGCAAGAAATCAAAAACTGAAAATATGACAAGTAAGGTTAGAACATACATTCCCGAATGGGAAACAGAGTTTGATTGGTTATATCCAGTCAGGAAAGAAAACTCAAATATTATTATCGGAATGAAGTGTGTCATTTGTACGCGATGTTCCAAAGGAAACAAATTCGCCCAAGAAACAGGATGTGCAGAATTCCAACATTCTTCATTAACAAGGCATGCCACCTCAAAACAACACAATGATGCCAAAAGTGCTATGAGGATGTCAGAGACATTCCACAAATCGAGAGATACAGCTCAGAAACTCTCCAATGATAGCATGAGTATACAATTTAAAACAGTATATTTTACATTGGAAAGTAGGGCGAAGGGGTGTAACGTCGACACCATTTTGGGGTAACTTCGACATGTGGGGTAACTTCGACACCTTGTTGTTTATTTGCTTTAATTTCCGATCTAGGGGGAAGCCATGTTTTTTTTCTCACATGGATCGAGATCTCGCGAGATTTTAATTTTTCCAGAAATCAAACATGGCGGAAAATGGAAATTCTACTTCTAATACGGAAGTGTCGAAGTTACCCCGTCTATTATGTCGACATTACCCAACACGTCGACATTACACCCCTTTGCCCTAGTTCAACGTCGTTAAACTCAATAACGGCGTTCTTTACTATTAGGAATTTTCTTGGGGCCGTTATTGAGTTTAACCTCTTTGCTATTCTTTCCTTTGATGCAAGTTCTGGATCCATCGAAACCATTTTGCCGCGATAACGTGCAATTGATACTTGACAATAATATAAAAACACATAACATCAAGCGATTTAACACAATATTATTGCGTTAAATGTTCATTTATACTCGTAAAATGAGGCTACACTTACCGATCTCTAAAATGACATTTCCGCATGTCCGTCATTGTGTCTGTTCGTCCGAGTGTCCCGGATCGTAAAATTAAACTACTAGCGAAACGAAATTGTTGTCAAATAGATTGATAATTATTATCGCGATAAATCGCATTAAAAGATAAATTTTGAGGAAAGCAGGTATCTTTGCAGTGATCTCCCCAGGATTTTTTCATAGCAGGGGGGGATTTTTTAACAAGTTTCGCCGCTCGCTTCGCTCGCATGATTTTTGTGCCAATTTTTGCCGCTCGCTTCGCTCGCTATATAAACACAAATTCTCATTTAGAAAACCTTTTATTTAACAATACATGATAATATGCTTGTAGTGTCATGAGTATTCATTGTTCATTGTGTTTCCTAAAAGTCTTCTGTCCCTACATCTTCTGGGGTGCATGTCAAACAACCTCCCCCATGCTGCCTCAAAATCGAACACCTCTTCCCTTGGTCCATTTATGATTATGTTGAGGACCCTGTCCACTGTTTCTACTTTCATTCTATTCTTTAGATAAGTCTTTTTAATTTTATTCATTTTTTTGAGTTTCCCGCATAAAGAACCGGAAGTCGAACTTCTTTATCATGACAACCATCAAAAGCAAGATTTAAACATTAATTCGTTCGCAATTATAATAACTATTAATAAAAAATAATACTTCATTGTCAAATTGTAGTTTTAGTCGTTTTTATGTTTGTTTTATTCCAAATTGGCGATTTTGATGATCGGTGATCATATCACTCCGCGTTGCAGTATAGGGGTAATCTGCGCCAGGTTCAACTGTTAACTTTTTCTAATTTTCTGAACGCACGCATCAAATGAACGATTTTGATAGGTTAGAATGTTTTGGGCGCATGCGCATACGTAGTCAAATCAAGTGATCGAACCGAACCTAGGGCAGATTATGTCGATGACGCACGATTAGTAATAGATAATTTGATTGGATATTTCGTAACTAATCATGAGTTTTGAGCCAATCAGAAGACATTTAAGATTCGGCCGTCGGAATGGCAAATCGGGAAAAACTTTTTGAAAATTTTTTGAATTTTATGTGATTTCGTCGAATATCCAGGAGAATAAAATAATGTACGTAAGTTTTGAAGTAGCGGGGCGCTAAGCAGGGCGGGCGAAGCAAGCAGGGGGGGAACAGGGCGGGGAAAACGAGTGAGCAGGGGGGAGCGCCATGCAATTAGATTCTGGGGAGAACCCAGCTTTGATTGATTTATATAGCGCGTGTATACACGCAAAATAGTTATTAATTGCAAACCTACTGTTTGTAAATGCAGTGCTGCGATGACGGTTAATTTCTGATACGATTTGCAATTTCGATGTTACCTAAACTGACCGACATTTTCGTTATATTCCAAACCTGTCTCCAATATTTCCGTAATTATGCATCAATAGGGTCTCAAGGGGATACGGGATGGTGTGTATGTATTCATAAGGTATGTATGCATGCTTGAATCACATTCTTTGTGTAATATGACCATGGTTTCAGGGTTTAATTAGTTCCGCTTGTTGAAACCTGCTGAACGATTAAATTAACGTATCAAGGGCAAAATGATCAAGGAGGTTAGACCTAGCCGGGGCCATAAGACATGTCAGATAAGAAACGAGGCCCAGGCTAGGTCTAATGTTGTTGGACTAATTGGAAAGATGTTTTAGACTGACCTATTGTTGTGTTGAAGCAAAGACAATCATGTGACAAAATTAACTTCAAGGTGTTTTTGGTTAAACATGCTTTTAAAATAAAGTTATACCTCAAAACAGGCTAGAAATAAGGGACACACTTTTTTTCAAAGGACACACTTTAAAAAAGATTGCGTCCTTGGGACTCACAAATTTTCTAACCTAATGCAAGCGCTGGTTTAGTGAATACTTGTCTGATTAGAGTTTCTCAAGCCCGCTGTTATTTATTAGAAATTGAAAAGATTAGCCAGTTGTGAACTCCCCTAGGTTCATATCTCCAATGTATTCCCACCTGAATGCCTGTAAAGTAGTTCCATGAACAATTTTTTTTTACTGTCCTAATGACAAACCACTGATATGTTTTGCATAAATCTTTGTCCAACAATGCCAGTGTATGACTGAAGGAATACATGGTGGGCCAATAAAAATTGGAACATTTTTCTATTTATTCAATTGTCTTTATTATTGCAGTTCAGTCCACAAAGATTCAGATAATGGCAGGCCTCGCGCTTAACTTTTTTTTATCAGGTAGTTGTTTCACTACTTGGTGAATTTTCCAGGTAGCTATTTGAGAGAACCAGATAGTGAAGATTTCGATCTTTATTCTTATGACTTACCAGCGCAATAATAAGATATTACACTGTTGTGATCTCCCCAGCAGCAATTGCACTGCACCCACTTGAGATTTTGGTAATAGGCATGCACCCACCTGAGAATCAATTTGCACCCACTTGAAAATGAGAAAAACATGAAAAATAGGCATATTTTTCCAAATTTGGTCTAAATTGTGAAATATGAATTTTGCACCCACTTGAGATAAATTCGTGGGGAGAACACTGCACTTTATTAGATATTATGGAAGAAGTAAAAAATCCCCGGGAATTTCATATATGGCAAAATTTTCTTGCCAAATATGACTAATTTGCAACATCAGAACGGAGTATAATAATGGAATGGATTGTTATTGGAGAGTTATTGTAAAGATCACTAAATGAACCAAGAATCAATAAACAAATAAAATCAGTAAACAATATTGCAAAATTCCCTAGTGGAGTCACGTGAATTGAATGATATGTTCTCCCCGATTATCTTTATTATTTCCGCTAGAGACCGTTCGATATCGATCTAATATTATACTGAAAGATATTTGTTTAATGATAGATCTTCATTTTCCATGTAAAAGTCGTAAGAATAACGAGAAATGTTAGAAAGAAAGAGGAAATGTCAAACTAAAGTTCATGACCTTGACCGTCATGTCGACATGTGCAAAAAAGCTGCGCGAAAGACTACCTGGTTGAATGCGGAAACGACTCTAAATTTGAACATTTCTTTCATTCATTTCAGCCTATTTTGAGATAATATTAGTTTTGAATTGTGTGAAAAGGACCCACTGATACATATTTATCGGGAGGATGCATCGAATTACAACAATGTGTCATTTTAATCACGTTTTAGTGTGAGTACTCTATTATCGCTCACTTCATTTATCAGAAGTTCGATCTTTTTTCTTACCGAATCTTTGGGTCTGGCTGTCTGGAACTAGCAAAGTTAGCTAATTGGAAGAAATGACAAGTAGTGTTCTGGGAAAACAGGTAATAAATCGCTACCTTCGCAACGCTAATTTCGAGGCCTGAATGGTAAAATTATTATTATTGAAAATGTTAATAAAACAGTTTTGTCTTTGTGGACTGAACTGCAATAATAAAGAAAATTGAATAAATTGAAAAATGTTCCAATTTTTATTGGCCCACCCTGTACACTGGTTAAAATAACAGTACTGTACATGTATATTGTGAACTTCAGCATATGATTTTGTTGCATAACAAAAATATGACGGATCTATCAGAGTAGCTAGATTTTCATAAAAATGTGATAAAAAACCTACAGAATAGGTATTTATGTTTTTCAGAACGTGTAAAGTTAGTGGCTGGAGAGATGGGCTCAAGATCATACAATCCGATGTTGAGAAGTATGATACAAGATGCCATATTGAAACTATGTACCCAGAACATGATATTCTCTAAGTCACTTGAAATAGATGGTATTATTTGTGTATCCCAGGGGGAAGAGCTCCCAGATCTTGTTGTGAAAATGCACCGAACTATTGTCAAACCTCCTTCCAAGGGAGAAACATGGACAGGATGTTATACTGATGCCTCACAAGTGCTAGCATACCCTCCAACAAACACTACATCACATTTAGATACTTCATATCGAGGATCAGATGTGTCACTTTCTCCTACATCTAAAGATCAAAATGGAGGGGCTAAACTATGGAAGGGAAATACATTTACTACAGATCATGACCCGACTCAAGTTCAACATAAGGCATATGAGCAAACATTGCCAGAAGCTACCCAAGTGACACCTGGTGACAAAGTTGGCAATCACCATGAAAACAGCAATGGTGAGCTTTTTGTGAAAAGCTTAATATGCATTTAGCTAATCATAACTATGTGCTATATTTACTTCTGCAGAAGGGGTGAAAGTTATTACATTGTATATTTTATTAGCCTAAGGGTACATAGATTTTTTAAAAGGAAGTTGAAAACACTTTTTACATTTTTTGGGGATAGAAGAGCAAGACTTCAGTCTGAAAAAATAAATCAGGATGCATTAAAAGTCATTTATTTATTTCAAGTACAATGTTTTTGACTTCATATGAGGATAATCCTAATTTTAGGGTTATTTGGTAAAAAAGAATGAACTTGGATGTTCCCTTTTTTGATTATTCTAATGAATTTGGAAACTTCTACATTTCTGATCTTCAGTAACCTCTATATTTGACAATATACATTTAGTTCGAATTCTTTTTTTTAGAAAATGAAGACAAATATTGCCACACTTATCAGAAACACTGTTCATCATTCTGTTTTCTTCCTTCGATATAAATCCATTTTTGATCATTTTAATTGCACAATGTCAACACTTTTGACTTTTGACTCCATGTTACAGTATCATTAACATTTTCCAGTGAAATCTCAACAGTTCAGTAGTGGAAGGAAACGTTCAAGAGACATCAATGAGGCCAGAAATGAAGGCCCTCCAGAAAAACAATTAATTCGAAATATTAAAGAAGAACCAATAACTCTTGATCTCAATGATGATGATAATAACACTGGAGAGTATGGTGATGATAAAGAGGATGATATCGGGGACATTAGCACAATTACAGGTGCAACCTCGAATCCAGATGATACAACTGACAATGCAGAAAATTTCGTGACAAAAGGTAGGTGGCATTTTTTGTGTAGAATTCACATGGGACTGCTTTGGAATTGATGACATTTACATCGCATCTTGTAATGCTCATAAAAGTGCATCTAGTTGAGCTAGTCATCTGCAACATCTTGTGGAGTTGCTCCATTAAAGTTTTAATGTGCAAAGATTTCATGCAGACAAAAAGTTATGCAACATTATGGGGATGGCATTTTGTGTCACCCTGTAAGAACTAATACGGATTTCTTGGAAATGAAAGATGATTTTAACCCATTGGGAAATAGTCATAGAATTCAAGCCTGTATAAAATATGAAACATACCTGAACAATTTGAATGATCATCCTTAGTTCTGACAGTTCTATATAAAGAATATGTAATTTCCCTACTGAAGTTTCAAGCAGGAATTTCAAGTCCAAATTTAGAAATTGAGGCTACTCAAGTTATGAAATAGACATCATTCTGGAGAACAGTACATGTCAATAATATCTAAATCTACACACTAAGATTGCTGAAGATAGCTGCAAAGAAGATCTTTATCTTAAAGTCCCCATGTAAAGTTTGGAAATATATTTTTATCATTCATTCACTATTTGTCATGACAAATATTTTAGAGAATTTTGAAAAAAACAATTTTATGAAAAAAGGTTGTCAGCTTTTCAATTCTCAAATATTCAAATTTCACGCCAGATTTTAATCATCAAATATTCTACTATACCACCCTATGCAGACAGAGCCTGTGGGAAATATTTGGTGCGGAGCAAATGAGCGGAGGGTGCGGAGCTAACGGTCATTTTTGAATTTGAATTTGGGATATTTCTGAAACTAAGCCGTTTTGGGACTTCAAATATACCAAGATATGTGTATTTGACACCAAATATCAATACAATTGTGAAAATAGTAGCGCAATTCATTCTATAGCGACGCAGTGTGCCTTAAACCTTTCCCAGACCTATATATTTCATTATTTTGAAATTATCCTTTTAATACTGAGTCCCCAGCATTCATAAAAAATGGTGTTCAAGATACACTACCCATGCAAATTATTTTTGCATCTTGGAAGCCAGGCAGTATCTGTGTGATTTTATAAAAATTCGGAAATGTTCTTCAGATATGAGCCCCCTCTAAATATTGGGTGCGGAGGAGCTCCATAAACGTACCTCCGCACCCAATATTTAGAGGGGGCTCATATCTGAAGAACATTTCCGAATTTTTATAAAATCACACAGATACTGCCTGGCTTCCAAGATGCAAAAATAATTTGCATGGGTAGTGTATCTTGAACACCATTTTTTATGAATGCTGGGGACGCAGTATTAAAAGGATAGTCTCAAAATATATAGGTCTGGGAAATGTTTAAGGCATACTGCGTCGCTATAAAATGAATTGCACTACTATTTTCAAAATTTTATTGATATTTGGTGTCAAATACACATATCTTGGTATATTTGAAGTCCCAAAACTGCTTAGTTTCAGAAATATCCCAATTTTAAATTGAAAAATGACCGTTAGCTCCGCACCCTCCGCATATTTGCGCCGCACCAAATATTTCCCACAGGCTCTGTCTGCATAGGGTGTATACAGTGCAAAAGACATTATCCACTCCCCCCAGTTTTCTGCAAGTTAAAATGCTCAATTCTGCAAGTGAAATTAGTGAATTCTGCAAGAAGAAAGGGCTAATTCTGCAGAAATTCCGCGGATATTCTGACGAGAACCGAAAGAAAAACTAATGGTTTTCGAACCAGTAAACGGGAAAATATCGTGATAGTCAGGTAGTCAGTCACTACATACATGCTGCCATCTAACGGCAGAAATCAAACGATGGCGTTTAGAATTTTCACTTCGCATAATTTGGGTTATTTCTGCAAGGGATTTGACTGAAAACGTGTCAGATTGTTACAGGTAAGACTGACTTTTTAAACTTTTGGAAAATATATGGATTCTGCGGAAAATTCCGCGGAAATTGACCAAAATAGTTGATTCTGCAATTCCGCGGGCAGAGGCAAATTCCGTCCGCGCTCTGCAAACACGGAATCCTGGGGGCAGTGATTATCTTTTTAACTACAGTGCAAAGATTGAACAAAGGACACACTATTTAATGATAAAATGTCATATCTGATGTGCCACTTCGATGTTTTAGCATTTCAAAAATATTTTGCAACCTAAGTGATGTCATTGTGAAAAAAAAATTAATAAAAACAATTTTCTCTGCCCTTTTCTAAATATGCTTAACTTAAAAAATAAACCAATGTTGATTGTCTAATCATGTTAAAAGGAAGAATATATTATTCTATAGATATTTTTGTAGTACAAAATTCATGATTTTTTGAACAAAAACCACTTTTTGAAAATAAAAAAAGTTCCACATACCACGCTTTAACAGCATCTAGGTAAGACTACAATTTAAGCTAATGTGGTTTAAACTTTATATGGGGGCTAAATTAATTGATGTTTGATTCTATGTGTTGTGTGATTGTACAAGTATGCAGTGGGCATGATAAAGCTTTATAGAATTAAAAAACTTAACAAACTGCTATCTAGCATTGTCCACAGCAAGTATTTAGTTTTATCCTTTGGAATACTCACCAGTGTTAGGTAAAGTGAGACTCTGATAAATCAGAATGGCTACCTAGTGCAAGTTTGATTTGATGGACTAAATGTACATGATCTGATACTTGTATACTTAGGTAGACTGAAAGTGCCTGTATATGCTCAGTTCTTTGTTTTGTTCGGTGGTATTTGCTTCTCCGTGGTGTTGCTGTTTTTGTTAATTTCACGGGCAATTTCTACAACAGAGCTTCCAAGTGTGATTTCTACTGAAATGTAATCTCTCTCCGGTTTTAAAAATCACACCAATCTAATTTGTTCACATTATAAAAACATATATCTTGCATTCTGTGTGTCTGATTGATTTTACTCTGATTTCACTTTGATCGGGGTAACATTGTCAGTAACCATTTGTGAACAGGTTATATTTATTGACAACTTCTTCCAGTTATTTACCTATATATCTAAATGCAATATAGTTTCCCCATTATTAACTTGGAGCCTCTGTCTGTATTATTATAGAGAAACAAGATACTGAAGATTCTGCTATGATGAAACGAGAACTTCTTAAACTAAAGGCAAATTATTCAGAAGCTTTAGCAAAGTTGGCACGTGTCTCAGAAGGCATTGGTTCTGTAGAACCTGTTCAGCCACATGAGGTTCTGAGTCGCCCAAATGAGGGCATTTTGGATCCGGTCATTGCTGCTAACCATGGTGTGAGTATAATGAATATGTTTTCATACTGCAATTATATCAAACATCAATTCTTCTGATAGATTACTGTATTTTTCTTCAATTTGGCGAGTGTTTTAAATTGGTGAATTTTGGCCAAATTTAATAGTTGCCAAAATCCCTGGGAATATTTTACATTCATTTCACTTCTGTTTAAAGGAAAGATACCAAGATTGCTGGGATGTTTAAAATTTTAGAAACAACAAGAAATATTGAAGAAATTGTTCATCAACAACACTAACAATGAGTATCTTTGTTGGATAGGAAGATGTCTGGGACATTTGAAAAACCGCCAAATTGAATAAACGCCAAGAGGCCAAAAAACAGATTCAGTTGCGCCAAATTAAAGACAAATACAGTACTTAAAATTTCTGTGTCATACAAGATTGATATGGCTGAAATTCTAAAGCTGAATGCTCATGGCAAAGTATTTTATTTAATGAAAACTAAAAATATTGAAATCAACAATAACTGTCTGCCATTTTGAATCAAAGGGTAATCGCCATTAGGTTCTTTTGATACTGACCAGTGGAATGGTAATTCAATTTCATAGCAAGTATCCATGTGTTATTCTCTTAATAATGTAAACTTCTATTACAGATGATTGAATTGGTCCCACATTCCTGTATTTACATCTACCCAAAGACAAGTCATAAGTTGTCTACACTGAACAATGGAGAACAAGGTGCCAGAACACTAATGAATGCTCTCTTCACTAAAGAAGAAAGGATAAATGGAACAACTGCAGACAACTCTGCTAATTATTCACAACTTGACCCGATTAAAATCCAAGCAATCGTTGGTTAGTATTATTATGTGCAGTAAGAAACACAGTTGATGCACATGTGTCGCCCTAAAGATATGAATTCTAAAGTTTAAACAAGTTTTTTTTATAATTTTTTTTATTTCAAAGAATAAGCATGTTAAAGCAATTGCAAAAAACAATTACAATACAGTTGTTAGCATATATCAGTTTTTATTTTTTTAAAGAAAGCAATTTCAATTCAAATAAACAATCTTCTAAGGCAGAATCATATCTATAGGAAGTGACAAAACTGTAAGCAATGTGTACTGTTGACCACCTACCAATATATTACTTACAATATCTCCCAAAAAAGCTGGGATATATTATGAATTGAAGTTATCAAGGATTCAAAATGCAAAAAGGGGGAACATTTTAAATTCTCTGAAAAAATAAAAATTTTAACCATATTGAAAAACAAACAAATGCATTATTGTAAAAAATCTTTAGTTTTTCTCAGTTATTTTGCATTGAGATGATATTTCCAAAATAGAAGTTTCAAGGAATGATACGAGCCCAAAATATTCTAAAATTGCGTCAGTCATTGTCACTACTACAATAATTACTCTTTGCTAGATCCGATACCAGCTTTTATCTGAAAAATATGTTAGGTGACATTAACGGGATAAATCTGAGATAAAATTTATTGTTTTTGGGGCAACATGAAAATATTGTCCCGCTCTTTAATGCATGAATCTTGCGACCAAAAAACAATCCTGTATCTCTCATTACTTTCTTTTAAAGAAGTAGTTCCCAATTGTTTAATTGTATAGCATTTACTGTTTTCAAATTGTATCTCATACTTTTGTAGTAATATAATGTTAGATATTAGAGAGATTTCGCACATAAGTGAAAGTACAACTTATACATTTTTTTTTTTTTTTTTTTTTATTGGATCTTACACATACATCATACATGATATACACACATGTTCATATAATACTTTTACATTTTACAAATAGGTACTTTTTTAACAACAGCTCATCTCCATGTATGAGGATTTTCTAACAATATGGTTTACAAATGTTTACAGCATAACGTACAATGGTCTTCAAAAACATATAGATTACCACAGTTTTATAAAATATAACTCCATACCTTAAATATAATACATAGTTATTGGCTTAATAGTTCACTAACCGATCTCCAAGTCTTATAGAATGTTTCTTCCATATCATTTGAATTTGCAATGTTTTGTTCATCTTTGATTTTATATTTTATGATTTCCTTTATTTGGATAAAGGTGATTTTAGTTTTAGTCAGTCTCGATTTATGTATTAAACTTTTTGTATACAAAGTACAAAAATTAATGGCTTTAGTTTTATCCTCGTTTTCTTCATCTAATTTTCCTATAATTATATCTTTATATGTTAGATCAACATTGAGGACAATTTTGAAATCGTCCCAAATCTTGGCAGAGTTTGGGCACTCAATATAAAAGTGTATGGTATCATCGATTTTGTTATTATTGCATATATCACAACTTATACATATACATATACTTTAAAGGGTCATATCGAACTATTATATTTACTAAAATCAATTTTAAATTGTACTTAATGGAACATGAATATTCCCGATAAAGAAAAGCTACATCAACTAGAGACTGTGAATGCACTGTCATCTGCACGTGTATATTATGCACATTATACAGGGTGTTCAAAAAAAACGCAACTCAAAGAAATCGCTATATCTTGGAAAGTACTAAACCAATTATGTTCATATTTTCAGGAAAGAAAGAAGAGACTGTGTATGTATAGCCCCTGTTGTTAGTTAGTTGTAAAACATGATGTCTTGGACACTTGCTCAAAAGACAGTTGTACGAGCATTCAATGTGTGGTGAATTTGTGGAGTTTCATCAAAAGTACTCTAGGGACTTTACAGTCATGGTCAAAATGCCTTCTTAAGTCTCCCTGAACCAGGGCGTTTGACTGCGATTTGAAAGCATTTCGACAATGACTGTAAAGTCCCCGAAGTGACTTTGATTTCTCTCTACAGATTTACCATACAGTAAATGAAGATGATTTGTGCCAAATTTTAAGAGCCAAAACACTATGATTAGGAAGTTATTTCTTTTTTTTCAGTTGCAGTCACCCCTGACTATATTTTTCGTATTTTCCTAGTACAACTGTCTTTTTGAGCAGGTGTCCAAGGCATCATGTTTTACAACTAACTATTTACAGGAGCTAGACATTCACAGTCTCTTCTTTATTTCCTGAAAATATGAACATTATTGAACCAGTATTTTTCAAGATATAGCGATTTCTTTGGGTTGCGTTTTTTTTAACACCCTGTAATTAAATGCTTGCTTCCGTGTCCTAGTAGTTGTAGTGTATTATAAACACGATCCTTTAAAGTCAGTCACGATCCTTTAAAGTGAGTCATTACATAAACAAGTTGATTATTTCAAAGTTTTCATGATCAGTATAAGTTCAATGAACTTACAAAACGGTATATATACGAGATGATAAACGTATACAGTTGGATCTCCGTATACCTAGATGTGTGTGGAACAATTGACCGCAAGCATTTTTTAAAATTAATTGGCAGAGTAGGAACAGTATCCAATCAAATACTTTAACCATCAATTTGAAACACCAATCAAACCAGTAGGTTTTAGCAATTCCTGGAAACAACCCATTCAGTAGCTCAACAAATGACATACAGGGTGTTTCATAATGAGCATCTCCAAAATGTCAACTTGAGAAGAGATGGGGCTATAACATATGTACTATATATGAGCCTATTTTGTTCTAGACAGCTAAACATGCTACAATTCAAGAAAGTACAAAAGACATCCCTTTGACCTTTTTTATTACAGTCCGAGAAGATCTTTCCCGACGAAAAGCCCACATTATGAAACACCTTGTATGTTTACTTATAAGTATAACTATACGTTATAAGTTGTACTTTCACGTATGTGCGAAATCTCTCTTATATGTATGTGAATATGTCTATTTACAATTCCATAGCATACACCATACAAGTATAAAAGACTGCTTCAACTTATGAATAAGATCACTGTTATTCAGAGTATATGATGCATTTTTAGTTATCAGTTCTCATAATGCTAATAGTGATTTCTTTAATATTGTCTTTTTTGCTTTTAGATTTCTGCCAAGCAAATTACATGGAAAAAACTAAAATAAGCCATCTTAGAAAGACGATTTCAAACAAATGTACATCTGAGAGAGATTATGATCGAAAATCAAGAAAAAAATAGAACCACATTCAGATTTTTAGAGAAAACCACTGACTGTGTAATATGTTTCCAGACTACACATCCTACTTAATGAACTGGAAAACGAAGCCTTGTTAGCTAAAAGGACTGTTTCTGCTAAATGAATAGCAAATAGAAGATTGCTATTTTATGAAGATTAAATAAATGTAATCTATGTTTGAGGATTTTTCTATCAACATCCACTGAGAAAACTTGAGTAACCAAGCTGAAAGCAGTATTTTCCATCAATGTATCATGCATGCACACTCTGTAATCTTTTTGCAGAATTCTGCCAAAAGAAGTACAATGAAAAAACAAAGCAAAGTGACCTAAGAAGAAGTATTGCCAGCAAATGTACTGCAGAAAGAACTTATGAATTGAAAAAAAATAAAAAAGAGTGACATTCTTTTCTCATTTGCTCTGTAGAAGAAAGTATTGTGGACACTTGTACTGCAGAAATAAATTATTATCTGAAAATAAAAATAAAAAAGTGCGACATTCTATTTTTATTTGCTATGTATTTCATTGTGCACTCTGCAGATTAGGCCAACCACGTACAGTAGACCGAGAATATAATAAGGGAACTTGAGGCGAATAATTCCAGCAAAAGAGCATGATAGATGGTGCAATTACAAAGCGTCCACAATAAAAGTATACCAAACTTCAAAACCAAATTACTAGAATCCTAAGCATTTTTTGAAATTCAAAGGTAGAAGTAAAGGATACCAAGATTATAATGTAACATCTTTTTCATTAAGTTAGAGGTCAGGCCTTCCATACTGAACTTGGGACTGAGTAACTCTCTTATGAAAAAGGTTTGGCAAAAAGTTTACTTATTTTAAAGTAGGCCTGCAAAAATGGTTCCATTGACAACTGTGCAGTAGGCTAGAGCCAACAAAAAGTTCTAAAAAGCTAGTGCCATGTACTGTTTACATGGATTTTAGCAATACTGTTCCACATGAATCTACTTGTTTAGACTCAATAAACTCGAGTTCTTCTGAGAAGATATTTCAGCAAGGGTTATTGACTTTACATGGGGATGCAATTTACTTCAAAGCTGCATAACAGCAAGTAGAAGTTTCATTGCCGATCAAGAGGCTCTTTGGATCCAATTTCCCAAGAAGGAGGTACTGACTAAAAGTTATGGAAAATTATGTAAAAGTGTGATGAACATGACTCAAGTATGAATTTGAACATTAAAAATGTTTTGAACACAAAAACACATTCACTATGTCATTCCTACTTGAATGCTAACTTGGCTCAGTGCTGATTGCTCAGTCATCCATGACACTTACATAATGATCAAGGTACCATTGGATGGAAGACAGACTAGGCCTTTTACTGCTACCTACGTATATAAAAAAATGCCCAGAAATCTTGTATCCTGGCTTTGAAGTTGGGTATATTTTTTTGTGGACACCCTGTAGTTTCACATGGTCATATCTTCTTTTAAGGGTTACCCATGTTATTCATTATTCTAGCTATTTTTGGTCACCTAAATGCCATACATTCCCAATCTGGATAAGTTGATTATTCCCTTATGAATCGGGAATGTCAAATTATATATATATTTTTTATTTTGTTTTAAACAATTTAATTAAAGATTGTGCTTATGGTAAAATAAGGTCAATGTAACTTGACACAAAAGACTCGCCGTCCTAGTGATTATCATCTGAAGTCGATTAATATCTATAGTTTACCTTTACCCGGTATACACCTACTGGGTAAACTCCTTCTTGCCCCATCGAGTCCCATCTTGCCCCATTGAATCCTAACTTGCCCCATCAAATACCACGGAGTCCCTTGGTACCTAGATGACTTTGCCCCATCGAGTCCCATCATGCCCTATTGAGCCATAGATTCATCGAAAATGTGTTCTTTTAGTGATTTCGTTCATTTTTATGTCACATCCACATGTGTTGACTCACTGCTAAAGTCTTCAACTTTTTGTGCACTGTTTTGAACATTCGGTGGCTGGAGTACGATCTATGTCTGTAACGAATGGCAGTTGTTGACATTGTTTTCATGTTGATGCCTTTAAAAGTGTGATATCAAAGAATGTATATGACCTAAAGATGAACAACCGTCGAATCACCGCTTAGTTTATCCCATATGTAATATGATCCCATTCAATCTAACATATTGATCCCAGAAGTCCCAAGAGTTATACTGTTGAAATTCCAGGGACAGTGTACTTTGTGATAAATGTTTAAGTGCCCAGTGAACCATACACATTTCATCTCAATATCACATATGTCATGAAGGGAGACAGCATTGGATTCCCAAGCCTTTTATTAGAGAGATTTCGCACATAAGTGAAAGTACAACGTATACGTATAGTTTAAAGGGTCATGTCGAACTATTATATTTACTAAAATCAATTTTAAATTGTACTTAATGGAACATAACTATTCCCGTTATTGAAAAGCTCCATCAACTAGAGACTGTGAATGCACTGTCATCTGCACGTGTAGAATATGCACATTATAATTAAATGCTTGCTTCCGTGTAGTTGTACTGTATTATAAACACGATCCTTTAAAGTGAGTCATGACTCTTTAAAGTGATAAACAAGTTGATTATTTCAATGTTTTCATGATCAGTATAAGTTCAATGAACTTACAAAACGGTATATTTACGCAGATGATAACGTATACAGTTGGATCTCCGTATAAAGCTTTACCTACATGTGTGTGGAACAATTGACCGCAAGCATTTTTTAAAATTAATTGGCTGGGTGGGAACAGTATCCAATCAAATACTTTAACTATCGATTTGAAACACCAATCAAACCAGTAGGTTCTAGCAATTCCTAGAAACGACCCATTCAGTAGGTCAACAAATGACATACAGGGTGTTTCATAACGAGCATCTCCAAAAAGTCAATTTGAGAAGAGATGGGTCTATAACATATGTACTATATATGAGCCTATTTTATTCTAGACAAACACATTTGGATCAACTGAACATGCTACAATTCACGAAAGTACAAATGACATCCCTTTGACCTTTATTTATTAGTCCGAGAAGATCCTTCCTGACGAAAAACCCACATTATGAAACACCTTGTACGTTTACTGGCCTATAAGTATAAGTATGCGTTATAAGTTGTACTTTCACTATGTGCGAAATCTCTCTATTATGTACATGTATACTTATAATTTCATTATTTCTACTTTATATATAGTATACAGATGTACCTGACAACAACAATGGCTGCCAAAATTCAGAGAATCGTGGAATAGTTTACACTTGCACCGAATTACGTGTTATTTAATTTTTTAATTTTCAAGTGGAGCATCTTGTCACTAGAGGACGAATTACTAGAAACCCCACAGCGCAAGGTGTCATCAAACATAGAGGAGATCAACAACAGTCAAATTCACAAGTTCACACAAAAAGACAAAATTACTTTGATAATGGTTCTCAAAACAGCCATTTAAATAATGAAATCTCTGTTAAACTGCTGAGAATGCATTTCTACCTAACAATTTTTCAAAAACTAATACAACTGTGTAAGGTCAAAATTGTCCTTATTGCCCATACAAACATTTCAGCTTAACAACATTGTTGTTCCATATAAAGAAACACGATGGTTGTAAACAATATATCTGTGAACTCTATCTAAGAGGATACAACTCGAAATGTGATCTTGAAAAACAGGCGAAAACATACTATTACTAGTGAAAAACCCTATGCTTGTGAAATTTGCCTTAGCACGTTCAGGCAAAGTTCAAGTTTATACAGACATTATAGAAACCACCATGGTGTAACAGATCCCAATAAATATTGATGTTCCATAAAGTGGAAATCTTGGGAATCACATATAGAAAAGGAATCTCAAGACTAGAACCTGTTACTCAGTATTAGAGCAACCGATTGCTGATGAAAATTTGAAATATACAAGTCATACTGTTGGGCTAAATATGATCATGTATTACTATTTAGTACTATACTATGATATAACTTTTTCAAAATGGAAAGATGTTTTGTTCGATATCTATCATGTAAATAAATATTTACCATCTGTCCCGATTTCAATTTGTGTTAAGCTTTTCTTTTAACGTTTCCTTTTGAAGAATGTACAGGAATTTACGAAGGGACCTATGTATAACACACGTACATGTATATGTATTACGCCAAGTCCTTCATCAAAAGGTTCCCACTGTTTAAAAATTTTGCAATGAATAAATGGATAAACTCAAGGAGTTTGTTTACGATTTTGCTCAATCTCTATCCTCTAAAATGTTTTGTAAAACATCATTTCCTTTCTTGCCTGGTACAGGGTAGGGTTCCCGTTAATACTGATATTATGAACCTGAAGAAGAGTCCTTGCTAATATATGATACAGGGTGTCAAATAAGTCCCGTCCCCCTATCTACAGCCAAAACCAAAATATAAGTGTAATATATCATAGGAAAGTCACTAATGGCATCTGATTCGTTTCAATCAACGTCATCAATTAAAAGTTAAGGTATTTATTATCGTATTGAATATATTGTATTGTATTTCCAAAACGGTACCCCTGTAAACTTTGTCAAATTAAATCCACTGAATGGAGATGATCTCACGTTCCAATGTATAATTGTTAAATATAAATGTGTAATGATATTATCAAATGTCTAATGTATATGGATCTGTATGTATATTATGGATGATTTTTGTGTAAGAAAGATGCAGTAAAAAGGTATTCATCATTGTATACTGTATTTTCAGATGAAACCGCTTTTAAAACTGGTGGCCTACCTGACGATGGAGAGGATATCGGTCTACTAGTTGAGTTTGGATCTGATCAGTACTTCGTGCCTGCGTCTGACTCTAGTACTGTTATAAACGAAGACATAGATCAAGAAGAAGATATAGTAGAAGAGACCTTCAACTATCCCGAACATGATGAAGAACAAATAGAGCCAACTGAAGAGACGTATGACCATTCACAACATGGGAGGTTCTATAAACCTAAGAAAAGATTTGTTCCAACGGGAAAAAAACAAAAGCACACATGGATACAAAAGAGAAAACATTATGGATCCAAAAAGCAGCACAAAATTGGAGTGAAACCTAAGAAGGGAATCCCGCATGGTCCATATACGAACAAGTTCACGTGTTCATATTGCAATAAAACATGGTACAATAAATCAACCTTAGATATGCATATACGTACTCATACGGGTGAAAAGCCATTCAAATGTCAGTTATGTCCCAAGAAATTTGCCCAGAAAGGAAATATGAAGACACATTATGGGAGGTACCATTCGAAAGAAAATATCGATCACAAAATTAAAATGGAAGAGGATGGTACAGTGGCAGTTCAAATGTTTCGATGTTCTGCGTGTTCGTTATCATTTATTTCCCAGAATCGACTGGAAAAACATATGATAACATCATGTTTTAAGGAATAATATATAGTACGTTTGAATTATCATTTGACATATCCTACATGGATGATAACATATTTTCTTAGCAAAAACATATTTTCTTAGCAGTTCGTACGTTCACGTTGAGCACGTGTCAACATGTAAAGCTGTACAAATGTACATGTGCGTACTTCTATGCAGACCGGGATTCCGCTCTCTTGGAGAAATTGCATCATTTCGACTTAAATTAAGATAAGGATTCTTCATACAATTGCATATCATTGTTAGAAACAAATATCTTCAAGAAGTAAACTAAGTGGACGAGCTAAAATCCTGGGAAAATAAAAATCTTGAGAGAAAGCACCATAACACTGAAAGTGAAACTGACAACATGTATTTTTAGTTTTTTAACCCTGAAGATTAATTGCTAAGTAAAGATTTTAGAATTGTAGTTATAATTATCATATCATTGTAGCTTATAGATAACCGTTAATAGATACTGACTGGAAACTTGATTTTTATAAAATAAAATCGAAACACATACATGTACCAACCGAGTTAAATTCTCGCTAATCAACATTTGTTTAAAATTGGTGATTTGCATACTCTAACTCTCGAAATCGATGTGATTAAAATTTGATTATGCAATGCACATATCCATTATGACCTATAGTTTGGACGGGAATTTAGACCATAATTAAATGAGTAGTGGATTTGCACTTTGGCATTTCCCATGTTAAAAAGAAGAGAATTTCCAAGAGACCATACATCTGTTGATGAGAGTATACAAAATGTAAAATATACTTTTAGGGGTATGTATCCAGACAATATTGGAAATTATAGACTTTCAGGTTTTGAAATGGTGATAGACAATTGACTTCTGATTTATTTATGGCCCTGTCTGAATGTCACTATATTATTGTCAATTTTTCTTTATCGTATCGTAAGTCTATTTGTAATAAAACAATTTCCAGCATTAATTTCCTATCATTTCTATTAACGAAGATCAATTTTATTTGAATTGTGTTTTCAACTGAAGCATACACACACGTCTCAACGTAATTGTTTTATTTAAACGATTATTTTCAAGGCAATAAGTGAAGTGGACGTAAGTATTGATGCATAAGCAAGGGCGATGCCATTCATGCGATAATCATGATTCCATGATTTTAGTAGCGCAAAGAACTATTGTGTCCCCACCCATCTGGTGGCATATTGTTAAAGTCACCAATTTTTTGTGGGAGGCTGTCGGTGTTTGGCGTAGACGTTTGTAACGAATGAGGTCTGTAACGAATGGCGGGTGGTGACATTTTGCTTGTTAATACCTTGTTCATAGTTACAGCCGTTACAGCAAGGAAATTATTCCTCGGTAACATTGTATTTCGTGGCACTCTTCACACATACCTACCTTAGTCTTGCAACCGGAAGTAATCATTCATTCGGGGGCCGTGAGATCGAAACCAACTAGGCTATCTACATATCTACGGCCAATAGCAGGTATAATGGTATAGGGCCACTACAGTCAGGCTCTATTACTTGATTTATAGATATATTTAAAGTATATTCTGCGAAGCATGATCAATTGTTTATACTTCAAAATGTGCAAGCAATTAACTCAATAATGATTTTCATTATCAAATGTTTGCAGTAGGTTAATAATTCTATTTTTATATGCATAGATAATGGATATACTGATATACTACCACATTACATGGTCTTTGCATGCTTAATGCAAAATTACATACACAAAGACATTACAAAAGGATGCGCAGACTATAAAGGGAGTAACTATCGGTGAAATAAAAAGTAAGTAAACAACTATATGTACTCGCGTAGTATTTTATTTAATATTTATTCTCGAGAGCCTCACATAAAATGTAAAAAAATACTATTACAAGCCTTAGTCACATTTTGCTACGGAGACCGTAAGATCTATCGTTTCCGCGGTCAGTAACATTTCTACGGTCGCCTTAGAACTTCTGCGGTCGGATGATTTAAGCCTCAGTCACATTTTCTCTACAACGGACATACGGTGGCCGACTGGCCGTAGCTTCAAAAGATCGATATAGAAAATCTACATCGTACTGCTGAGGTATGTGTTAAAATAAAGAAAGAATAACAAAGTAAGAAACGGATTACCTCATAATCCAAAGGGATTTTCTCATAATCCATTTGTCATAATGTTATTATTTTCTTTTCGGAGATCAATTATGTGATATCCTCCAATATTTTTGTACATTAACCATATCAACAATGTTGCTTTTGGGCCAGATATTTGACCTCAATTTTCATTGTTTTTCGGATTATCCTAATCTCAAGGAGACTCGCTTTTCCTTCTCAGAGGTAAATCATGACTTATAGTACATTTCAATGTAGTCGTAAAAACTGAAATAAAATGCTGCATTTTGCTGTCTAAAAAAGCTTGCAATGACGTACCTGCCATTTTCTCTATAATTTAGAACAGAAACCCTACAAATAGAGATAAAACATATGGAAATATGCGGTCATGCCGGTACAATTGTTTAATCAACAGGATGGTTAAATGTTTATAAAAGGTATTAGTTTGCATAATGTTTCCTGCAATCCTACTGTATATATAGAGAACGTTTTATGACGTATGAGTTAGGCTATTTACTTAATATTTCATAGTTACTGTGTGATATTAAAGGATATCAGGTCAAAATACTGAAACGTTAGTTTTTTAACTAAAACAGGGTGTCCCGAAAGTATGGGACTCCCTCTATTGTTTAGCTAAAATTGAAGTTCAGAGCAGTGAACATGACCTAGGGAGACATACCGACTATTGATTTTTTGTTAAACTGAACTTTGATTTTGGCCAAACACTTCATTTTTAAATGCCTTTTTCCCATCTGTGAGTTGAGCCATGATACTTGCCAAATCAATGTAACCTTTGGTTAAGCTTTAAAATTATATATGACATACTATGGGGACATTGGTATATGTCTGCCTAGGGGTGCTTACGATTAATCATTCACGCATCAGGGGCGGATCTGGGAACCAACAAGGGGGGGGGCCCAAATTTCAGGTCAGAAAAAAATGGGCCTCAAAATTTCAGTATTTTGGGCCCCTAAAACACAAAAGTGGGCCCAAATTTTGAGGCCCATTTTCTTCAAAATTTGGCCTGAAATTGAAAAATAAGGCCTTAAAAGGCCCAGTAATGATAGAAAAGCACACTTTTTGGGGCCTTGAGGCCTTTTTTGGCTCAAAATTTTTTTTGAGACCCATTTTTTTCTGGGCCCACCAAAGCGGGGGGGGGGGGTGGGGCTCCCAGCTCCCCCCCCCCCCAGATCCGCCAGTGTGCATTAACGTCTTTTCAATGTCATTTTTGTTCTAGCTCGTTCAGAAAAAAGTTTTGCTGACTTGAATTACACGCTTTCTTGATAAACGTTTAATCCATCCATGTGCATTCAGCAAGTATGTTTTTTGTAATAAATATATCTTGCAGAACTGAAAAAGCAATGCAATAAAAAAAACTGACTAAAATGACAATTAAAGAGTAAGTGGGTGAATTAAGCCATGTCTATATGCTTATAACATACATTGTTCATGTACATGTATTTATTTGTGATTTCAGTGTTTGGAGTAAAATATGCAGTGTCCATAACTTTGATGTGCAACATCTTTGTAATTGATAACATGCTTCACGCTGCTCGTACAAAGAGAGGAATTGATATTGCTATAGTTGACAAGTATAATCAACTAGTGAAATATAAATGCAGAATAAAGATGGAGATAAACTTTTTTAATGAAAGGCAATTGCTGCTCAGTTTAATTGAAATGGAAGGTATTCTATCTTATTTAAAAAGTGATGCATCCATGGCGACTAAAATGAGCACGTTTACTGAGGTACAAAGTAGTATCAAGGGCATCAAAAAATCAATGAAACAAATAATCATAAGAAAAAATGCATACGATAAACAAGTGAATCAAATCAACGAAATAGCTCTTGGACCTTCACGCGTGACACCTAGTATAGAGTCACTTATAATAGAGTTAAAGGGTTTTTCATTCGGTTATAAATTGTACAATACGGACCAAAAGCTAATGAAAATCAAGTTATTGTCAAAGTTAGTAAGCACCGTCGGAAAGAAGAAGATAATGAAGAAGTTGGCAAAAGGTGGACGAAGCAGAGGCAGTGTTAATAAATTCATAGTGAAACTGAATAAAATGAAAAAAGTTCTGAACCAGCTTAAGAAGGCTGTGCTGAAACTGAAATATGATATTGTGGAATTCAATGGGATTTCAGGAATTGGACCAACTGCCGGTATCATGGGTAATATTAAAAGTGTAAACTCATTAGTTTCCTATTAGATTCAATTTTATGAACTATTTTATTATTAATTATCGATAAATATTAATTATGATTTTATTTTCCTCTTCATAGGAACAAGCGCTTTAACAAGAAATTGCCAATACGCTAAAAATGAAAATATACATAATATGGATTTCGAAACTTATATTTTAAACGATACAAAACCTAGATAATCGACCATTCAACAGTGTAACTTTTCCCTCAAGCGGAATTTCAGTATTCTCCCCTTCTACTTTTAGAACACGTTCCCGTTGCTCCTGAACATGGAGAGGTACAGGAAATTGTAAGTGATGACATGGAATGTGGTGGAGGGTATACCGTGTCATGTCAATATGGGTATCAACTTAACAGGGACGCCAAGTATGATATTCTTCGACAAACAACGGAGGAAAACCTGGTCACCGATGAGATACAATGCATTGGTAATGATTCATAATGTGCATTTGATGTTAACAAACGATTTTAGAATAACGGCGTGCATTGTGTATTTTAAAATGATGCCCCGATGATTTAAAATCTAATTATAAAGTTATGTCACAAACAAATTATGGAGGCCTATTATGGAAATCACATATCATACGATCGTCTCCTTATTGTCACATTGGGTTTTGGACCATCATTTATAAAATAACTCATCGTGCCAATAAGTGCCAATAAAACCCTGGGTATGGGGGGGGGGATTCTCGTACATTAATCTAAAAAGTGTATACTCTATCTCTATCCCTAGAATTAACGTTGCACATGATTCTTTAATTTTTCATGTAAGCCACACCGATTGGGCACTGGCCACTGACCATATATGACAAAAGCAATAATACAGCGCAGTTTAATACAAAGAAGGACGGCAGTTCCACCTCCATTAGTGTTAACAATGCTGAACTGCTAAATGTTGAGTATGCAAACGGTGTCAACGATGAAGATGGTGGTGCCATAGTTTTAAAGGGTATAACTTCAAAAATCACGTGCGTATGATTAATTAATTGTCATAGGTAACAACAACACCTTCATTGGCTATATTTGATGTAACAACAATTCTGCGCAGGTGCGTAGCCAGGGGAATTCAGGGTGTACAAGTGAATCCCAACCCCTCCACATCAAAATTCCATTTCAAAATTCTACAGTTTTTCACCATTCTGAGCATAAAATCGTTAAATGTGAACCCTCCCTGGAATTTCCAAAAGTGTACCCTTCCCTTGGCAAAATCTTGCACGACTCCTTTATCTATTCAGCAGATTCAGTAATAATATGTGCATCTTTCCCAATGCAGCTTTGACAACAGAGATGGGATTCTCAAGTTTGACGGCGATTTCACATGGCTAATGTACATTTATATCGATGGCGCCAACACTCCCAACGTAAAACTCTTGCACTACTATGGATTTACATTATTCTTATCCGACATATCCAAATCTCTTGAGAAACGAAGTTGGTACTTTATCACGTTGATTTACGTCAAGTCCCTGAGTTCATTGGCCGTGTACATCAATGGCAAGTTTGATGTCGAATTTGATAACATTGAATTATTCAAGTCAAAAGACATCGCTGATTCCGTTGTAATCCAAGGTGCAGAAGAAAGTGGAAGACTGAGGTTGACGTGTGTGAGCGTATACGCTGCTGCATTAGGGATCGACGATATTCAAACAGCAAAAGAACGATGCCGCCTTGGTAATTTCTGCTATAGCTACTATTCTTATATGAATTTATAAGTTTTGTTGAACAAAATTCTTAGTTTTCCAAGGTGTGTCACCATCGCCATCATAAGAAGGAAATCGACAACGAATCAGGCCAATTGATATTACCTTTTTTATTTCAAGACGTTTTCCAATTTTCCGAACGCAGGGCTAGAACGAGCTAGGAGTTCTGAAGGTCTGTGTTCGGAGAATAACTTTTCTATGGAATATTTGAAAGTTTGTTTAACAATATCTCAATGAGTTGATCAAGAAATTCTTTGAAATTCACTTTATTAAAAATGTTTCTCTAGATACTTCGATGTAATGAATAATCACGGTGTCACTTTATCTTTCAGATGACATTGTTGCATCGTGGCCTTTAGATAAGCTCTATGGTAGCTCTGACGTCAGTAGAAACGCCTACCACATCGTCCGCGATCGTGTCCAATATGGCACCGGAATAGATGGATCTGAAAATGGCTCTGTTAAAACAGGGAAGCTTCCTAGTAATGGTTATCTCTCAAACCTTAAGATTCCAACAATGCTGGTCAGGCATCAACTCTCATGGCTTGGATATATTTATATCGAATCCCTATCTTGTGACAGTCCACTCGTTGACTTCTCAACTAATGGTATTCCAGGGTTTTACATATGGATTCTGCAAAACGGAGGCCTTAAAACAAGAATAGGGTTTTATGATGTCACCGGGGAAAAGGACACTATTACAACAGACCGTAAACTATTTGAGTTTAAAACTTGGTATCACGTGGCGTTCACCTTTGATGGTTCAGTTGGGGTACAATACATAGATGGAGTACGAGTGGCTGAGAAAAATATAAGCCTCAACGGTGATATTCTTAATGGACCGGGATATATTGGAAAGAGTGCAAACAGCCAGATGTATTTTGACGGTAGACTTGCATGTGTTCAAATTTACAGAGTAGCTCTCACTGATGATCAAATCAATGACAAAATGAATTGTCTTGGTAGGTCATTTGTTAAAAAAAGTGCCGCTGTCCGTTTTATACTGTTTGTAATACGAAGGACAATAATGATAAACTCTACATTTTTAAAAATAATGACTATCAAGGGCATAACAAGCCACATATGGCAGGTGGGGAACAATTTTCAGAATATTTTTAGATGGTTTAAAACACATTTAGCCTTTTGAATAGACTGTGTCTCGCCAAGTTTAGATCCTGGCTACACCGTACACCCGCCTGACTATATGGCGGAAAACAAATAATAAATTATCCATCCTACATTAAAACATCTGCATAACATATAGACCGTTGAAAACAATAATCAAGATTGACAAAATTCCATCATATTATGATTATAGCATGTAGTAGGCAACCGATTTCACCAAAAACTGTATCGGCTCAAGTTTCCGGGGGTGTACCTGCATATCCAAACAGCTGGCCTTGGATGGTGCAGTTTATTTTGAAACGGGTGCGCCTGATTGCCAATGGATATGTGTGTGGTGGTATCTTATACAAACCAAATGTTGTAATATCTGCTGCTCATTGTTTTGTTGACAAACGGTATATTCTGCATCATCATCATTTTTTAGTTATTGATACATTGATTTTTTTGTTTCTGTCGCTTCTATGTTAATATCGCTCTCAGTTTTATTCATTTCATTTGCTCAAACCGAATTGTTGATTGACTCTATGATTTATTCCTATACTTAGACGAATGCATGCAGTTACGCTCATATATATAGGTGCTGATGAAAATATTTCCAGGAAGGAGGATCTCCGGGTTATTATAGGGGCACACTGGCGATTCGGAATCAGAGATGAAGAAGGCGTTCAAATGATTGGTGTTCGTGAAATGTTCGTGCATCCCGATTTTGATGGGGATAGTTTTGATAATGACATCGCAGTGATTCTACTTGACAAAAATGCTATTTTGAGTGATTCCGTTCAACCATGTTGTATAGAGGAAGATCTAATGCCAGAAGGAACTGATTGTTTCGTGACTGGTTGGGGCACAACTCAAAGTAGGGAGTCATTAATGTCATAAAACATATAATGGGTGTCCTAAAAATTACAAGTATTTTCTCCGCAATAGATTACTCGAATTCATTGAAAATTTTGAATAAGTGGGATATCATTAATAAGAGGTACATGATGAATGACAAATTCAAAAATGTTTGTCAATAATATTAATGTATGTTTTGCAACCCATTTTACTTGCTAATGAAAAATATTTGATTTAACTTTAGATGTTACGTATTTTGATCAATATTAGGGAGTTTAAGCTACACGTTTTAAGGGGAACCTGTACGCGAACGTGTAGAACGATGGTCCTCTAAGTATATATTATGTCTTCCCTTCGTAGTAGTTATTTGACATTTGCAGTGTAAAGCTTAGGGGTAAATAGTTGCAATTAGGTCACTGGGAAGACCGATTGAGACGGTGGACAAAAATTCCATAGGTCATGATATTACAGCTTCAAGTTCTTCTAAAGACCTGTGGCTTAATCTCCCTATTTAAGGTTTCCCAGAACGTTTTTAGCTCAACGTATCTAAAATCCGTAACGCATTCATCAGATTCATGAATAGCGATTCAATTATACAATAATGCGGTTGCGGATACGTTTTTACTATAACACCTTGTACGAAACCTCTTTAGAATGTAACAACAAAGCAAATTGTTATAGATGCGAATGAGAGAACTGATAAACTAAGACAAGCCCATATACCAATTCTTGAAGAAAAAAAGTGCAGGGAACCCAGACGATACGAAAGACCTCTCACCAGAAACATGTTTTGCGCTGGAACTTGGAATGGAACTGTTGATTCGTGCGGGGTAAGTGTTCACAACCTTCTTTGATGTCATTTGCAATTGGATCCAAATATTACAAATATTAAACAAAATAACCCAGGTGCGAGTAGGTAGTAACCAGTCTCACCACCAGGTGGCCAACTCGGGTCAGATTATATGACAGATATACAAAAGTAGAAAGTTCCTTTAAAGTGCCCGATAAAGTATTAAATGCGCATGCGTTCAGGTTTTGACAAATTATAGATACCAGATCCCATCGACTTTCGTCACAGAGGTGCGGACGTGGTTCAGAGAACATCGTGTGCTCATATTGAATTTAGATGTAACCACAGACGTTACATCATGGACACAGAATAGGGCTTTTAACCATAAAATCTGCAACGAAATAACAATAAGTCGAGGGGGTCATTCGCCCCCCCCCCGGGCGATTTTGTATTACTTAACTGATCTCAATAATTATGGTACTATTAAACCTTATTTGATTACATCTACCAAAAAAGTACGTCAAACAAAGGTGAAATCGGGGTCATGAAAATACAGAGCCACAAAAAAACTTGCAAAAGTACTAGATATAGTAAAAATGAGATGAAAGTCAATTTGACCCTCCCTGCAGACATTAGGTTTAACAATACCTTGTAGATGCTTGATATTAGTTTTAGAGTATACATAATAACAATGACACATTTGGAGCCTGTTGAAAAGTATGTGACCCATGGTTACACCGGGAAATTTACTTCCTTCACTACACATGAATATGTATTATTTGTGCAGGGTGACTCTGGGGGACCCCTCGTCTGTAGATATTCAACAAAATCTCTATTCAAGTTAGTTGGAATCGTTAGTTGGGGACCCGTGGGTAAATGTGGCCAGGCATCCCAGCCAGGTGTATATACTCAAGTACGAAATTATATAGATTGGATTCACGCAAAGATATCATTAAAGAAAGAGACGGTCACCACTTCTGCACCATCAAGGCCTAAGACAACACTTTCCCAAGGTATACTTTCAAAAAGCAACGATTGATTTTTTATATACAAATGGGGAAAGTATGCCGTGTACTCGGCAAGATATGCCATCACTAACAAAGCTCATAAAGAGTCGATTGACTGTAGCCGTTGGAATATTTGTTCTGGCCGGTGTTTGGTGATTGGTGTTCGTCGGTCCGTGTTAGGCGTCTGTAACAGTGTTCGATGGTCGACATATGTAACAAATCGCAGGTGGTGATATTTTGCATGTCATTGCTTTGTTTATTCAGGTTGTGGAATACCTGGTATAGGTGTTATGGGGAAGACAATAGGAGGGAATGAGACAATCCCTCATAGATGGCCTTGGGTGGTTGCAATACTATTCGATGGAAACATTCACTGCGGCGGTACCCTGTACAGTCGGGATATTGTAATAACTGCTGCTAGCTGTGTCGTGTAAGTATCTATAACAATTAGTAACACGTCCCCGTTTACTCTACGTTAGTCACCAAATTATAATTACGATCTCTTTAGTCCTTCATTTTAATGAATAAGACATTACAAAATATAACTTAATATTAATTGTTGTTATATTAATGATCATGATTTAGGGGTCGGTTCGGGGAAATCAGCTTATTGACGGTTCTTGTTGGAACCCATACACCAATTCTCGGTGACGAGTTGGTACAACGTAGAGATGTTGAAACAGTCGTCACACATCCACAGTTTAGAGAGGACAGGAGAATGCCATTTGCAAAGTTCAATGATGTGGCCGTGATCAAGCTATCTGACCCAGTTTCTTATGACGAACATGCCCGACCTATATGTCCACCGATCTCATCACCTGTAGACGACAAACTATGTATTTCCACAGGATGGGGTAATTCGTTTCTTTAGGTGTAGTATGTATCCGATGTGCTTGACTTGAGAACCGAAACTAAAGTCACTGACGTACCCAAAAATAAAAAAAACGACGAGGCGAAAAATATTTCCAAATCTGCCTCGTCTGGCTTGGTCGTCTGCCTCATCTTGGCTACACAACAGCAAGTGCTCCCGTGTTCTTAATTTATCTAACTACGTATGCGCAGAAAAAAAGTTGTATGTCGTCGCCGTTCTCCAAATCATTGTCAGGTTGCCTAATCAATACATACAGTACGAGAGGCGATCCATATATCCTGATAAAAACGCTTTCGTTTTGTGATTATGTCACTACCACTGACATATTTCTATAGTCTCCATCTTCTTTCTGGACGGGTGTTGGTGGTTGGTGCACGGCGGTCGGCGCCTGCAACAAACAGCAGGTAGTGACATAAAGGTTAGGCAGGTTAGCTTGATCATAACAACTTAAATGAATTTTTATTATAGGCTTCATGCACCAATCATTACACCAAGTTGAATTGAGTATTCTTGGTATAAGTGACTGCAGAAAGATATACAAACGTAAGGTGACGAATGATATGCTTTGTACACACGACTCAACAGGTAAAGACCAAAATGTGTGCCTGGTAAGTTTTTTTCATTGTTACCCTATAAAAAATTTCAAAATCACTATTAATGCAAATAACTAATTGCACATACTTTATTATTCTGCACATACTTAATTACAGGGAGATGGAGGTGTCCCCTTATTTTGCGCTTCGCCAGATGATCCAAATGTATACCACCTTGCCGGTATATCGAGCTGGGGTCCCAATCGTATCTCAGAATGTAAGATAAAACCAAGTGTCTTCATGGATGTATACTCTTACTTAGATTGGATTAATGATGTTATCGACAGTTTATAAATAAATAACTATACTTTTTCATAAAAAAGGAAGTACAGCATTCTTGATAATTATTGTCTATGAGAGGTACAAGGCACGTCAAAATGCATGAACAGGGCAGGCTCAAACCTCAATTTTATTCTCTGTTAACCATTGTCTATTAATCCCATTGGTATTTCCTATATTACGATATATATATACGTTTATCCCATACTTGGACGTGTTACAGGTACATAAAGCCGGTTTGTAAAATTTATATTTTCATCAGCGGGCAGATATAGCTTTACGTCCCGCTCCGAGCGGGCAGATATAGTATATCTGCCCGCTACGTCATAATCGCCGCTCGCATATTTGTTCATAATTTGTAACGTTCGCCTAATGACTGTAAACGACAGTGGAGAAAACACAGACAATCGGGATCTGTTTGATGGTTTAAAAAGGGAAGGAGCATCCACTTAATCAATCAAAAATTCGAGAAAATAAATGTGGGAATATTTGAGAGAACAGGAAATCCGCCCACGGCCAAGTAAACAAAACTGGACATGAATATTCTAAAATATTTCCACGATTGAACAATGTGAACCAGATGACCAAGATTGGTATGGGATAAACATATTATCCTATAGTCGGTTCAGGATATTGTGATTATCCCTTGGCCAATATAATATATTTTCCCTCGGGACCTGCGGCCCTCGGGCAAATATATTATATTGGCCTCGGGATAATCCCAATATCCTATACCTCATATAGGATAATCTCTATATACGTATATATACGTATAGGTATAATTCCAAATAAGGATTGTGTGTAAAGTTTATTGTCATATATTGATATTATCCGCAGCGAAGGTAGTTTTTAAATCCATGTATTACTAAAAACAAATATAATGTGGATATCACCCTTTAGCTGTAGACATAAAGGTATACATCATGGTGTGGAGCAACCATGTTATGCTTCACCACGAGACATACACGAAGCCCAATTTACCCATGTGACCATCGGATACACTTACATGCTTAATAGCGATATTTACAAAACTTATTTTAAGATCTACATTCAGCATGTTTTATCAACGAATGGGCACTGCTGTTTTTGCGGACACTGAAACAAATAACATTCTATACATAGATTTATTATCGCATAACCATTGGATAGTGTAAATTTAATGTGGATATAAAGGGTGATATTTTATTCTATATCACATCACGAACTGCTGCGACATCTATATTTTATGTTACACAGTAAGAAGGCAATAAGTTGAGATAATGTTAGATATTTTGATGTCCATATGAACACTTTTTAATTTTAATTTGGCCTTTCACTCACAAATATCTAGGTAACAAAGATGTTGAATTCACTTATTGCTTTGGATAGGGTTTATTTTCTGATACATGAACTATGGAGGAATAAACTTGCGATCGAAGTAAAATGGTCTTTTGGTTTTTGCTATTCAGTAGTACATTCAGATAGCTCACGACTCAGCCACTATTTCACTATGTACAAAGGATTCATCATTTATAACTATGTTTGTTCAGGGAACATTGGCTCAGTGTTTAATTGTTATAATATGAAGAGGTATTGTTTAGCTGATTGCTCTTTATTAACACCAAATGGGAAATGCATGAAACGTTTATTGTCAACTAAATACCACCAATGGTTGACTTTTCACGCTTTTATGACAGTACAATAATACCTAAATGTCAACGTCTAGCATTGGTACTGTAATTAATTTATACAGTAGTGTGTATATTAAATATGCACGCATGTAAGTATATTCTTTTCGAACGTGGATGTATCAGGGATGCGTTGAATAATGGGAAATGATCAAGCATGAGTGGTAAGTGCAATGTTATAGTATTATAAACTTGAAATATTAAAACACAAAATGCTAAAATGTAATCACTTTTGCACTTATAGAGCGTTAATGTCAGCTTAAGTCATGGCCAGGTTAAGCTTTACCTGCCTATCAGGTTTTCTAGGAACTCCATCCTGATTTAATCATCCACCAATAAAATTTTCTTATTTTCATTTACAGGTCCTGTCATTTTGATTTCTTTGGTTATTTTGTGTTTGGGGATTCATGGCAATGTTGCCAAAGACTGCTCTGATCCTGCATCCATACTTATTCAGCTGAAAAAGGACATCGATCAGCTCAAAAGAGAAGGCTTGGACAAGTCCACCGACAATCAACTCAGGACAATACTAGAAAGCTTTAAAACAAGGATAAGTACCATCATTGATTGTGAGATTGTTCAGACTTATAAACGCACATTAAAAGCACTCATCAAAAATATTGGTAAAATTTTGAAACTTCTTCGAAAAAATGGAAAAGCATTTAAATCATTCAAAACGCAGTTTACGAAATCAATAGATGTATTGCAAAAAATATCCCAAGACATCGTAGACTGCATTCAAGCTGTGATGTTCAACCAACAGTTTTACAATCAAAAGGATGCAATTGAAAATAGTCAAGCAATTATAAAGAAATTGACAGATTTAAAGTCGAACTCCAGAGAGGTAAAGCAACTGCTGAGTAAGGCAAGGAAATGGCAAAACAGTGTGAGTGGAGTAAGTGGAAAGATACGAGGTCTAACACTCAATGTTCCTAATCCAAGATTTTGTCAAAGTAAGTAACAAATGGTAATGATCTAATTGTTATATCAAACGATATTAAGGTCTGCTAAGCAGTTGGATATGAGGTGAATGTTAATGTGGCCAGGAATATTTGTCCATACAAATAAGTCAAATTAGAGTGTCAAATAAGCCCCTCATCCCCCCCTTACATAACCAAAATGTATGCTTCTAATATAAGTGTATTTCATACATTGCTGTCATAATGTATTGACCTAAAAACAGAGCATTTTGGTATTGCGAATATTCTTGGAATAGTCTGACCTAGTGTTTCAACCGGGCGAAGGAAGTTTTTCTAAAGGGTTCAATGGTCCTTTTCCATATAGCTTTGAAATCTCGTTTAATTCTCGTTTTAATGGGATGTAAGGAGATCTGCATTTTTAACCATTAAAGACTAACATTTTCTTCTATTTGATGGCATATTTGAATTCTGTTTGTAATGTTCTATCACAATAGGTTTGATTTGCATCGTCATTTACCTTTATTCAAATTCTAAAGATTTTCTAGTTGGCTAAAAATGTTCAGCCTATATCCCCATTGACAAAATGTTGAAAAACCATTTACTCTTACAAGGATAACAATTTTACTCGTCTGTGAAATCACATCAATTAAAACTGATGAACTTCTTTTCCAAATCGAGACTTGTCTTTTATTTAATCGGTCTACTACACGTTACGCCTACTTCAAACAGTTTTGATATTTTACACCTTGTAGAAATTTAAATGTCTTCTTTTGAATATCCATAATTAAATTTGAGTGGTATTTCTATATTTTTCATGAAAACCATTATGAGCCCAGGAGACTGTTTTCCAAACCGACACTTGTCCTTTGCATTTACGATTAATTGTAACTCGAAAATAAACAAATACATTCGCATTAAAGGAATAATGCACCATTTGATATAACAGGGAGTCATGTGAAGGTCACGCACCCTTATTTTGGTTTCAATTTGCTTTACTAATTTTTATATCGTGTATTCACACTACCCTACCTCGATCGCGCATGCGCAATTTTTTTGGCTTTCAACCAGGTCGCTTTTAAGTATATCGACTGCTTAGTCGAAAGGTTAATACGTTTGGTGCTCGGAGTGAGTCAATATTGCTATTCGCTACACTTCAGTGGTGCAATAGTGGAGTTCACGTTCCAAGTTATATGATAGTTGAAGAAAGAATGTAAATAATATGTTTTAAATTTTAAAATATTTGATATGTCATAGTACACGGTACACAGTTGCAAAAGTTGATCAATACAGGGTACAAGGAATGTAAATTGTTCAATAGTACAGGGAGCGAGAATGTAAGCTGATTATACAGACATACTATGTCCCGACCTCATGTACATTTACGTTGCAAACAGTGAAAGCAATGCTAAAAAGGCCGCCTGTTGATGCTTTGAGGTGTCATCAATTGTTATTTAATCCAAATAAAGTAAACATTATTTTGTAGATTTAGACACGGGCTTTCAGGTCGTTTGTAATTTAGTCATTAAATTAACAAGAACGCTAGATTATGTGTTACTAGGGTATCAAAATGAAATAAAATAACGAAATTAAATATTAACACGTTAATGATAAATGACTACCCGCTATCAATTACCTGAACTACATGTGAAGAATCTTTCTATATAACCCCTTGAATGGTCCAATTTCACACCGTCCTCAAAAACCGATCATTTAAAATGTTTTGTTCAAGTTCACAAAAATACAGTTGAATAACAGACTAGAAAACGTATCCATCTATAACACGATGACACGCAGTTTAAATAACAGTTAACGGGTTGTTTTGTTTCATATCAATGTAACATTTTCGAAGGGAAACTTACATGCTCCCTGTACGTTGATAGTTTTACTGAAATGTATCGTGTATTGCATTCGAGTTTTGCTTCACTGCGCCCACTATTATCTATCTTTGCCTATAGTGGTTTTTTGCAAACAATATTCTACAAACTGCTTGATGAATCAATTTTATGTCTGTTAGAACACTAGAAATAAATGTAAAATGTATTTTACGTTCAGAAATATGGAATTAAACCAACGTCCTCAATTTGCAACTTAGCTGTACCCTGTTTCCCTTTTAAACGTGGTCACATGGTAGGGAAGTGTGGTATTATTAACTTTGGTATTTCAGGTCCATTCCCACCTCCTACTCCTGAAAATGGATTTGTTGCTCAACTAGTTACAAGTCCATGCGTTTACGTAATATGGTGTAAGCCTGGATACAAACTTCTTGGACGATCCCGTTACGACACAGACTCGCCAGTGGACGACACAGAAACTGAGACGAAATGTTTAGGTACTATATTTTATCATTATTGCATGCTCAGAAGTCTCAACCTGAGCCAAAAAGTGCATTTTCTATTTGTTGAAGGTCATTACAAACTTAAATGAATGATTAGCTAAAACGATTCAGCACCAAAGAGATTGGATTGATCACATTACAAACTATTAAACTGTGCTCTCATTTCGGTGGTATATCAAAATAAAATTTACACCACCAAAATTCACATGTCTGTAAGACAGGTCTATTAAGAATTGGGAAATGTTCCTGTCGTTGTCAAAAGTGTAAATGATTTCTTGGACCACCCTGTATATCATCATTTGTTTCTCTACGAGAATTTAACAAACAAAAATCAAAAATATGCAAATTGTGGAGTAAGTTTGTTGATTGCACTTGCAGTCCATATGCATAAAAGTGTTTGGGGATGTACATGTAGAACATTTCAAAATGTGAAATTAAAGCGTTTATAAACATTCAATTAGAAGGTATTTTTATCACCATAACTACCGGAATCTGATTCGAAAATTGTGATGACAAGGTCCATTTGCTTTATACGATTGTCCACTTGTTATTGTCACCTTTTCTATCGAAAGATGGGTCTTTTCTCATTCCCATCACTTAGTACACGAGGCTTTCCATCAACAACATATTGCTCTTTCATGTGTAAAAATGTTATTGCACAAATCCTCATTCCTTATTCATTGAGATAGATTTTAGTACCTCTCACAGTGCATCGATTTCTTTATGTACTACCTTCACCTCAACATTATCCAATCGTGTCGTGTTATTTTGTAGTTTCTGCAATTGGATATTGGCCTCTTAATAGACAGGATGAAGGGAAGAACTTTGCGGACAATTTTCACAATCCCTCGACGGATGAAACAATTGCTGTAGAAGACGCCAAACTTATTGACATCAAATATCAAGACGGTATTCAAGGAGGAAGACAGGGGTCTGTTCAGGTGTCAACAAGTCATGGATCGTCATCATGTATCGAGTAAGAAAACACGAGCGCATTTAAATGGGCATTACTAAGCCGTGTCTTTATATGGTCACCTAAACTGATTCTAACTCCTAGTCCTAAAGTACTGATAGTGATCGAGTTTTCTTTGTTGGAATTTACTACTCTCTTTGAGCATACGCAAGTTTAATAGTAGATGATATCACTTTTTGTTATAATTTTTGAAATATTGCAGCATACTTGAAATGACAAGGAATCATTTTTCTTAATTCATAAATTCATTTTTTCTCATGTTTTTACTAAAAATGTTTTAGCATTCATTTAAAGATAGAAATGGGACCGCAATGGTTATACATGGTTACAATGTATATATGGTGCTTGTACAGTACCACTGGAAGCTTCATGTTTTGTCAAAAACGACATTGATCGACATAATACAATTTTGTATGTGAATTCCCTTTCAGAATACCTAATGAGAACGGTTTGCTTACATTTGTTGGAAGTTTCACGTGGCTGTTGTATGTTCAACCGAGGAGAAGACAGGGAAATGGATTTTTGTTGGACTATTCGACGTCTAATAAGGTGAAATTTAACATACGGATGGTCGAATTTAAGTTAGTAACTACCATTGTAACATCAACTGGTGAGACATTTGAGCACCAATCTGATACAGAAGTGTTCACGCTGAAAAACTGGGTTTATATTGGCGTTTCTTTTGATGCTGAAACAAATACAATAAGACTGTTCATTGACGGTGAACTCCTCTTTGAAATGTCAATTGAACCTGAAGGAGATGTGTTAGCAGACTCAGATAAGATTGTTTTGGGTAAATCGGCGACTGGAAATGAAATCCGAAAGATGAGATTCGCATGTGTAAGTGCATTCAATCTTGCACTGAACGTAAGTGGGATCCAAGAAGCGATGGCTCGGTGTATTCAAGGTAGTTATTCGATCCATTCCAACAGCTATTATCGAAACTGTATACGATACGATACGGCACGGTATGATACGATACGAGTGCTTGTTCATCAAGTAAAATGACATCAATGTTAGCAATTTGACCAAATATACCACTGTGTCACCTTATTCAAACCCGTTTCAGCAAACCTTATTGCCTCATGGCCATTTGATAAACGAAATGGACAACGGGATGCAAGTGGTAATGGGAACCATGCAACGTCATTCTTCACCATGTTCGCCAGTGGAGTATCAAATGAAAACAAAGGCTCAATGCAAACGGGCAAACGAACTTTAGACAATGGCAAAGAACTCATCACCTATATAGAGATTCCAACTCTGAGAATTGATCGAGTTGTAACATTCGCTGCGTACATATACATTGACGACTTGGCGGATAACAGTCCAATAGTCGACTTCTCGAGTGCCGAATCAACGGGCTTTCAGATTTGGATTCTAAAGGGTGGTCGTCTTTTTGCGAGGATTGCCGAACTGGATCAGACTGGCGAGACGGATTCTATCACAGTAGACAAATACAAAGGGAAACCTGTTGTAAAGAAAGGCACCTGGCACCACATTGCTTTCACATATAGCGGCCACACTGGTGTTGCCACGCTATTCGTAGACGGAGATCAAGTTGCCAAGAAAGTGTTATCAACATACAAAAATGTCATATTTAGGCCAGGGTTCCTTGGGAAAACTTTAAGAAACAATGCATGTTTTAATGGAAGGTTTACGTGTGTTCAGATTTTTGAAGCACAACTCAACCAGGCTGAAATAATCGAGGCAATTGGCAAATGCAAGAGTAAGTACCTTGAACATGTACGAATATCATCAAGGTATACTTATACTGTATCATGATATAAAATGTCAGTCGGTCAGAGTAAGATCTTTGGATTTTGTTGGTAACATTATTTCGTTGTTTGGAAATGTTAGTTATCATTAATCATTTGAAAATTAGTTTAGGAAAATGTATCTAAATCTGAAATATGATGTATGTATGTATGTATCTTTTATTTCCCAATTTGTAATTGGAGTTTTTAAACATAAGCACATTTATATATACACGTTTACATGAACATTATTTACATTGGTATAAAATAAATATATAAAGTTACGTAGGATACGGTGGAGTTAAATCAATGTCCCCCAGCCATATAATTTTGGTGATGTATTTGAAGGACACTTCTAGACATAGATCGCAGAGGTCGGCTTGCACCATAGCACTAACGTTGTCGAGGTTTAAGGATGCGTTACCCGAGATTGCTCTGATGTCATTGATGAATACTTGTCTGTGTTGTTTGTAGAATTCGCACTTCAGTAAGGCATGATTTAGTTGATCTTGGTAGAACATTCCACATTTATCACATAGTGTGTTTATTGATGTTACCGGAAGTGCTACTGCTTTGGCTACAATATGGGCTACAGTCAGTAGTCTAGGTTTTTGAAGTGCTACTCTCCATATTGTGAGCTTTTTGACTTTAGTGATAGGTATTCTTATATCGTGTCGTGGAACTGAAAGGTTTTCATTGTAAAGTTGCACTTCATATTTGCAAATATTTCGCCATAATTCCTTTTTTGGAAAGTAGCCGTCGTGGAGATAGTTCTCAAAAAGCTTAAAATATTGTATTTTCTAAGAATAGATACGATATCAGGAATGAACCCTTTTTGTTCCATGTTGTTCAAGTCGTACATATGCGCTCTCAGAAGAAACATCTTCTTGGCTGCCGCGTTTTGATGCAAGTGGCAAAGTTGGCCCAGGAAGGATAGTTTCCTCAGATCTATAGTGGCTTGTATGTTGTTGATGCCGTCTGCGAGAGCGTAGAGTATGTCCGAGTGGGTGTGTCTGTGGAGTTCGAGAGTTTTTTTCAGGATGTATCTCAGTGCAGTTTCTAATTGCGTCAAGTTTGTCTTAGTTAGGTTGTTCCAGAGCTCACATCCATTTATTGCAGATGGTATGCATATGGTTTTGATTAACTTTATGCCCGTTGTTGGATTGAGCCCCTTGGGATGCACTCCAACGCCTACTAGAGATGCGAAAGAGCCTTTCATGATATGACAGGCTTTATTCGTGATGCTATTATTACTTTGTTGGTTACTGTACGTGTTTCCTAGGTGTTTTACCTCAGATACTCCCTTTAATTCCCCTGCGCTAGTGGTCCATTTTCGGGATTGAGTCATAATATTATTAGTTGCCTTTGTTTCACCAAAGGTAATGACAGTGGATTTTGACATATTAAATAAGAATCTCCATTTCCGGGAGTAACCTATTGCAATGTCTATTAGTGCTTCTAGATTTTCTTTGGAATTTGCGAGGAGACAAATGTCGTCTGCGTAGGTAGGTGCAGTACATGGGACATCGCATATAACTGACCCAACTTTTGAAGCTTCAAGCTCCTGCAGGAGACCGTCAATGTATACACTGTACAGCCATCCGGAAAGGACCCCTCCTTGACGGACAGATTGACTGATTGGGAAAAAGTTTGACATGTGGCCCTTGAATATAATTGATCCTCTCAAGTTACTGTACAGTTGGTACAAGATGTGCCATAGAGCTCCCCTTATGCCAATAGCGTATAGCTTAATGAACAACCCTGCATGACACACCGTATCGTAAGCTTTAGCGCTGTCGAGTGAGGCCATGAACGTCTTCTGGTGCAGCTCTTGGTTATAATTGATTGTTTCTGATATACTGAAGTTGCATGTGTTGCAGCTAAGTCCTTGTTCGTATGCGTTTTGTTGTGAGCTCTTCAGGTACTTGATATCAAGCTTTGTTTCAGTTCTCTTGATCCTTGCTCTGATTAGCGACTCCCAAAGCTTCTCAATTGTTGGAAGGAGTGAGATATCTCTGTAGCAGCTGACGTCATCACGAGGTTTTCGACCGCCTTTATGAAGTTTGGTGATAAGGCTACGAGAGAATGCAGATGGAGGCGTTCTAGTGCGAGTAATCATGTTGAATAGAGTGACGAGTAAGGAGACCAGCGTTTCTCCGCCATGACGCAAATGCTCATTTGAAACATGGTCAAATCCGGTAGCCTTCCGTAGCTTTAGCGTTTTGATTGTTCTGGAGAGTTCAAGTTCAGTGAAAGGCTCCTGTAAAACATGATCGTGTTGCATGTCATCACTTGTTAGGAGCCGCTTAACCTCATCCTCTGTTTGAGTGTTGAATGTCTCGTCAAACTCAGGGTTTGTTAGTTTAGAAAATATGAGCATGGAGTGATTTGCGAACGTCTGGGTAATTGATTCTGGATCACGAATTGTGACGTTGTTGACTCTGAGTTCCTCACAGGTAGCAACACTCTTACCTCTTTGACGCTTAAGTATGGACCACATCAGACGCTGGTCTTTGTCGTCAGCACCGTCGATTTCACTATACACAGAGGCGGTCCATTCCTCGATTGCACGATATTGTTCAAGTCGGAACTTCCGTTTTGAGCTTTTGTAATCCCTGTAAGTGTCATGGATCATTCCTCTGGGACGACCTGAATTGATCCATTTCCGACGTGCCCATTTTTGTTCCTTGTATAGAGTTTTTACGTTGTTAAGCTTCCAATAAGGTTTAAGGACTAATAAGGACTTTTGACTTGTATCCATGAATCTTTTTCAAGATTTCATTTAAAAAAGGTTTTGATTTAGTAATATTGTTTTCTCTGAAAATGAAGCTGTTTAAAGCTATTATATAAACTGGAGAGATGAACTAACATAGAAAATAAAATATACAATAACCTTACGTATCTCCACTTTCCGATTTCATTTAAGAATTACCAGCTGTGAAAGGAGGTACAAAAGATTGCGGAAAGCAGCCAATGAAGCCGATGTTCGGAAGGATAGTTGGTGGTCAACCGGCACTTGAAAACAGTTGGCCTTGGATGGCACGTTTTACATACAGGGGCTTTCACTTTTGTGGTGGTACTCTATTTAAAGAACGTGTAATCATATCAGCAGCTCATTGTTTTAATAGATACGCTGGGTGAGTAAAGTAATAGATACGCTGGGTGAGTAAAGTAATAGATACGCTTGGTGAGTAAAGTAATATATACGCTGGGTGATTAAAGTAATATATACGCAGGGTGATTAAAGTAATAGATACGTCCGGTGAGTAAAGTAATAGATACGCTTGGTGAGTAAAGTAATAGATACGCTTGGTGAGTAAAGTAATAGATACGCTGGGTAAGTAAAGTAATAGATACGCTTTGTGAGTAAAGTAATAGATACGCTGGGTGATTACAGTAATAGATACGCTGGGTGAGCAAAGTAATAGATACGCTGGGTGAGTAAACTCATAGATACGCTTGGTGAGTAAACTTATAGATACGCTTGGTGAGTTAAGTAATATATACGCTGGTTGATTAAAGTAATATATACGCAGGGTGATTAAAGTAATAGATACGTCGGGTGAGTAAAGTAATAGATACGCTTGGTGAGTAAAGTAAGAGATACGCTTGGTGAGTAAAGTAATATATACGCTGGGTGATTAAAGTAATATATACGCAGGGTGATTAAAGTAATAGATACGCTGGGTAAGTAAAGTAATAGATACGCTTTGTGAGTAAAGTAATAGATACGCTTGGTGATTACAGTAATAGATACGCTGGGTGAGTAAAGTAATACATACGCTGAGTGAGTAAACTAATAGATACGCTTGGTGAGTAAACTAATAGATACTCTGGGTGAGTAAAGTAAATCTAAAGACGGGATGGTATGGTTAAGCATAACACAAAAAATGAATATTTTTAAATCTTAAGAATCATGTCTATGCATCTCTTTTAGAAGGGAGAATCCTTGGGAAAATATAAAGGTCTATATTGGGTCACACCTGACGGACGACCCTTCGCGAACTGAACAGGAGTTTGAAGTCGAGACAATTATCATGCATCCAGACTTCAACAGTTTAACATTCGATAATGACGTTGCCATGGTGTTTTTGAAACGTGAGTTTTCGATAAACAAATAAAGCGTTTTAGAAAAAATAAAACAAGTTATATGAATTTTAACAATATAAATACAGGGTGTCCCGAAAGTATGCCCCCCCCCCTAGGCAGATATATTCCAGTGTCCTCGTAGTATGTGTCATATATTATTTTTAAGCTTATCCAAAGTTACATTTACTTGCCAAGTAGCATGGTTTAACTCCCAAATGGGAAAAAGTTCAATTTTACACCACATTACTAGTCAATGTGTCCCCCCTTGGCCATATTAACAGCAGCAAATATTTTCAGAAATGACCTTGAAAGCCCTTCAAATAGGGGTATGGAATTTTATAACACTCTTAAAACCTGTTAAGGGACTTTAGAAGAGTTTCCTTAGATTTTCTACCCTCACCATTTTATTTTTCCAACTCAATATCCCTCCGACGCGAAAATATTGCTGCTGTTAAGATGGCCCGGGAGGGCACATTGACTAGTGATTTGCTGTAAAATTGAACTTAATTTTGTCCAAACACTCAATTTTGAAATGCCTGTAATTTTTTCACATTTGAGAGTTGAACTATGATACTTGGCCAATCAATGTAACTTTGGATAAGCTTTAAAATGATATATGGCACATACTATGACAACACTGGTATATGTCTGCCTAGGGGGAGGCATACTTTCGGGACACCCTGTATATGCCTGTTTTATAAAACATTATTGAACTTAATACGCATTTGCTTCTAAAACGTTAACTTTATTAAAGGAGCCGTAAAGTATAATGATGGAGTCCAGCCTGCCTGTCTGACAGACAGAGAAGTCGAAGACGATTATGAATGTATTGCGACTGGATGGGGGAGAACACAAAGTAAATTGTTGTCGTTCATCAGAGAAAGTTTGCAACTATTTTAAGGCATATCTCTGCTTATGTATGCTCGTTGCAGTATTCAAAACATCGAACGATGATCATTGAAGAAAGGAGTATTACTTCAATGTCATATAATTGATACATTCACACAAGGATACATTCACACAATACATTTAAAACTCAAACGTCAAACGTTGCCATTAACTTATTTGTAATGATTAAGAAACGTAACAATCAATGAGTGACTGTTAATGATTTTTGACATACCATTTTGTATACTTTATTATTAGATGCAAATGAGACGACTAATCTTCTTCGGCAGGCTAAAATCCCAATTCGCAACCGTACTGTGTGTAACCAGAGGATGCAAAATGATGTCAGCAATAATATGATTTGTGGTGGTTATTGGGAAGGTGGAATAGATACATGTACCGTAAGTTTTGTCGAGCAATTGGATTTCTATTAATATCCATTTACGAAGTTACATGTAAAATAAAAATCTTGCTAGTTGAAATTTAAAGGCCCTTTAAAGTTTAAACCACGTTGGCTTATATTGTAGCCTTACACAACAGTCACATTTGTCGTACGGCGACCGTACGTCAACTGCACATCATTTAAACCGGTGAATTTCTTCGGCGAGCGTAGGAAAACTATGGTCGCCTTGCGTTGTCTGTACGGCGTATCCACTTTTTTACATGCCTTTGGGTAGTCGTAGAAATTATAACTCGGAGTGATAATATTTGTTAATTTCTGCGGTCCTCATAGAAATCAACATGCCGTTGCCAGATCGCAGAACGGTCCCACGATGTCCGCACGTCGGGGTTAGGTGGACTTGCGTCGAACGTTGTGTTTTAATGGGTTATGTACTTTTGGAAACATTTTTCAGGTTAGATTTGCTGTCATATCTTTGATGTGAACACAACGCAATAGGTATACTGTTTGATGTAAGGTCACTGATAGCACATCAACCTATATTACAAAATATTAAGTGACAATTGGTCAATATTTCACTAAACACTTTTTATTTGATATTTTATTCTATCACTATAAATATGATTTATAAATTTAACTGATGCAAATAAAATGAAATAAATCATTAAGGTTTGTGAATAGAAATTTAAAACTCGCTGTGCGTCTGCCTTAGGAAATGTGACTTCAAAAGTATCCGACCGCAGACGAGCGTAGATATTTAACTGACCGCACTTATGATAGACCTCACGTTGGCCGTAAGAAATGTGACCGGGTTGTTACCCAATGTTATCAAAATGTGATATATTAACATTTTTAAATCCAAAAGTGGTTCTCGAAGGACTATTATTTTCGAAATATTGTGAATTCATTTAAAAAAAACAAATTTTAGAGTTCACACATGAATTTTAATACGAAATAATTCACACCGATGCATAGCATTCAACCTCAAGTGTACAGTCATGCATTTCGTCGAAGAATTAAGAACATTGGTTGATAAATAAGCGAGAAATAAACTCATCCGTACGTGACAGGTTCAGAGAAAAAATGGATGTTGAAAGTTTAGTTAGTAAAACATTCTTCTAGCCTCGAGATAGACAATCAACATTGGTTATGTTAGGCTATTTAGAAAAGATTGACATATAAAAAAGTGAACCTTAAGTGACACACCCTAAGTGGTACATTAGATATTACATTACATAATGAAAAAGTGTGCCCTTTGTTCAATCTTCGCAATGACGATGGTTTTAATTTCGGATTACAACAAACCCATCTTCATTGAGCAACAATAGTTAACGATATTACAGCATTAGTTAAGCGTATTTAAGTTGTAAACTAAGATGTTTCACTTAATAAACGTACAATGTTTACTATTTTGAATAATTTCATTTTAATAATTTGCTGTTTTAGGGTGACTCGGGTGGACCTTTGATGTGTCAGTTTGGAAAGGACCCTACCTATAGGCTCGTGGGAATAGTGAGCTGGGGAGAAGGGTTTCTATGTGGATCGGAAAACAAAGCGGGAATATACACGAATGTGCTGGTTTACATCAAATGGATTACAAACAACGTTAAGATACCAGAAACGACTACTAAAGCAACCACTACTACCACCACTACAACAACACCCATGCCTACCACCAGTGTTCAAACAACAGTACCTACACAACTTGGATTCCGCGGAATTCGTAAGTATAGTGTATCTAAGTCGACAATGGACATATATCTCACTGGGGAGTATCGTGATGCAACAACACCGTGTTGTTGCATCAAGATGGCCAGACTTCCGGTGATAGATTTTCGTACGATATGTTGTTTCCCCAATTTAAACCCATTTCTAGGACGAGCTTTTCAATAACCATACACGTGAAGTTAGCGCACGGTCTATATTTAAAGAAACTCTCATTAGTATACATGGAGCATCATCAAGAAGCAAGAAGTTCACGGTTTTAGTTCCCCACTATTGATGCAACAACACCAAACCGAAGATGCAACAACACTCCTCTAGATTTGAGCAATGATGCAACAACACCAATTAATAGTATTATTTCAGAAGACCATAAATCTCGGGAGGAACAGATTTTTAAATGCTACTATTGCAACACCGGGCCAGTACCCATTTGCGTTCTTCTCAGGCATTCAAAAATACACGTCCTGTGGGCAAAGATTCTTTATATGTATTTTCAAAAATTTATACTTATAAATATCATATATTTATGAACTGGAAGTTGTTTTATAACATAGTTCAATCACCTTTAACATTGGAAGCTATAGTAACCCAGAATCTATTTTCATAAACCCCTGTTCCATAGCTTGATGACCCTGATACCAGTTAGTATCATTCAAAATGGTGGACAAACATCTTTTGTTCTCGGTAAACACGACGAGCTTTTGGAAATTTTGCACGGCGCACATGTAGAAGTATTGTTCTCTTTGGATTCGTTCTCCCCGATTGAGTAAAAAGGTAGGTAATAGGATTTAGGTCCTGAAAAGGTAAATTGATAGGGGTACAGTAATCCCAGATTCCCCCTGGGCCCTCGGGAAATATCATAATGTCTCCCGGAATAAAACCAATATTGAATCCCTCTCAGTAAATAACCTCTATATAATAGCATTGTATAACTGCAATATCATTAAACCAACACTCATCGGAAGTTATGGCGTTTTGAAAACTCAAAATCGCTAAAGGTGCCCCATGTAAAGTCAATGGGAAATTTTTTTTTTGAAGTGTAAAATACGACATACATACGACCGAGTACAGCTTAATTTAATGAAAGCCTTTAAATGAAGGGTTCCTCAAAAGCAATCTAGCTTCAAAATTTGGACACAAAAATGTCTAGGTCAAATTCAAAGTTTTCCTTATTTTTGTGATTCTGACACTACACTTCAATTATATTCTTCGATATTGTGTATACTTGTAGCCAAGAGTGTACTAATAGTGTTAGCCTTTTGCCGTCAGAAAGTATTTTAACCCACTTTTGAGATATGGGTGTCCAAAAAGTAGATCAAAATAAAAAAATTCTCCAAATTTAACGTTTGAGTTATGAATAACTTAAGAATATAATTTTCTCAGGAATCAGAATCTGCAAACCAAATTTCGATCCGACTTCCAGTTCGGAAGTTATGGCGTTTTGAAATTTCGATAAAAATCGATCTGATGGTATCCTGATAGTCAAGAGTAGCGAAGAAAATGTTGAAAAATCCATCCATCCTTCAATCCATCCTTCCTATCCTATCATACTATTCTATCCTATCGTCCCTTCTTATTCTATCCTATCCTTCCTATCCCATCCCTTTTATCCCTATCCGTTCCTTCCTATCTATCCTTCATATCCTTTCCTTCCTATCTATCTATCCTTCCCATCCTTTCCTTCCTATCCTTCCTTGCTGTGCTATTCTATCTTTCTTCTCTATTCTCTCCTATCGTTACATCCTATTCTGTCCTATCCCTCCTTTTCTATTTCATCCATCCATCTTTTTCTGGATGACTCGGCTTAAAAAAGTCTAGATCTGGAGTCTGAAATTGAACTTGTTCAATTTCCAAAGTCTAGTTATATTAGTACTTTGTAAAGAATTTCCATACTATACGGTAAATCAAGGGGATTTAATTTAGAAAATGAATAATCTTTATTTTTCAGATACAATATCAATGAGGTTAGCTCCCGGGGATTCAATACTTAGCCTATGTATTTAGTTTACCTTGTATATCCTTTTAACTTTGATAAAGACGAATACATTAAGGAACCAAACAAAATACGTTTCATTCATGAACCACGCACTCACGCGTTTTATTCATTTCCCGACCAACACCTATAAACAGAACATAAAACAGTTTCTCTAGATATTCAATGATACATTATATTGGCGTTTTTGCATCAGCACATTGGTGTTGTTGCATCATCGATAATAAACATAGTGGTGTTGTTGCATCAATAGTGAGGAATTAAAACCGCGAATTTCTCGCTTCTTGATGATGGTACATGCATACTAATGAGAGTTTTTTTAAATATAGATCATGAGCTAACTGCATGTGTATGATTATTGATCAACTCGTCCTAGAAATGGGTTTAAATTGGGAAAACAAAATATCGTACGAAAAGCTATCACCGGAAGTCTGGCCATCTTGATGCAACAACACGGTGTTGTTGCATCACGATACCCCCCAGTGTATCTGTTGATGATAACAATATGGTCATCCAAAAACACTAGACGTACAGTATCACGTGCATTTTATTCAGAATTTATGTTAAAGTATATTTATATATTCATTTTTAAATTAATCATATTTGCACTTTATGTTTAACAATTAGATTATAACGTTATGAATTGACCTTGTAAGCTGTCATTTATTCCCATACGTTTTTTTGTAGATTGGACATCGTTTGATCAGTGTTTGGATTGCATATGCGAGGTATGATTGCATTGGCACTAAACATAAATTATCAAAAATAAATATGCTGTATATCTTCTCCAAAATATGGAGTTCGACCAAAGGGCTCATTGTAATACAGTATTGTTGTTCATTAAACGGACAACACTACAGTGTAAAGTCAATGCCATTCCCGTCGCCATCAGTTTGGTATCCAGAAGTCTCGATTGGTCTACGTTGCTTTGTTCATTTATTACAACAGTTCAGAAAATAATGTGTTTGATGAATTTATTAACGTCGATAAACAAAAAAGGTTCTAACAAGTGACCAGAAAGTGGACTTCTTCCGATTGTTAATCTGTCTGGGAGAACGAGAGTACGTCCCTACATTGAGCCCTCTATCTTCACAAAAAATAATAACGTTTGCTTCATTATTGAGAAAATGATTCCAAATATAGTGGGTGGTATTTTTGTGCCGCCCTGTATCATGATCTATATCATGCAGGGCCGTGGCGAGGATCTTAAATCACCCTACTATACCTTGCATTTGGTGTTCATGAGCAACCCATTTGGCTTATTAGTAATAATAATATAATTATGTTATTTGTTTTTATTTGTTTGTTCCTTATTAATGGTTTATCGGTTGAAAGTTAGATGTTAATAAGGTACTTTCAAAAATATACTAAACGATGCAATTAGACAGAGTACCTTATGCATTTCTAGGGGTTAGGTATAGTAGAGTGTAAATAGTCGAGGCAAAATTATATTTACGAGGTTTATTTTAGCTAAAGAGGGGATTATATTATAAAACTTCATTTCCCAAGTTTCAATTTAGAAAAAAACTGAATCAATATACGTTTCAATATACGTTTAGCCAAAGCCATGACATGCGTGAACGAATACGTTATATTTCAGGCAAGTGAAAATGGATGTTTGGAGGGTCTTACTAAGTGTTTTAAGGACAATAAGGGTGTCGAAAGATGCGGTCCATTTGCCTTATCAGAGACAGATTGGTTTTCCTGCAATAAACACGGAGTAACCAATGGTTTCAGTAAGTATAACAATATTCTTACACTTTCTATCATAATTGAACGCACAATGTTGCCAGGAAATATGAACGCAGATGAAAGAAATGAAAATTATAATATGTAACGTAGTGCGTGTATTGCTATGTAAATATACATGTACTATTTCTGGTAAAATCCGAACTACAGATCAAAAACAATTTTGAACCAAGTGTTTCACCGATTTTGTTCATACATCTCTTGTCTTTCTTCGATGTCACTTTGGCCAAGATGCATAAAGCTATGACTGATAACATGGTTTGTGAAGCATATTATTGACTCGTAAATTCAATGATATTTCTGAAAATTTATCCTCTTGGTAACAGCTTTCTGCTATATCTTTAGAACAAAAACTTTTAAATATAAATTTCAGAATTAATGTCCTACTGTATTCTCTGTACTATTACGTTAATTGTTCCCTTTTCAGATTGGAAAACGTGTGCAATTCATAAAGTTTGTTCACGTGATTGTGTGAGTTACTTCCTGAAGAAAGAAGGGAATACGTGTTTCCTTGAAGAAGTATGCGAGGACTATGCAAGGTTTGTTATTGTAAATATATATTTGAATCGTAATTATGTACATTCTGTATCGAGAAACAAGTTATTGCTAATCGTTTATTTTTCAGTCGTAAATAAACAATGACCCAGGAGCTTATCACGCCGAATGGTATTCGATTATGCATTATGTATCAATTGTCTACACGGAAGTGTTCGCATTTATCCCCGAATGTATCCTAGTACTTGTCTTGAATATTTATGAATATGTATGATTATTGTTTTATAGGCTTTGGTACTTTAAACAACCATCCTCGTGTTTTTTTCATGATATGAATGTGGACTTCTACTGGAGTAGAATAGAAACTAGCAAGTGTTACGGTGGTAGGTATGATAACACCATGTTTAAATTTCCCATATGTCCATGATGGTAATAATATTATCAATCGATATTGTACATTCGGACTTGATGGAATAATACTTGAGACTACACTTGAGCATGTTCGCAATGGTTAATGTTGCGATACTTTGTATATATTCTTGTTGGCCTATCTTAGTAATTGTACTGTAACGAACTTGTTCATTCAATACTGTTAGAGTTACTCATGTTCTTTCAGGAACGCTGTGCTTAGACTGCATTTGCCACGTAAGTATTATTCTATATAAGGTGTTCCAAAATTGTAATTAGAAAAATATCACGACACGAAACAAGATGTACATGAAGTAGCTATGGTAACAGCGTATCAACGTATCAGTGGCAACATTCAACCCGATCGTTTAAGAGACGAGTGGACCTTTTATGACTCGAAAATGTTGGCGTAAATCAGAGGGAGCACATCTCGATATAAAAATATTACAACGACATTGTTTACTATTTCATCTTTAATGATTAATTTTCAATAATCATGAAAATTATAAATCAACATACCCTTACATGAGTCAATCTTTAGCGTCTCTGATGCAAATCGTGCAATATTTTCCATCGGAGATGCTTGTCTTAATGCCGATGCTTAGTAAATTTTTTGTATGAAATTGATATTTAGGCAAGCGGCTGTGAGACTAATTTAGGAAAATGTGTTATCGATGAAGGAGTGGAGCGTTGCGGACCAATGCAGATCAGTTTCGAAGCATGGAAAGAATGCGGACGACCAGGGGGTGGTAAATATGGTTACAATTATTTAGTATTTGAAATATCTTTCCTATACTTAAATGGCATCATATGAATGTATATGGGAATATAAATTTTTACACCAATTAGGCCAATATCGTAAGTTTTCCTAGGCATATAAAATTGAAATTGGTTTGTTATGATAAATTTTACTAGCCTGCTATAAGTTTTTAATACATGATTCACTGTTTTCAGATTTCAAGAAATGCACAATGAGCTCGATGGCGTGTTCAAGGCACTGTGTCGTGAAATATCTCAACAGATATCGTGGAGACTGTACAAGGAAGTCAAATCCAGCTGACATTACTTGTGAGGAAGACGCAAGACTCTGGTTTGCAGGGCCAACTAATGGATGCAAAGATATGCAAAAATGGACGACGGAATATTGGGAGAGAGTGGAACATTGTTTAGAGGCAAGATCAGGGAAACAGTAGTGTATTCACAGTGAAATATTGTGCACGTGGCTCTGTTTCTCTTAGTCGTAAACATCAACATTGATAATGAACTAGAATCGTCGTGTGTGCATCACATCTAACGACAATGACAATTTGTTGATATCCACTTTTTATTGAATGTCGACCTACATCGTCGACTATGTTCATGACCTTCCATAATAGAGTATGAACCATATGCAGTATACGAAATCGCTGATTGGAACATCTCGTCTTTGAGTTGTTTCAAAGAGGCAACGTACACATTAGAAGATGAAACATCATGGATGAAAATAAACATAATGATGGTAATAGCATTGAAGTATAAATGGAATAATATATATAAGTCACACTTTTGTCACGGCTTTTCATTCTTATGTACGTGTCGAATGACGCTACTCTGCTGAACACGACACCGCTGTTAGTTTTAAATCAAGATGTAATCATCTCCTGAATCTTGTAAAAGCATTATACTATAAATCGCATGGAGATTTATTTATGGAAAGACATTATGTTGTATAAAACTATGCCGATGCTATGATACTTACATGAATGATAATTGTTAATATATGAAGCGAAGACATTGGTACGCTGAATGCTAACAATTTGACAGATGTAAGTTATGCTAAGGCCAAATATATGCTAATGAAATAAAACTGTGTGTGTGTTACAATTGTTAATGTAACGATTATTTTGTGATACCATTATCACGGGCTGGTATCGAATTATTTGTCCGCTGTGACGGAGCATGCTATTTTTCATAAGAACACTAAGAATACTTCACGATTTATTTTTTAACTCATATGTTTCGTTATACCATAGAAAATTATTTACTCCATGCAATGGATATATCATTTGCGGGTAACTTTCACTTCTGTTTGAAGTTCAATTACGCTGGGAAGAAAAGCTATTGAAAATGGCGCCGGAGTATCATACTTCAAAATGTACCATTTCTTGTTTAACTTTCTATTGGCACGATATAGTGACACGATAAAATTTACACATGGTTTCAGCATAACTAAGAAGGTAAAGATGAGATGTTGATGTATTTGGTCTTTTTAATTCTTTTATTCTTTTATAAAAAATAATTTTTAATTTTTCTGTCCGCTGTGACAGAGCAGTTGCAAATGTGAACTATGAAAATGAGTATGATACTCCGACGCCGTTTTCAATAGCTTTTACTCTTAGCGTTGTTGGACTTTAAACAGAAGTTAAAGTTACCCGCAAATGATATATTCATTGCATGGAGTAAGTAATTTTATTTGATATAACAAAACATATGAGTTAAAAAATAAATCGTGAAGCATTCTCAGTGTTTTTATGAAAAATAGCATGCTCCGTCACAGCAGACAAATCTTTCGATACCAGCCTGTGATTATAAAAATTGCCCCCTCAGGGAGAGACAAAGGAATCCAAGAATATGCCATAGAAACATGATACCCCCTCCCTAACTGATAATGAAAACTATAAGAAATATACATATTAACCTGTTAACCTCAGAAACATGATTTATAGATACACTGTATTCATAAATTAATATATCATTATTTTTTCAATTGTGTCACCCATTTTGTATTATTTCTGAATGAGAAGGCTGTGTAAACAGAAATATAAAATGTTGAATACATTAACGCACGTAAAAGTCATTTTAAAATAACATTTACTTGACATTGTTCAGTTGTACGTTATATTTACTTGATTTTAGTCACGTTCTGAAACATGCATTTTCAAACTCAACGGCCAGACATCGGAAGAACATCTAATATCTTCAAGGAAAAGTTAGAAACTGCGATGAGTAAAAGAAAGTTAAACTTTACATAGCCTAAGATCTTTGTGATTGTCAAATACAGAAGCATTATTATGAGATTAGCACCAATAAATGGATTATTTAGATTACTCAACGGTGCCGGTAAGGAAGGAACGTACATTTATAAAGAAAACAATTTCAAGAAACAAAAATAGAGGCCCCTACAGGTACTAAGACCCCGGCAAATGCAATATTTGAGCTTTTAACACAATAAAAGGGGGAAATACTGTAAAAGCAAAAATTATAGCTAGCGGGAACAAACTGTAACGAAATATAGTAGAGGATATCAAGTTCTAGAGCTGATTAACTTCTACGCAACCATATTTTTCTGGCGGACATTTTGAACGTTTTTTGACGGTGTGATCTTGTTCATTATTTGGGAGATGTTTTACCAGTATTTGCACTTGCACTATGAATCTTAATTATTATCACTAATTGATCATTTGTAGCGTTAAAGATCCACTATGCTTAATTTAGAAGCATAAACGATAAAATAATCCTTGAAACATGTTATTTACACACTCAATCAAATATGATACAAAGCTTGACATGCATTAATATATTGAACAGAGAAAAAAATAACTCGCATAGAAAATAGCATTTGAAGTTCAGAGATCTTAAGTAGTGCGTGCACATTTTTGACAAACTGCATGTTTTTTTAAATAACTCTTGATTTAAAAGATGGCGACACTTCTATAAAAAAAGGAATCATGTACTACAAACAACTTCGCCATCTTTAAGTGACATTTGTAAAAACTTGATATATAAAAAACTATCAAAAATATTTTAATAAAGTGGCCCGTTTAAGTTGTTTTTGATGTCTAATGAAAGATAAAGTACTCGCCAATCCATTTGAAATACTATGAAGTTCAAAAGCAAGTCTTTATTTTGCCAAAAAATGTTGAAAATACTAGTGCGCATAGTGTGGCTTGAGATATACACTCTCCTCCATAAGTTTGGCAACCTAAGCTCCCCATTGAACTACGTGTTCAAGCTTTTTTACGTTTGAATTTTTATTAACTTAACCTGCGATGAAAATACTTATAATATTGATGGAAACGTAACTTGATTTTATTTCCAATACTTCCAAATGTTCTCAATTTTTTTTGTCGTTTAAATTTTTAGATTCTTTTATGATTGGTTTAAGAGAAACGTGTGTTCAAAAAGTCTTCCATGTCGATACCACTCCTTTATCATCAATTTTCGACCTATTGTACTTGAGGGAAAAATTGGGAAAATAAAGTCAAGTTATGTTTCCATTAATATAAGTAATTTCATCGCAGGGTAAGTAAATAAAAATTCAAAAGTAAAGAGGCTTTAACACGTAGTTCAATGGGTGAGCAAAGGTTGCCAAACTTATGGAGGGGAGTGTATAAAAATCATACGAATACATCTATTGGTCAATTGTACAGTGTTGTTCGCAATTTTGCCACCCCATATTGCTCTCATCCTGGCTTTAATACACACCTGAAAACATTTAGATATTAACGGATCAGCTGACATACTTCGGCAGTGGAAAATCCCTGTGATGAACAAAGGATTGTGCAAATCCAGGATGAGGGCTCAGATTACTCAAAATATGATATGTGGGGGCTATTCGGAAGGAAACATCATTGACACATGCCCAGTAAATCCGCGTTTATGTTGGTTGTTGGTCGATTCTGAGAATATTCACAAAAAATGATAAAAGGACAGACAGTAAAAACTTCTGCTACATTTACGGGTACATCCAAGTGGTGGACTGATTTTTTACATAAACCAAAGCACAGGATTTTATTTTGTTTGAGCAAGGGTCATTAAACAGAATGTTCCAATAATGCAATACAACTTTAAAGCAGTGGCATGCATGTAGATGTTTAAAATGTAAAACAGTTGTAATCATGTTAAATTCATTTTGATAATAAATGCATTCAGAATCCTAAGTGGATGAGACAGCTATCAATAAAATATACAAGAAATAACTCAAAATCTCACGTTCACTCAGAATGAATGTGACAGCAGGTATATTTCAAAAGAGACGCAGATAAGTTGAATTAAATGAGGATTCCTCCATGAAAAAACAAAAGTTACAATTTATCGCATTTGTTATACCGCGAATGTTCAGATTCGAAGCTGATTTTCTCATATGCCTCAGTACTCAATCTAAACACGTAACCATGTGGTATGCTCAATTTGGTTTGACATGGCTATCCAATAGATATATAGTCTATATAAAACACTTGTGTATGTCAATACCTTTTCATTTTATTCCTTAATGTACTTATATAGGGTGAAGGTGGTGGACCTTTAATGTGCCAGTTTGGGAATGACCCTAACTACAAGCTAGTAGGATTAGTAAGCTGGGGAGAAGGGCTTAAATGCTGGATGCAAAATAAAGCTGAAGTCTTCACGCATGTATCACTCAAGCCACGTATTCCTTTCATTATAACGAATTTTATGTTACATGACTATATGTTTTTATTCCGCTATTTAATATACGCTCTACCATGAGTATTTGGTATCAAATTAAACGTCTCTTAATCCTGCAAAATGTCATTTAGTTTTTATCTCAGGGTTACAAAAGCTGAACGCATTATCAATCGTCGAACATTCCAAACTATCATTTTTTGCCTTGTAACCGATCACCCTTATGTTGATTGACAGTAACTTTTTTATATTCTGAAACGTATTTTGTTATCATAATTGACTATTTCATCACAAAGACTGCATCGTGTCGATTGTACGTTAGCTGGAATTAATTTATTTGCTAATTTACTATTGGAAAATCGACATTAAGTATGTGTAGCCCTCGAAGGCACCATCATCGACACCATGCTTGAAATCAACGGTGTCGAGAAGCCTCTGCACTATTCATGATAAAGCCCCATTTACTTCTTTGAAATATAAATTGCCTTATTAACGGATGTAAAACATTTTCACAATACATTTGAATTTAACATATTTAGCTTGTTACGTTTTTTTCGACGTAAAGTACTATTTTTCAAAATCAACATCGACTCTACAAGTACGTTGTCTTTGCACTCTGCTTTCAATCAAAATCAGGTTTCAATGTTAAGTAATGGTGTTGACGGTTTGTCTCAATGTATTTTGATAATATAAACATACGCTTTATTGATGTTATTCTTTGACCACGTGAAGATTGAGTTATTTACGACCATCAACGACTCCACCACATACGACTCCAAAATACTATCCACATATTAAGTAGGTCACATGCATAATCGAACGCTATATATTTGTCGAATGAACCTACATTCATTAAATGACTATTTTGTTGTATGTGTAGCATTTTACAGTGATACCGAGCTAAGGATTTAGAGCATATTGTTCATAGTGATTACAACGAATAGTGATAAGTAAAATTGAATCTATTAAGCAGATCATGTTATTTACTTATGATGCATATTCTGTTTGTCTTGAAATGCTAAGGTAATGTGACACAAGAATTGGGATGATTGAGCAGTTCATAGTTTTATAAAATCACTGACAAATATAGATCACATTCCCCGATATTTCTTAATTTATAAACGTTTCGTTCAGTGTACCACTAGACGAAATGTATTTCTTGCCATTATTTTAAAACAATAAATATTTCATTGGGATAATCAGTTTTGTGACATTTTATTAATGTGCATAACTTCCCACACTCTCATTAGTATATCTGTCTTACTTATCAGACCTTTCTGATGATATAAGAATATGGCACTTACCAACGCCGAGAAGTGCCGTCGTTCTCTACAGACTACAGTACAGGGAGAGAAAGAAAAAAGAATGATACCAAAGGCTACTTAGAGCAAGAACGATTGCGACAGCGAGCATCGTATACACCGAGAAATAACCTGTCTATTGAAGCTGTTCAACAGATCAGAGAAAAGAACAACAAGGCATCCCGGGAATACAGGGCACGCATACGCCAAGTGTATAGAGAAACAATCAAAACACGCCAGCCTGAAGGGAACGCTCAGAGTCTAAAAGTGAAACTGCCAGGACACAAATGAAAATCCAAGAAATCCCAGAACGCATTATTAAAACATTGAAGATAAGGCGACTGGACTTAAACCAGTACCAGGTACCTTTCGAATCAATGCTGTGAGAGGGGTTTCCAATAATATTGTTGAAACGCGAGAATTATCATGCTATTGTGACGCATGCAGAACAGATACGTCATTCTCACCCTGTGGTTGGCAAAGGAACAACCTTATTACCGTTAGGAAGACCCAGCAGGCAGCTAAGGTGGTCACCGAGCTACCATCTTTAAAACCAAAACGGACCACACGACGAGCACACCCGACACCCAGTACGTCAAGTACGTAAAGCATCGACGCCCTTCGACGTTTCCACTCTTTCAACCACATTGAAGTGTCGGCCTTTAGTACCCCATCTACAAGTTCAAAGTCTTCAGACACAATTGTTTCCGCGAAGAAAAGGAGAGGCCCGATAAAAAGAACAGACACTGTAATATTTGCAAGGCATGCGGTGTCAACTATTATTCGTATTTACAATCGCAGTTCGAATGGATCAAGTGCTCTAAATGCCACGATTGGTTTCATGATTCCGGGAAATGTTCTCGTGTAAAGGGGATACTCATTGGAGAAATAATTTACATGCTTTAATTGCAATAAAAGACGACCTTAAATGTGTAAATTATGTAAACGTTATTGTTTAAAAACCCAAGCGACCATCAGCGACACAGTTAAATAACACTTAATATCACAAGGAGGAGTGATTGACCTATTCGTAACAATGTTGTATTTTGATGTTAGAAGACATGTGCGTCTAATTTGTACATTCATTTTGTCGATCTACGAATTGACTTGGCATATTATTTAGCTTAGAAAACAAAATCTTGAAATCAATTATCTTTAGGGAAACTCAAAACAATGTATTTCAATGATTATATTAATAAAATTATCTTGTTAAGATAAACAACAACTATTGCAATTTATTTTTGTTCATGTGATTAAATAATTCAAACTTAATACATTAGTTTATCTTTAAACTCAAAATTAATTTTGAAACATGAATCAATGTAAGCCTATGTATGCACCATCATCGACACCAGCAATTTAAGAGTATATTTACGTTTTGATGCACAATCAAGTAATTGTTTAAAGGGTAATAAAAATATTTTGAGAAACGCTTCTTAAACCCCATGGCTAATGGTATATGCATTTATATCTCAATCTAAAATTTCATTTTTTCAACTTTTATATTGATCAAATGTGAAAGAGATTCGTGGCTTGACTGGTATGTAAAATGGATCAAAGTCACTGCTAGTGCTGTTATAATTTAGACAACATCAACTGAAAAAACTACCGCTATCACTAGTCGTATTACCCCAGTCTCCACTTCAACTACGATTCCCAATATCCGCTGATTGAGACATGCATTGTTTCTAAAGAAGTACACATTAGAATATACATATAAACATCAATAAGTGTTGCTAATTGAATTTTAATGATTTAACATAGCGATGTGCGATTTATGCCAAGGACAACTATATGCTAATAAAATAAAATAAAATGGGTCAAACGTGTGTTACTCTAATTTTATAATAAAAGTGCTGGTCTTACAACATACGGTGCTAATCATGCACACACTTTCAGTATGAACGTCAACTATTTGATTGAAATAATTGCTTAATTACAAATCGTCAGTAGGACGCAATTGTTAGTGATTGTCTTTTTAGTCAAGGCAGCTCCTTTACACATACAAAGCTCCTCTGAAACGCATGGACAAATGTGTGTGTTAACAAAGTAAGTGCCAAAATCTAGTTGCAGAATTAAGAATGTGCAACAACACTCGAAAAGAATATGATCGAAGTGTCATTAGGAAAAATTAGGAAATAAATAGAAACATAATATCCCCTCCCTAACTGATCAGTCAACATTACAAGTAATGTAAGCCTTAAAACCATAGCTTGTAGATATTCATATCAATTACATATTAATTTATTTCTATTGTTTCAGTCACTTTGTATCCGTCTAAATGCCACATATATTTTCTCATAATAATAGCCTGTGAAGCAGAAACAGAAACGAATACTCTAACTGCATTTACGCATGTATATGGCATTTTATAATATTTACTTGTCTTTGTTCTATTGTATTTTAACGGCACGTCATATTAATTGTTTAATTTTTGCCACGTTCGGAAACGTGTATACTTTTTTTTAATCCACACGGATAGATATCAGATGAACATCAAACATTTTCAAGGAAAAGCAAGATGCCATAATGAAGAAGAGTAAGTAAAACTCAATATAGCCTAATATCATTTTAATTAACAAATTAACGCATTTCTTATTCGATTATCACCGATAATTGTATCACAAGATATAATATCTAAAACAGTATAGTAAACCGATTTGGAAAGATGTATATTTTTAACAAGATTATGCCACTTCAAAAATGGACGGTTTTCGTTGCAAATGTATATATGAATAATATTTATTTACATAGAATGTATTGTTTTCTACCCTATTCCCCAAGAGGCGAGTATGAGACTTGGGGCAAATCTCTTTGTTGTTTGACATAAGATGCCTTTGTCTGCTATTAGATATTTGAAATATTGAGTATGCCCCAAACAGGAAATCTGAACATCCTGTCATAATGAAAACCAACCCGAAATATCCCAAAATATGATTCTACAGTTCTAAGTATAAAGAAACAATCCATTCTCATATCACACGTTGACTCAAAAATCGTACATCTTTGATTTCCAAAATAATTAGTGCGGTGGATACTAAGATGATGCACATTATAACGTATTAATTTTGAGTACATCTGGAATCCATTCTCAACGAAGCGTTCGCGAAATAAGTATTCGAAATGTTTGAGTTCGGGATGATAAAAGTACGTTAAGGTATACCGCTCATAAACAAATTCCTTTGGGGACAAGATATAGAATCAAAAGCATATTCTTCTTATTTACTCACTGACACATATGCCAACGAATGTTAAATATCTCTGTTTTAGATAATTTTGTAAACATTGTTCTCTACATGTACCATTTTTATAATTGAACATTTTGCATTTCTAAATTGATAAGTTTCTTGGAATACAACATAAATGTTAACGATTTAAGTTATTAATAATATTTTTCTCAGTGATCCCATTATAAATAGACAGTAACTGGGTCAATGTTTAACGATCAACCTTGTTTTCATGGCTTTTAAACATGAGTCGACAATTATAGATCGCCAAAAACTGCATGTGCCTTTCAATGAGGCGATATGTTTTGAAATTTAGAGATGTAAGCTATAAACTCAAGAACAAATTTAAACCACCCGCCATTTATTTTGATTGCACAAGACGACATTTCCATTCCAGGGGAGCACTTTGGTAACACTTTTGAAGGAGGGTTCTTGAAAAATCGTTCGAATTTTCACAAAAGGTTTCATGCAACTTCATTGATTTGTTTGAGCCTCATCTAAAATCATACTCAAATCCGATACCATAATCATAAATTAAAAATGAAACATTAGACTCGCCAGGTTAAATGATAAACCGTTTCGAGCATTGATGATTTGAGATAAACTTTGGATATTTATATAAATGTAAGTCGGCGTGTATTCGACAGTTAATGTACACATATGATGTATGCATCAACGTGTGACTTAAATCTCAATTCGTGACTATCATATTTGGCTTTCAAAAATTAAGTTGGAAGTTACAGTGGTAGGAGATTAAGGAAAACGTCAATCACATCCAAATATCCGAACGACGTCAAGTATTAACAATACACCTTTCGTGCATCTAGAACAAGGCAAGGTTCTGTAATCGAGCAATGTATTCCGAAAGAAAAACTTCACAAATATCAACTATTTTCATTGAGTAGGAGATTACATTCAAAATTACAACTTTCAAAATAATTGCTTCAACCAAAAATTGTAAGAACTTGAAACATGGTGTTAGTTTTTCAAACCGCATATCCTCATTTTCCTTCCTTGACAAGGATAAATCTATTTGAAAACATTGATTTTCTTGATTATTCTTCAAAACTACCCTTGAAATATAAGTATGTAGGATATAACAGGGTTAATTGACACGCCTTCGTTTGCTCCATATCATGAAAAATAAATACAGTACCATCTGTCTATATTCAAAAACAGAAAGTTCATTCTATATGTAAACAAGAAAAAATACATAATATGGTTGGTTCATGATAAAAAATGACAAATAACATACATCTTTTGAAGTAGGGGGTATATATACAGGGACATATGGGAAATTTAGGCCATACCTTCAAAATTACTTCACCAATATGTAACAGAACATCAAAATTATCATTGACACGTTTGCTGATTGGTATATTGAAAATAATATCCAAGAGGTTTACTTCAATCGTGGCACCATTCTTAGTAAATATTGATGAACATACGAATTTCGAATGTGAACTTGGTTACTGAACCTGACTGTATTGCCATTTTGGAGATATGTTGATATTTCTATCGATGTGCTATTTAAACTTAACGTAAAGGCAAACTGTGTTCTAATACTACAGTTGTAGTACTATGATAAATTAAATGCTTTTTATTTAGGAGGTGGGATCACAGTTGCTTTGTTATTGCTACTTTGCATATGTACCAATGTGGCACGGACACAACCAATGTCCATGGAGCAGGCATTCGGCGTGTTTACACAGCTCAAAGTCGATATAGATGAAGTCAAGGACGATGACGATATTTTCAATATGCATACCGATAGCCAACTCAAAATATTTTTGGAATCTATGAAATCCAGAGTTGATAGTATATATAAGGTGCCAATGATGAAAACCTATAAAAGAACATTCAACACCATAAAGATTGATATTAATATTATCATAGGAAAAATTCAAGCCAATGAAGACCTGTTCGAATCATTCAAAAAACAGTTTCAAAAGTGTAAAACATCCTTGCAACGATTTATAGCTTCCGATTCTAGCGACTCTGATATGGAATCTGATGCATACAATTTATTAAATCCCTTGGAATCTATAGTTCAAAATCATAATTTTTATAAACAAAATAAAAACTTGGAAAATACCGAGAGTATATTGTCAAAATCTGACATTTTTAACGGCGTTCTTAAAAAGTGGAAGAAGAAGATCCCTCGAAAAGAAAAGAGGAACTTGAAGTCATGGACCAAGTGTGTCAAAAATCTGAAATCTATCGCAAAGGAATGGAAATCGAACATTATATTGATAAAGAACACTGTACAAGGAATCCCTGGATTACCTGGTATTAGGTCTTGTGTTGGTAAGTTTGAAAAAAGTGTTTCATCTCAAAATTGTGTCCTTGCCAAATGAGCAAAAAGTTTGTGTAATAACTTTTAACAATCGAGTAAAATGCTCATAGTTTTATTTACATTCATTGCTGCCTTATATGATTCTGATTATTTGGTGGAACATATAAAAACACTATTAAATCCTAGAAAAATAAAATAAAATAAAACACAAATCTTATGGAAAATGCAGATATTTTACAAATGAACTCATCCTGTTTCGTAGAAGACGCCACGTCTCCTGCTGAAAAACCAAAGGCGCCCGAAAATGGATTTGTCGGTGAAGGTGATACTCCTTGTACTTTTGTTGTATGGTGCAAACCCGGATTCAAACTGGTTGGGCGTTCCCGCTTTGACATAACAGCACCTGCAGATATAGGCGATGAAGCAGAGACGAAATGTTTACGTAAGGGGTTGATGTTCTACTTGATACTATATACCGAGTACTATTTTTGAATAAGTCTTCCCTTTTGTAAGTAAATGTCATGTAAAATTCTTCAGTTTGTCTGCCTTGGTATTTGTCAAATTCACTCCCGCCGTAGGGGCAAGCTCAGAAAACCGTAGCTCATCTCTCTTAAGGTCGTACGTTGACTGCAGATGTTCTGTCACGACAAATTTAAAATACGTCTCATAGCAACCGTAGCATGCGACAGCTAAAACCAAAATCGTACGTCCGTACGATGTTTTAGTTTTACGCCCGCCATTCTACGGTTGCCGTGGAAACTCTAGGGCCAGATATTTTAGCAGTTCCATTTGCTACGGTAGCTGTACGGCGTATTTTGATTTCGTGAAGACAGAAAGCTACAGTGGAATCTTTCCTATGTTTGGCTACGGTTTATCTAACTCCTCTGGTGACTGTAATAAAGAACAAGTAATCTATACAAGTTAAAACTTCTATGGCGACTCTACAGCATATAAAGACTGAAAATGCCGTATTTAGACCATTCATTTTTACGGTTTCAGTAGAATTTACTGATTTCTGGAAATTATGGTCGACACATGGTCGCCGTAGAGCAAATATGACTGAGGCATCGGGAATTACAGATGCATTTAATTCAATTCAATTATAGTGTTAACTGTTCTAAAGAATACCTATAATCAATAAATAAAAGGCATGATTTAAATGTAAGCATGTCTTGTATGTTATGAATATCTCTCGATCTGTTGCTTCATATGTACAAATCAAAATCTATGATGACCCTGGAACTAATTAGAACATTTTGCTTTATAGCATCTCATGTTGGATATTGGCCGCTAAATAGACAAGACCAAGGAAAGAACTTTGCAGAACATTTTCACAACCCTTCAACGGGTAGCACAGTTAAAGTTGAAGATGCTGTTCTGAACTCAATCAAATACGGCGACGGGGTTCAAGGAGGGATGCAGGATGCGATCCAGGTATCGACGGCGAGTGATTCATCAATTGCGTAAGGAGAATATGTAGCTTGTTCAGAGTAAAATTGACAGTTACTTTACTGAAGTAAAATTGGCAATTACATAACTGAAGTAAAATTGATAATTACTTTAGTAAAGTAAAATTGACAATTATATTACTGAAGTAAAATTGGCAATTACATTACTGTAGTAAAATTGACAATTACTTTACTGAAGTAAAATTGACAATTACATAACTGAAGTAAAATTAACAAATGCTTTACTGAAGTAAAAATGAAAATTACATTACTGAAGTAAAATTGACATTTACATCACTGAAGTAAAAATGAAAATTACATTACTGAAGTAAAAATGAAAATTACATTACTGAAGTAAAATTGACAATTACATTACTGAAGTAAAAATGAAAATTACATTACTGATCAGAAGTAAAATTGGCAATTACTTTACTGAAGTAAAATTGACAATTACATTACTGAAGTAAAATTGGCAATTACATAACTGAAGTAAAATTGATAATTACTTTAGTAAAGTAAAATTGACAATTATATTACTGAAGTAAAATTGGCAATTACATTACTGTAGTAAAATTGACAATTACTTTACTGAAGTAAAATTGACAATTACATAACTGAAGTAAAATTAACAAATGCTTTACTGAAGTAAAAATGAAAATTACATTACTGAAGTAAAATTGACATTTACATCACTGAAGTAAAAATGAAAATTACATTACTGAAGTAAAAATGAAAATTACATTACTGAAGTAAAATTGACAATTACATTACTGAAGTAAAAATGAAAATTACATTACTGATCAGAAGTAAAATTGGCAATTACTTTACTGAAGTAAAATTGACAATTACATTACTGAAGTAAAATTGACAATTACATTACTGAAGTAAAATTGACAATTACAATATTACTGAACCTACAATGAAAAAATCGTGTTATAATATTTCAAATATATTTGTCTTCGTTTAAAATAATACAATCATGTGATTGTAGATTGTTACCTGATTGTTGTTTTAGATTCATTTCCTAGATACTGATACGTTAACTATAGACTTTTCAATGGCAATGCATACACTCCTCATCCGTACACGGAACAACCTGAGATCACATGAATCCATAGCCCCTCCCCCCATGTGGGAAAGAGAAAGACGATATCCTGGATCTTGAAGCTCTGTGATCGGATGAGGATGATCACAGGCCATTAAAAAGCCTGTTCATGTTTGCATATTATACTTGATCAATTGCTTTAGATCTCCAAACATAAATCGGTAAACGCGTGGTCCTAAAGGGGCTTTTTGGTAGCCAAATACATAAACGGGGTATAGCATTCCCGTTAGCCATCCCATACTTAGCATGATGGTGTTTTATTTCAGGATTCAAAATCAAAATAGATTATTGAGTTTTGATGGTAGTTTCACATGGTTGCTGTACGTGAGCCCTAGAAGGAAGCAATTGAATGGTTATATATTGGATGCATCTACAACCAACAAGGAGATGGTATCAATAAAGATGATAAGTGCAAAGCTAATAACTACCATAACGACATCTACGGGCGATACATACGAGTTAAGGTCAAAAGATAGCATATTTGTCCACAAGCAATGGCTTTACATTAGTTTCTCCTTTGATGCGAAAACAAAAAGTATGAAGCAATTCATCAATGGTGAACTCCTTCAAGAGAAAGTTATACAGCTGAAAGGAAATGTTTTGACAGATTCAAAACAAATTTTATTGGGTAAAGCAGTAACGGGAGGCGATGTAACACGTATGCTATTTGCTTGCGTCAGTGCATACACAGTAGCTCTTAACGAGACTGGCATCTTGACAGCGATGGGACGGTGTATTCAAGGTGTGTTTTACTGTTTGAAGTACTGTACTTTTTACATCTCTTCTGCTTACTAAGCAGCTCATTGAATTCCAGTAGTACTTGTATCTCCTTTTATGTCTTACATTTGAAACAATAGATATTCCCTTAATATAATATCATCCTCCGCTCACAGGGCTTCAAAATCCAGAATATCTTCTTTCTTTTTACCCCCTGCTATAACCAAGTTGGACGCGCCCGATTAAACCGAATCACGTGATCTAAGTATGCACCGATGATGTATACATGAATCGGGGAAATGCTAACTGCTTATAGCAGGGGGAAAGAAGGAGGTACGGATTCTGGACACCTGCTTAGGAGGATGCTTAATATAAATTGAATTGGACAACTGCGCACATTTTTTAAATCTTTTATTATAGCTAATCTTATTGCGTCCTGGCTCTTCGACAAACAAAATGGCCAAATGGATATGAGTGGCAATGGGAATCACGCCACATCATATTTCGCAAAATTTGCCGATGGAATCACCAACGAGAAGAAGGGTTCAATGAAAACTGGCAAGATTCGTTTTCCAAGTGGCAAAGAAATAACTACATACATAATGATTCCATCTCTACGGATTGATCAACGTTTGACTTTCGCCGGTTGCATATATATCGAGGCTTTGGTAGATGATAGTCCCGTAGTTGACTTCTCTACTGTTGACACGGTTGGTTTTCATATATGGATTCTAAAAGGTGGTGTTATTTTTGTGAGGTTCGGTGAATTTGACCAGACCAGAAAGATGGACTCAATCAAGATAGAGAAATTCCAAGGGAAATCTGTTTTTAAAGAGCATATTTGGTATCACATCGCATTCACATACAATGGACACACGGGTGAAGCATCGTTGTACGTTGATGGTGAACAGGTTACAATGCAGAGTTTATTGACTGTCAAAGGACTTATATCTGGCACAGGGTTTCTTGGTAAAACACTGCAGAATAATGCATTCTTTGACGGAAGATTCACGTGCATTCAGTTTTTTGAAGAAAGTTTGAACCAGGCGGAGATAAATGAAGTAATGAAAAAGTGCCAAAGTACGTAAGAAGATAAATTGCTATAATTATCGTTAACACATACAGCGACGACTTATTATCAATAAAAACGTTAATCGTTTATTGTACATCTGACTAAACACCATGCTATACAAATACCCGGGGATTTAATCAGTATAACTAATTTTGCTACAACTTCTGTTCTCTTGCTTTCACAGCATGATCAACATAACTGACTCTATTATCTCTAAGAACATCCTCACTGGTGATCCACTCGATCACGCTGATTACCGAAACGAACAACATGTCAGAACGTCGAAAATACGATTTTTCTTTTTTTCTTATTTCACGCGTTTTAGGCAGAATTTATCACAACCGTGAATCAGTATCATATGTTTTAGAAAATTTACATGTTTGCCAACAAATAAGACGGACGACAATCGTCGATTGAATTCCTCACTATTGTTATACGTAAATGTAAAGGGATCAACGTGCAGATCTTAACTGTTTTTGAGTTCCGTTTACGTTACTTAAGTGAGGAATTAAATCGACGATTCTGTTGTCTTCTGAACTATTTGTTTGCAAATATGTACATTTTCTTAAACATTACGATACTGATGCGCGTTTGTGATAAAGAATTACATTAACTGAACGCCATGGACTTTTAATTTCAGAAGTGAGAGCCACGGCCGAGAACGCTAACTGTGGATTACAAATTAATAAACCGGCGTTTGGTAGGATAGTAGGAGGGCAGCCTGCATTTCCGCATAGTTGGCCATGGATGGCCCGGATAACATACAGGGAATTGCATATTTGCGGTGGAAGCATATTCAAAAAACGAATTATCATCTCAGCGGCACATTGCTTTTGGCCCAGGTAAGGCCAACTTTTAAATCTAATTTAAATTCCCTGCAAGAATGTAAACTATTATTGCACTGTCATATGGAATCTATAGAAATGGAGAAGGTACTGAGGATTCCATAAAATGATACTTTGCATTTATACCCCAGTGACTATTAATTGTCCTACAGACTAATGTTATCTTTAACTAATGGTAGATAATGACTATATATTTGTATTTGCTTTACAATATTAATTTTAAATTAAGAACTATGCCAGTATAATACTGATGGATAAAATAGCTTGTATCCCAAAACACCTTTCCCTTTGGCCCTAGTGCTTATATATTATTTAATTGTACTATTATACATTACCTCCTATACAATGTGTTTTTGATTAATGAACTTAAAATATCCTTTCTTTAAATCAGAACACAGCATGGAAAATAAAACATCTAAGAGTACATCAGTCATAAGAAAAAAAAACTCAAACTATCCCGGCCCGAATCATAATGCAACTTGAAAAGAATCAGTGTATCATCAACATAGCAATTCCAAGTACCTATATTACAATCCAAGACAATAATGCACTCTACTGTACCTTGCATTTGGTGTTCATGAGCAACCCATTTGGCTTGTTAGTAATGATTATGTTATTTGTTTTTATTTTCCTTTTCCTTATTCATGATTTATCGGATGACTGTTAAATGTAAGCAATACAATTAGACAAATAGTGTATCTTATGCATTTCTTGGGGCTAGGTATAGTAGAGTGTGGAATGAAATGGAAATTTCATTCATACTGAAATCAAAACAATACATTTTGAAGAATAAATTAAAAATTGAGAACCAATACTCGAAACATCAGATATTTGTACCCACAATAAAGAGCATTTGTTTCCATCACTATTTTTAACATTTTCAAACTTATATATTTTCCAAAAGATAAAATGGCTGGGAAGAGTGAGGAGCAAGTCAAGAACGTTTCCTAAATGCTACAAAAATCTTTCAGATGCCCCTGAAAGTTTTTTTCTAACATAAAAGTCAAGTAATTATACTTAACCATATCAAACTACAAAATACAGTGTTCATTTCTTATTGGCTACCATCATTTTCAATTGATCTTTACGTTCAATGCAAACAATGTTTTAGTTCTTGTCAACTTAGAATGAGATAAAAGACTTTGTAGAATTAAATCATAGAACTATTTGGAAAAGAAAATCAGGTTTTGTGTTTCTTACATAACTTCTTTCCTCATGCCATATGTAAACCTAAGAGTTGGTGCATCACTTCCTAAATGATATCTAAAAAACTAATATGATAGCCCACTAGAAATGAGCACTGCATTAACTCTGGCCATATCAAAACAATTTCATATGCTTTGCTATATGAATGGTATAGAAATTGAAACAGCTACTATATCAATAAAAATGGGCTTGCAAGGAAACGTGGTTTACATTGTTAGCACTATAATCAAAAGTTAGAAAGTAACCAATAACATCATCCACGCGTCAGACGTTTAAGGTCCGATTTGCACAATGGTGCCCAGCGTGTTGTTGTACTTGTGATATGACAGATAAAATGTTATCTGAATGTAACAACGCCTTTTTGTGTCATCATATGTTAATGCGACGAGAAAACCCCAGGAAGTTATTTGAGTAAATGTTCTTTTTAATGGTTATCTTCGATGATTTTTCACTTTCAGGAAGGACATATCAGAATTGAAGGTTTATATTGGTTCACATTCAAGATCTGACCCTGCACCATCGGAGCAAGTTTTTAAAGTTGCACGCATAATCCAACACCCCAAATATAATCCAGCAACATATGATAATGACATAGCCCTTGTTTACTTAGTAGGTGAGTATTTATCGAGTTCGTATAACAGTAGCGTAAATATATATATATTTGGTATTATTGTTATTTTCGACCTTGTGTAGGCCTAAGTCATGTAGTCCTGGTCGGAAGATGCTACTCGAGCTACAGAAAGAACCACATTCTAGATAAAAAGATAAATTTAAATTTTGTATTTTTGTTCAATGGCAATGCTAACATACCACAAGCAAGAGCTGTATCCTATTAAAGATTGTTGATTTTGAAGCAACCAAAACTGTTTTAGGACTGCTTGAAATGCATTTTGAAGTGTAAACAATCTATCATTCCATATTCGCAATTGTGAACTAACACTCTGAAACATGCATAGAGAACTATATGCCTAATACTGAATGTAATTGCTTAAAGAATTGCCTCATACACTTAGATGATATGACATATGGAGATGAAGTCCAGCCTTGTTGTCTGACTGATCAAAATGTAAGGGACAATTATGTATGTGTGGCAACGGGGTGGGGTTTTACACAAAGTAAGTATTTTTGATTTTAGTTCATATCCTAAAATACAGTTTCAACATACATCATGTTATCTTTAGACGTTAATTATTCACTTTCGCCTAATACCCCGGCTCTTTTCCGTGAAAAGCAGCATAATTCAAAAGTTGATATTATCAAATAAACCAAGCAGCATTTAGCCTCGGCCAAATGTCATTTCTGCGGCCAGTAACATTCCTACGGCCGAATACCTTAGCATTCAAAGTTACAAAGGCGTTCGTACGATTCTGAGGAGACCAGAAAGCTATGTCAGCCGTACGACCTTTAATGATAACTACCAGTGTAGGACTTCCCTAAAGCGAACGTAGTTTTCCTATAGAAAGCAATTCCAAGGTAGACGCACGCAAGGCGGCCGCATGAGAGGCCTTTGCCGCGAGCAGTCGCAAGTCGACCGTGCGCCCAACACACGGCCACCATAGGACCTTTCTACCTTATACTTATACCCATAGTACAAACTTTTGAGGAAAACTTACGTTTTCATTTTTCAAATATGGTGAATTTCCAAATGTTTCTCAATTTGTGCACAATGAATATGAAATGTCTACATTTAAGATCGTAAAGAATACGTTGGTAGGTCAAGTTTATATGTTGCTTAATTTGCTATTTTATCACCCCAAATAGCTCTCTGAACCCCAAATGTTCTCTGGTGCTACCTTTAATAAAATACACATGCATGGTTACATTTAGATGTAAACGAATCAGCTGACATACTTCGACAGGCGAAAATCCCTGTGTTAAACAGAGGAGTGTGCAATAATAAGATGGAAACTCCAATTTCAAAAAATATGTTATGTGGGGGTTATTGGGAAGGAGACATTGACACCTGCTCAGTAAGTCCGCGTTTGCGTTAGCTAGGTGTATGCCTATTCTTAATATACGTACAGTGCTTACTAATAATGTGTACGTTATGTGATTAATGAAATGACCTACTACAAGAACAATATCAATTTTCAGAGATACTTTGACAAAATGTTTCAATAACGTTTATTATAAAAATATAAGAATTAATTCAAAACCTCCAATTCAATCTAAAAGGTCCTTGCACAAAAAGCATTCAAAATGCGAAACCTGTTAGATACTTGTAAAAGTCCAATATTATAAGGCAGAAGGACATTGATTTTTTCCAACGTATCTTATTTAATCATTTATTTTTTATCAAATTAAATTCATGATTAATCCCCGTTTACCTATTTTTATTTAATAATATACGTATATAGGGTGACTCTGGCGGACCTTTGATGTGTCAGTTCGGGAGGGATCCTGCCTACAAGTTAGTGGGTATAGTAAGTTGGGGGGAAGGGTCTGTATGCGGGGTGCCAAATAAAGCCGGAGTCTACACGCATGTATTTATCTATATCAAGTGGATCAAAGCCACTATTGCCACTACTGTAAGTTATACAACAACAACTGAAAGTACTTCTACTACTACTACTACTACTACTAGGCGTATTACTACAGTCTCCACTACGCCTACCACTACCTCTACTACTACCACCACCCCTACCACTACCTCTACCACCACCCCTCCTACTACGACTCCCACTACGACAAAAGCAACACTTCCTGGAACTGTTCGACCTAACACATTACGGGGAATACGTAAGTATCTTGACAATATTCCCAAAACCAGATTTCCTGTGATTGAGAATTATATAATTTTTATTTGAATGACAAAATAGTCAAAATGTGCACGAATCGCAAAATATTGGAGATGATGTTTTAAATTATAGTAATATGCCGATTGATTTATCGTGCTGTTTGATTTGAATATGTTCTCAAAATGTTGGATCTTCCCCTCGCTTTGCCCCTTCCTGTAATCAATGATATGTGACACATGCATTTCAGACTGGACAACTTTTGACGAGTGTTTGGATTGTATTTGTCAGGTATAATTTTTTTATTATTGCGACTTGGCATGCCTGAAGTTAAATGATCCAACAATAAACAACAACTCGGTTTACATGTTTACGTTCGGATGAAGTAACATTTATTATAACACGCAAACATCGCGTCTTGCATTATTTGAGTGAAAGTGATATTACTTTAGTAAAGATAAGAAACAAACATCTCCAAAAACATGTTTTGCATTCATTTAGGTTACGTAACATGGTTTATATATAAAAATGTTCTTTAAGTATAGAAACACAAACAACACAATATTTAATTTACTGAAGTTGAGCAACATGCTTTTTGCAATATAGGATATATCATTTGAAAACTACATATTTTGCATTTATTAAGGTGACTTAACACGATATACAAGGTGTCAAATAAATATACATTCCCTCTTAAAAGTGCATTTAGTTCAGGTATTCATTTGATACGTATAGTAGAGTTGCTCCATGGAGACTTGTTCTAATGTCCTAAGGGACAATTCAGATATCATGCAGACAAAACAATAAGCAACATTACATAGGCGTAGCCAGGGGGGTGCGATAAGTGCGATCCCCCACCTCCTCTTCCCCCCCATAAAATATGAGCATGAGAAAGAAGAAGAAAAGAGCTTTAAAATGTTTTTTATTTGAAGCTGCTAGCTCAATTTCGAAGGAAGCTGCATCAATTTTTATAAAATTACAAATAAGACTTATTTTTTGGCTTGTTTATGCCACAATTGCACCCCTGGCTGAAAACCGGGCGATCGCATAACCCCCCCCCCCCCCACCCACCTGACTGAAACCTGGTTACGCCTCTGCATTATGTGGATGTTAAAGCTAAGGGAGAGAACATATTCATTTGACACCCTATACATCTATGTCCTCTTGCTTGTATTCAAGTTTGCATGTACCCTTTGAAGGCAAGTGTGAATGGATGTCAAATTAGTAGCTTGAGTAAATGTTTTAAAGACAGTAACGGTTTCGAAAGATGTGGACCCTTTGACATATCAATGGCTGACTGGATTGCCTGTAAAAGACATGGGGAATCGATTGGTTTTAGTAAGTCAATATAATCACATGTATTTCGTTTCCAAAGGATCCATAAATCACACAGCGATCCACAAATCACCCATCCTCCCTGCCTCCTAAGCAGGTGTCCAGAATCCGTACCTCCTTCTTCCCCCTGCTATAAGCAGTTAGCATTTCCCCGATTAAGAACTCGCAATTTGATTGGCTGTCGCAACACTGCGACAGAAATCATGTATACGTCATCGGCGCATAATAAGATCACGTGATTCAGTTTAATCGGGCGCGTCCAACTTGGTTATAGCAGGGGGTAAAAAGAAAGAAGATATTCTGGATTTTGAAGCCCTGTGATCGGAGGATGCAAATCACCAGAACCAGTCATGTTACATTTCGAAAGCCATTTATGATTTATTGTATTACTGGTAATACTCTACAGTTGTATATTTGTTATCATATTGCAGATTGGAAAACATGTGCTACACATGCTTCATGTTCCCGACATTGTATTCGAGACTATTTGAATGCTCAAAAAGGAAACTGTCCCCTGAATGAAGTTTGTGAAGACCTTGCAAGGTAGACATTAGCAATCAAATATTACAGACGTTGGTTTAAATGTTAAATGCACATTCGTCGAATACAAGCTGATAGACGTAGCTGGCTTATCACCAAGACAACAGATACAATAAATATGATTTTTCATTTTTTATCCCGCCCGATGCCGAGAGCTGTATTTGTTCTGTCAAATTGGTTTGCCAGATGAAATGGGCAACCCTGGCGAATTGTTAGTACCCATACTGTATAAGTGGTAATTTTGCCTAATCATTTAATTTGCCTATTTCCTAATTTTTGCCAGGTTCGGAAAATTAAATGTAGGAAATATTGTTTTTATAATGTTATCCAATGGGAGGTTCTTGTCATTAGGAAAATTAAAATTAGGAAAATGATGAAATTTGACCATTCGGAAAATTAACCACTCGGATTAAATACCACTTATACAGTATATCGGTCTAATGAGACCTAGAGATATGAACGCAATATTGATCAGAACAATAAAAAATAATGGCTTTTCAAATCGAAAAAAATATGGATGGTCTCGTTCCTCCATGTAGCTAAATATTTACAATATATGTAGGGTAGTATTTGAACTTGCACAGTGAAAAAAACATGCAAAATGTATCTTCATTATCTAGAATGTGGTTCTTTAAGTCACCTGGTTCGTGTGGATTTCATGCTCCGGGTGTGGATAGCTATTGGAGAAAAATTGAATCTGGAAGTTGTTTCGGAGGTAAATCAATCCTATTCCTCGTACATGTGAATATATTTAAAGATTTGTCTTCATCGAAATTACACTTTCCTGAAATAAGTATTTTATTTTCGATTATCGAACAATTACCTTTACAATATTGAATAAATAGAGATTATCCTATATGAGGTTCAGGATATTGGGATTATCCCGAGGCTAATATAATATATTTGCCCGAGGGCCGCAGGTCCCGAGGGAAAATATATTATATTGGCCAAGGGATAATCCCAATATCCTGAACCGACTATAGGATAATATGTTTATCCCATACCAATATTGGTCATCTGGTTAACATTGTTCAATCGTGGAAATATTTTAGAATATTCATGTCAAGTTTTGTTTTCTTGGCCCGTGGGCGGATTTTCCTGTTCTCTCAAATATTCCCACATTTATTTTCCCAAATTTCTGATTGATTAAGTTGATGCTCCTTCTCTTTTTTAAACCATCAAACAGATCCCGATTGTCTGTGTTTTCTCCATTGTCGTTTACAGTCATTACGCGAACGTTACAAATTATGAACAAATATGCGAGTAGCGATTGTGACGTAGCGGGCAGATATACTATATCTGCCCGCTCGGAGCGGGACGTAAAGCTATATCTGCCCGCTGATGAAAATATTATAAGTTATTGAATGATTTGAAGTGCAATACAGGATATATTCTGTTCGAGAAATTCCGTATTGGAACGAGACGAAGTCGAGTGCCAATACAGAATATCGAGACAGAATATATCCTGTATTGCACTTCAAATCATTCAATAACGTTTTTATCGTATGATCCTCTGTATTGCTACTGTGATTGTTCCCTCCGTACCAATATTTTCTGTATTGCGACGGAGATTATCAATGGGGACAATCTCAGTACCAATACAGATTGGTACAGCACAAGAACTGACCAATCAGAAGGCTTCATTTTACAGATCATACGATAAAAGTTTTTACAAACCGGCTTTATGTACCTGTAACACGTCCAAGTATGGGATAATAGTGTATATTTGACATTTATGAAAAATATTAATCTATGCTGGTTTTGCTTCAGGAACGCCGTGTTTGGATTGCCTTTGCGAGGTACGCCTGCTTGTATTATGTATGTTTCTATATTGCTTCAAGATTGAGTTTCTTGACATAAAATCGTACGATTAAAAACACCGCCCTCCTATACTAAGAACTAGCGTTATGTTCACTGTTTAGTATACGTGTCTGACAGATTATTCATATTTGGTAGGCACACGGGTGTGAGGCCAACTTAGGTAAATGTGTTGATGATGAAGGCACTGAACGGTGTGGACCGATGAACATTGGCTACGTTGCATGGAGCGAGTGCGGTAGGCCAGGGGGGTGTAAGTAATATATAAATATACTTATAGCAATAGCTATTCCTCGTTTTTATTCCTCGTTTCATTATTAGAAAAAATTGTAAAGCCAAAGAAGACATGACATGTACATTCAAAGTATGCGTATATATTGTATAGCAGACTCTTTATAATGGTTTGTATAATACATTTACACCCGAATCCACGCGGAAGCAATTAGGAACACGTGGGTTTTACCCACATAATTGAGAAGACCACATTGGTATACTTTCCACGTGGATCCGCATGAAGGAGAATTGCTTGTGTGCGATCTTACAGTTTAGATACACTAAATGCTTTTAAAAAATCGAATTAGTAATCAAGCATCACGCAAAGAGAAGCCTATTTAGAAATCTTGTTTCAGCCTGGAAGGCGTGTGCAAGGGATTCAATGGCATGTTCAAGACACTGTGTTGTGAAATATCTCAACCGATATCGAGGTGCTTGTACACGTAAGGGAAATCCAGCAGCCATTACGTGTGAAGAAGATGCGAGGCTTTGGTTTGCTGGCCCAGCTTGGGGGTGTCACGATACGAATTTTTGGACGACAGATTATTGGAATTCAGTTGACCAATGTTTGAAAACAAGACATGACAAATAGTTGTGTTTTCTCCCTTTCTTATGTTCCATGTAAACAACACCGGTCGTCACATTGTGTGATGAAGAAATATAAACTTTTATGTAAGCAGCTTAAATCGTTGTATGAGTAATTTACACAGCACTCGTATGAAAACATTTTTTGTTAATTACTATAACTTTATTTTCTAGCAAGGGTACAATTCAGTGACTGCATTTTTATCATTCTATGGCAAAATGAATGATACGTATCATATAAATCCGACCATTTTGCTCTGCTCTACATCCAATTGTGATTTTACATTTCTGATCACAGTGGTTATTTGTAAGGAAAGATTCTAAGCCTCGTTCATCGATAGTATACGATATATCATTTGTATATCTGTATTGCATGCTTTTTCGAAAAGTTTATATGTTTTTGAAGTCATCATATATATGTGCGATGTTCTTAGCATATCTGGAATAAAATGAGATACAATTCATAAATGATATCCTGCCAACGATCATACATAAGAAAAACGACAACGTTATGTTACAAAATCCTAGTTGGGGTAGGTGTTCCTTTTGTTTTATTTCTAAGCTTTGCCTATTAGGATTTATTGCAAATTAAGATATTTATAACTCTACCTACAGTTAGTTCAACGTCGTTAAACTCAATAACGGCGTTATTTATTATTAAGAATTTTTTTGGGGCCATTATTGAGTTTAACCTCTTTACTATTCTTTCCATTGATGCAAGTTTTGGATCCACCGAAACCATTTTTCCGCGATAACATGTAACTGATACTTGACAACAATATAAAAACACATAACATCAAGCGATTCAACACAATATTATTGTATTAAATGGTCATTTATACAAGTAAAATGAGGTTAAACTTACCAATCTCTAAAATGACATTTCCGCATGTCCTTCATTGTGTCTGTTCGTCTCGGGTTAAAATTTAAACTATTGAAACGAAATTGTTGTCAAATAGATTGATAATTATCACGCGATTACTCGGGATAAAATAGCCATTTTTGAGGATAGCAGGTATCTTTGATTGATTATATAGCGCTTGTATACACACAAAATCGTTATTAATTGCAAACCTACTGTTCGTTGATGCAGTGTCGCAATGACGGTTAATTCCTGATACGATTTGCAATTTCGATGTTACCGGAGCTGACCGATATTTTCGTAAAATTCCAAACCTGTCTCCAATATTTTCGTAATTATGCATCAATATGGTCTAAGGGGGGTACAGGATGGTGTGTATGTATTTATAAGGTATGTATGCATGCTTGAATCACATTCTTTATGTAATATTACCATGTTTTCGGAGTTTAATTAGTTCCGCATGTCGAAACCTGCTGAACGATTAAATGATCGCAACAAGGGCAAAATCATCATGGAAGTTAGACCTAGCCGGGGCCATAAGACATGTCAGATAAGAAACGAGGCCCAGGCTAGGTCTAATGTTGTTGGACTACCTACAGTAAGATGTTTCTTTTTTGAACCTGCATTTATATAACTCAGATAATACCCCTTGTGTACATATATACTATGATTCATTTCAGAACGAATCCTCTTAAGAAATAAGTCCTATTTTCCCACTACTTTTCCTTCTACTTTTGGGCAAAAATGAACGTGAATTTAATAGTTCATACCTCTAAATAGTGGTAGCTTCGATGTTTCCTATGAGAGTTTGCAGGAGAGTACATGCTCCCTCGAGCTCAGTAGTAATCTAAAAACACTCGCGTTGTCATGAATAAGGATTACATCGACTGATAGTTGATTAACCTGATTATATATATACGTTATATTATGTGATTCTACACAAAACATTAACAAGGCTCCATCAATTGGTAGTTTTGCTCACATGGGTGGGTTATTGTTTTTTGGAATGTATCCTCGAGTTTCTACAGAATTGGGATTCAGTTAATGTTGACAGTTGTTGGATTCGACCAGCTTTCGTTATTTTATTTGTGGGCCAATGCTGAGCTATCGAATTTGACAAAACACTATTACAACGTCAAGACTATATGATGAATTTATATACCTGTGTCAGAATACCATCATCTTGTCTCTTTGTAGTGTCGAGAGGCAGCAACTTCAGCTCATGACATATCCCAAATAAATGTTTTAACTGTGAAAATCATATTTAATTGTAATAATTTAAAGAACTCAGAATATATATTGGATTATTTTCATGATCGGTAACGTGGGAAATTATATTATGGCTATATCTAGTTTTTAATTTTTACATGACATGAAACCCATTCCATTTTTCATTTAACGGTCTAGCTTACTCTCTTGTTCATAAGTCGTTTTTCGTATCTGATACATTAACTCTTTAGGACTTACCATTTTGGTGAGCGGTTCCTTGCCATCATTATTTTCAAAACTTTCCTCGGGTGCATTCAGGTTGTCACTTTCATTCATTGAATAAGGTTCTACTTCTTCAGAACTTTTCTCGGGTGCATTTAAGTCGCCACTTTCGTTCATTGAATAAGGCTCCATCTCTTCTTCAGAACTTTTTTCGGATGCATTGCCGTCGCCACTTTCGTCCATTGAATAAGGCTCTATTTCCTGCTTCTTAGAAAGATCGGGCGATTGGCAGTCATCTCCTTCACATAATTCTGGTCGGCAGTCATCTCCTTCACATGCTGGTGGTGAGCAGTCATCTCCCTCGCATGGTAGTGGTTGGCAATCATCTCCGTCACATGTTACTGGTGGGCAGTCATCTCCCTCGCATGGTGGTGGCTTGCAGTCATCTCCCTCACATAGTTGTGGTGGGCAGTCATCTCCTTCGCATGGTGGTCGCGAGTCTTGAACTGCGACGTCGTCTTCTGCACTGTCTTCTTTGCCATCGTCTGCAATTTCTTCTTTTGGTGGAGCATCATTATCAACCAAAGCCTCACTGCCAAATTCTGTTGCAGGTTCCTCTTTGAGTAGAGCAACACTATCATCTCCTGAAACTGCCCCATCATCTTCTTCAGTTGTTTCTTTGGGCAGAGCGTCACTTACATCTCCATTTACATCAGTTTCCTCATTTGACGGAACATCACTTTCATCTCCTAAAGCTTGACCGTTTTTTTCCTCCACAGTTTCTTCTTTCGACGGAGTATTACCATCATCCACAATGCCGTCGTTTTCTTTTGCAATATCTTCTTTTGACGGAGCATCATCGTCATCTCCTTGAGGCAGACTGTCAGATTCTACTGCAGTTAATTCCTCTTTAGGTGGGTCATAACCATCACTTCCAGGAGCAGGGTCTTCATTTGCTTTGTTTTCATCTTCTCTCTCACTCCCTGAATGTGAGTTTGATCCCAAGTGATCCAGATCTTGTTCTAAATAGTAAACCATTACTTATCTTTAAAACAAACAAACTAGCGTTTGTGACAAAGTAATATACTGTATACATGTACAATTAAAACCCTTACCAAGCACATCAAATTGCTCTAGAATATCATCAATGTCGACATGCTCAAGAGCCTTTAGCGATTCGCAAGCAGCAAAGAGCAAAATGAGTTTATCCTTCTGCATAGTGGACCCGGCATCTGTTTCCCTTTTCAACCTAAATGATAATTAACTACATTATATGGGCATGGCAACAAACTGAAACCAATTAGAAATCATGACATTGCATCGATAAGTATGTTAATTAACGTTCAATTGTTTTTTATTTAAACAATAGGCATATTTTTGGTATAAATAATAACGTAACATATAATTTGATCTAAGGCTACCAACATTTTGCAAAGTCGCTCCAGGTTGTGTGATTTATTAGCTTTGCTCTCGCCACTACCATTGCTGCTTCCATCACCGTGTCTCTTTGGGCGGGCCTCTGCGCAAATCAATGCGCATGCGCACGCAGCCACTAGTAGTTGCTTCCACATTGTGAGCTACAGAGCTTAAAACTAAATCAAAATATTGCCAATTTGATATATCAAAAATCACATCATGAAAAGATAATAATGTGCGACTAATTAATGAGAACAATTAAAAGACACTCGAACTATGTTGCAGATATTTAAAATGCTGAGCAAAATGAATATATATCCCGACTGCTTGAAAATACATCTACTCACCTTTCGATTCAAAAATAACTGATAAACATCAATCCTCTTCCAACGTTTATATGATGTAGCATGAATTTCCCAGTCAGATTTTTGTTTGAATAAAGTAATGTGTTGATCCTTGTTTAAAGTTCTGTTATCCTAATTACATGCTTAAACCAGTATTTTCATTGTTCCTATATACAGGGTGGGTCAATGAAAATTGTACATTTTTTCTATTCATTCAATTGCAGTGTTCAATTAGCAGAAATGGCCAAAACCTATCATTTAAGCCACGTATGACAGTCATATACAGCTCAGACTGATTGTTCAGGTGAATCGAGGACATTTTCAGGATTCCCTTGCGTTGAATTGTTAAATGTATATTCATATTTACACAAGCTGTTAACCATGGATTCAATTTCCTAAAGTATTGAAGACAATACATGTCAAACAAGAGTTACAACGGATGGGAAAAAATGTTCTAATTTTTGGGCCCACACTGATTATACAAGCAAGTTGAATCAATTCAGTAATTCAGTAATCAATACATGCATGTGTACATCCGATTTTATTGCAAAAAACGTTGACGCCATCATTCTTCTCTATGATGTCACGGCGTACGTTTTTTCGAACTGTATTTGATATTTATACACTAAATAGTCACATTTGAACCTTATCAAAATTGAAACTTTACATAGTCTCTTTAAAGATTGGTGTATTCGTATAATCGACATTGAATCACCAGGATTTGGTGGTCATCCTTTGTCAAATATGATTAAATATCTAAGCAAATAAATGGAATACTTTTTGACTTTACTAATTGGACTGGGATAACTTAAATTGAATAAATCTTGGATCGTGTCAAGAATCACGAATTCTTAATCACAATGATAACAAAACCTGTCAAAGAATTATACATTGCTGGAGAGCAAGGCTTTTTGGGTTTGGAGGTGGAAGTAGATACCTAGCGCTATATTTATATATAACAGTTATGTTAAGATAGTTCTTGTTTGAAGAACGCTAGTGTATTAAGGTTTGTTGCCAAAAGATTTGTCCCTTCAGGTCATTTACCGCGCCAGACCGAGAATAAAGGAAGGAAACAAAATAGTTCTAATTGGAATTATAGGGGATGTACTGTTTACTCGAGTCTTTATTTGTCCCATGTAATAGGTAAAAAGATTTAATCTTATCTTAAGTAATCATTATCTATATTCACGTGCATAATGATACGACATTAATCAACTAAATCAAATAATATATGTGATGGTTTTACTTTTTATTCTCAATAGAAACTGTGCAATACGAAAATCGTTTAAAAACATTTCACTAAAGTTGATGATGAGTCCAGACTGCACATTTATTTCAAACTGGTAACATTGTGTTCACGCTTGATATCCTCTGGTTGTCATCAGTTTCAGGAGACTGTTCGCATTGGGTATCCCAAATTCTAATTAATAACTGAAAAACATAAAACGAAACATTGGGTATGCCAAATTCTAATTAATAACTGAAAAACATAAAACGAAACATTGAGTATGCCAAATTCTAAATAATAACTGAAAAATAAAATAAAACGAAACATTCGTCAGCAATAGTTCTCCAGACTGTATGATTTTCAAATGTCTAAAAATTAGGAAACGTGATTTTTAAAGGCCATCAATAGAAATTGAAACATTTTGTGAAGCCAGTCTCAATACCAATAAGCCCATTCTGCAAAGATGAATCAATATTTCTAACATTTGTTCTTGCACTATTTGCGAGATACCTTTCAAAATGTTTAACGATTGTAAGCCGTTTCTACAGTTAATGCCTAAAATATCGATAATATTCATTTGTATAATAAAGTAAAATGACCATTTTTGCCCAGTTAAGAAACCAATTGAAAAATATTTTGCTGGATGTATTGAGTATCACAGTTCCCAGCTGTCGGTTGTAAGTAGCACTCATTCCAATCAAATATCTGTTTTGGAAAACATTTTGTTCTGGTGTTGAATATTGCTAACAACAGTGACTTTTCTTCACTTTAGTATTTTACAATTACATTGCATACCTCTCAGGTTTCATTGCTTCGGCATGTTCCGCCAAATCTTTTAATGCATAACACGTTGTCACGAGAGAATGGAATACCTGTAATGGAAAAGTTGACAGACCTTTAACAAGTAGAATTCTAATACGTTATTTACATCTATTTTATTTTCTACAGATGTAAATACAGGGTGTCCGGAAAGTAAAGATATAAATACTCTTATTTTAAGAAATTTGGTTTTTTTGAAATGAAATTGCTACAGATTGTAGAGAAACAATATTACAATATATCTACCAACTTTCATCACATATAGTCTAAATGTGTTTAAGTTACGGTTGTTATGGTTACGGATGTGAGGGGTATGTGGAGCAGTTCCAGAACAACGCTAAAAATTGAAAAATTGCTAAAAGACAACCATTTGAAACATTGGTATTTTCTATCCATGTTTTTGTTTTGTTCATCATTGTATTATTGCTGCCATAGTGTTTTCTTTTATATAATGATGTCATTGCTACATACCAGAACTATGTTATGTCACTTACCAGTATAATGAAAGAAATATTATACAAGTGCCTGGAAGAATGGTCCCTGGCCATTCGTAAGAAAGTCAATATTGCATCTCCACAATGCACCAGTTCACAAAGCAAAAAACAAATCTTACAATGGAGTGTCTTGACATTAAACCTTTCTATACAATGCCCCATATTCACCAGATGAAGCCTCTTTAGACTTAATGACCATTTGAAAGCAATATTTGTAAAAAGTTCAACATACAAATGAGACTCAGCTGGAAGCCAATGTTATCAGCAATCTGAGAGATGGACAGCAGCGGTTTTGCCAGGCCTTTGAATCGCCGGTCAAGATTCACCAAGAATGTATAGATAATGGGGAAAATACTTAATATTCAACGATAGTAGTAATATGAAATGATCAAATAATGTTACTATACTAATCCTTATGCTGTTGTGGTACATAATTTGATATAATATAGGAATAGATGGTCGAGTGCCAAGATCATATGAGAACGAAAGAGATTTGTAGAACACAGTCGTGACGTTGCTCCACTTACCCCCGACTCCCGTTACCATAACAACCATAACTTTTTCATTATGAAACTGAAAGTCATGACAGTTGTAGGATATATTCTTATAATGTCATTCTACAATCTGTAGCAATTTCATCTCATAACAGGTAAATCTCTTGAAATGAGAGCATTTGTATCTTTACTTTCCGGACACCCTGTATACCTACAGTATGTTTTATGCAATTTATGTTAAACTATCAGAATTACATTATAGTGTTTTTTATTTATATTCAAAATAAGGGAATGTGCATCTCTTGTTTAAGAGTTTCATTTAAAGGGACCCACCACCATGGTCACATGATAGTCGTGTGGAGGTAAGCTTCCAGTTGAAATAAAAGCACTGTCCTCCTTTGGTTTCTGTGAAAAGTAGCTAATACCCTCATGTATTGGTCAGTTTGTGTGTCACACGACTAATCCATACCATATGCTTCATTCAACATATTTTATGCTATTGAGCTGCATACATAAACAGTACTTTGCAACTAAGGTCATACAGTATACTTACCCCTTGCAAATTGTAATTTATTGAATTCACAGTAAACCCATCAATTTTTAAGAAAACAAAGAATATTGTTCTCATGGATCTATTATTTATGTTAGACTAACTATGAAAATATAAATATGAAATAATATGTTAGCTTGAAGTGATATATAAGATGAAAATATATGTTCATGCATTTGCATTTTTCCAAAGGGAATATTCCCATGTAAGTAAATACAGGTGCAATATATTATTTATATGTATATCTATGTCATCTGTCTATACATGCGCGTATAGCCTAGTGTTACATGTGAACAAGATGGTTCTGGAAAGAAATGAGCGTGGCAGATTTGCTAAAAAGCCACATACACCACAAAAGCAAGACCAATTTGAAAGTAAGTTCATTATTCTCAAGGGTACACTTCAAGTGAAAGCTACATTGCTACAGGGTGGCCTATCATTCTGAGACAAATGTATTATCCAACGATTGTGATTTTCGAAGCTAAAATATGATATCTTGAGCAGATGGAAATACATTCCCATGAGATATGTATATATAGTCAAAAGTGATAACTATTTATTGAGTGTAATGAAAAGTATCCTTCGCTAACTGCTTTTGTTTGAGATAATTATCATGAAATATTTTTTAATTAATTTTTATGTGTGTCATTGATCCTAATCCACCCTGTAGTCTGGTGTTTGTAGAGCATTGCGACTCGTACAACTTATTCTCACAAATATCAAACCTCATTTACTAATTAATTTTTGTGTGAATATGAAGAGTCCAAGCATTGCTTTTTTATGTTGATTGTATAGCTATATTTAGCCTTGATATCCATGATTTTTTAAAACAAAATCTCACCGTTAGATTTCGAGCTATTCATGTTTACTCATTTTTCTAATTGGAAAACAATGCAAATCTCATTTTTTCAAAAGAAAAAAATTGAAATTCTAAGACGGTGAAAAATCATTAAAAATACACAGATTCAGAATCCGGCAAGCATTTTCCCTTATTCCTCTCCGTTAAGAAGTTTTGTAAGGTGTTGGGTCCCTTTAAGGTACTGATTTTATATGACTTGGACCCAGATTAGAAAAGGGACGCCCTAAGACTACACTGCAATACATACAACTCAATTGTCCCTGGCTTTAAACTTTTTTGCATTAAACTGTATGTATTAGTATTCTTATTTCTATCACAGGACTTTATGGGAAGAAGCAACAATAGTATAGTTTCCATATAGCTTTTGAAATCTCGCTAAATCTCGTTTTTCGTGAGATTTTAAGAGACTTGCATATTAGACCTCTAATGACTTACATTACCTTCTTTTAAATGGCATATTTGAATTCAGTGAAATGTTTTCTCCTTTAATAGCTTTGATTTACACAGTTATGTAATTTGAATAATTTTCTATAACAATTTAAAAAAACTTGGGCCAAATGTCCATAGATGCAATGCTAAAATTCTTTAAATCTGTGGATTATTTGTATGTCAATCAACATTTGCATGTTTAATCACATCATGTACATAAACAGGGTCATCATGTGGTATATCATTCAAGTTTTATACAGATTCAACAAACACACTTTGATAAATCATGAAATTAAGCCACTTTTCCAAGATTTTAGCATGTAAATGAATGGAGCTCTAGCCCGAGTTAAAAGCTGAATAAAAGATGGCAGCACGAGATTTCATTGATTTTTCTGCTATTTAGAAGCTATCCTATTCAAACACAAGCGGTAACTTTTACACAAAGTTTTCAAAATTCAATGGCTGAAACAAAGCTTTAATATACCTTCATAAAGGAGTTCTCAATTCCCGTGGCCCCACTCCCGTCTAAAGCAGCGTCCATTTCGTCAAGACTGTGTTCCTCGGGCCCTAGTGACTTAAGTCTCATGCACATCTTCCCCAGTTGCATCAACTTAGTGAAATAAGGTATACTTATCATAATAATTGACAATAATTCATATATACATAAACCGATTAAAATACACTCTGACAAACTTTAATAGATCAGCAAACAGTGAACTTAATTACAAAGTAATCAGATTTATCAGATATATATACTAACTGATAAATAAACAAACAAATGAAACGTACTATCTCCATTCCCATTTTCTTCTTATCTTCGTCAGACAATGGTCCTTCTGGGCGCATACCACCTTTGCTACTCTGTCCACCTCTCATTCCTCCTCCCATGCCACCTTTACCGCCTCGCATGCCTCCACCCATGCCACCTTTACCACCTCGCATTCCACCTCCCATGCCTCCTTTACCGCCTCCCATTCCTCCTCCCATGCCACCTCTCATTCCACCTCCCATACCACCCCTTCCTCCTCTCATGCCTCCACCCATTCCACCTCTCATTCCACCTCCCATGCCTCCTTTACCGCCTCCCATTCCACCTCCCATACCACCCCTTCCTCCTCTCATGCCTCCACCCATTCCACCTCTCATGCCTCCTTGCATGCCACTCCTTCCACGGCCTTTTAACATTCGTGCAACCAAACCCTCCACCTTTTCATCGTCATCGACTACATCGCTCGTGTTTTCTTCTGAGATCTCGTTGCTTCCTTCTGAACTAATGCCACTTTTTTCACCACTCTTTTCTCCCATTTCAATGGCTCTTCCCACTTTTACTTCATCAGATCCTGAGCTCCCAGTGGCACTCCCCTCACTGTCGTCATCGCTTTTATTGCCTTTTAATATTAAAGGTTCATCAGATAAAATTATTGTATTTTTGATTAAGCACATTTAATCGAAAAGTTAATAAAAATGATATAATCATGTGAATATGTAGTGCAATTTTATAACCTGAAAATAAACAACTAAATACCAAAACAGTCTAACTTTCTAGCTATCTTGATCATATTTATAAAAGCAATATCGATACAATTCACCAGTCAAAGGGGGGAATTTATTTTATATTTCAATTTATATTCCAGGAATATTTTTATCAATTTTGATTTAATATTCTTTATTCTTAAAACTAACATTATTTTCGTCAAAACGTGTCATAAAATTTTAGCCGCCATTTTTCTGTTAGATAAGTGATCAATAAATTTATTTTGACCAGGCCAATCCGCGATTACCCTTCTTGTATGTAAGGCACACGGTTCCCGTCACTCCAATTATATCCTAAAATGCAAATTAAACCTACCATTTTCCGAGGTTTCAAGGGACGCTAGGGCCTGGCAGAATACGTCAAGAAGAGCTCCATCTGCACGCTTCTTTACATCGACTACAGATGTAGGGCTATATAAGCAATTATGAAAAATAACTTACGAACATTGAGGTGTGTGAGAAACAACAATAAAAAATTAGAACTAAAAGTCTTGACGTGCATTTGTATTATAATTGTTGCAATTAAAGGAATATGCAGAAAGAATTCATTAAAATAACACATGAATATGATACATTTAACTATTCATTGGAAGCTTATTTTAAAGTTTTTAATGGTTAAATACATTGTCTCACAAACTCCTCAAAGCCGAAGATAAACATTGACACACTGACAAAAATCATGGAAGTGCCAAAACCAGCCTAAAACACGATTTTTAGACGATTTTACGCCTCATAGCAGTGAAATTAGGTATAGAATGTAACCATTTTGCTCAATAAACACGTTTATACATCACGTCTGACATATATTTGGGTATGCCTAAGCTAGGTATATGATGTATTATATAATATTTATAGGTCATTGAGAAAGATTGAGGGTTATAAGTATCTTACGATTTCACCCCTAATTTTGAACTGAAAAGAGACTTCTGAATCTGAAGGATATTACCTCAAATTTTATCACAAAAATTGTAATTAATCGGACTTTCATTATATAACTGACATTTTCCACAAAGTTTTTTTGGGATTGAAACCTTTTAAAATGTTGTACTCCTCTAAACGTAACTAACGATTTAACTTCATGTCTCCGAAGATCGCGTACTTGAGCACATTGCTTGGTATGGGATTTCTCATATTTATGGCGTCAATTTATGGTAAAAAGTCACACTCACGATTTGGCAATCGTTCTATTCAATCATTTTTAACTTTTTACCATATTTACGAAATTCTTTGTTTTTCTCCATTTGGTCAAAATATACATACATTAAACCTCTGAATGTTTGGTATGATAATAACGAAGAATAAAAAATTATGATTGGTAAAGAACTATGCACCTTTTTCTTTACAGAGGGAACATCGATTAGTACGATTTTTTAGTATGCTATGATGAATTAAAGTGATACAAAAAAGATGTGACCCGAGAACTGAATATCTTCTTGATAAAGCAATTATCTTATGACCTTGAAAATAGCTTAAAATTATTGATATTTTCAAAACTTCAGAACGAGTTGAACAGTTTAAATAGTCCTTTCTGATTAATTTCAGGATGATTCGTTGATTGTAAGGGCTAACTCTGCAAGAACATCTTTATTTCATCAAGTATCTCAGAAATATGGTTCAGAAGGTTTGACGGGTAACGAACATCCAACACTCTCGCTAGTCCTTAACTAATATACGTACTTGTCACACAGCTCTACAACTTTTGCTACTTTCACCAATTCAGTGAGTTTAGCCATCTCCTTTAAGCGTCCTTCCATTATCCCCGCACTGGAGTCATCACTACTGCTACCCCCACCCAATCCGCCGAATATTGATCCAGCTTCGACAGCTGCAAGAGCGACAAGGACAACGACAACGACTTTTTGAATCATCCTGAAAATAAAATTATAATCTTATAATATATAACTGAAATTCTGAAAAAATACTTAATCTATTTTTGACAATTATGTCTAGTATAAAAGAGAAGCGCATATCATTGTCGTTCTCTCGTATGGAGAATGAAAGGGCCATTCCCATTCCTATATCGATACATGAAAAGAGTTGAAAGAGTACAGGCAGATCCATTCCAGATCAATATCAGAACCATTCCCAGGGATTTCTCTTGATTTTTATGTTTCAGAAAAAAAAATTGAATAAATAGGTTATTGAGTATTTTGAAATGTCAGAAAGCGTTAATCCTAAAATGGATGAAAACATATATGAGTCACACGACTATGTGATTAAAAAAACAACCCACGTGGTCATGTAGAATATCAACTTATTTTGTGTTTGCAACAGAAATGTTTACATTATTTCGTTTTGAAAATAAAACGAGAGGTTAATTATAATAATTTCACATATTCGAGATTCATTATTGAATAAGCATACTGGGAGTTTCTCGATTTTTCAAAATACATTTTGCAAATTATTAATAAAATTATATAACAATAGCAAAGTTTGTATCACATTTGTTTCAGGTCTAATATTACCCCACGTGACTGCTTTAAATTACTAGTATAAAAATATTATTAAAATGATAAGTGTGGAGATATAAGTGAAAAATGATTTACCTGAACTGAGTTCTTCTGTGACGTCCACGTTTCTACAAATGTTAAAGTAATCCAGGGAGGATTTATATATTCCATTGTTTGCCGTTGTACTTTGGTGGCCAGTGTCAACGATATCATACTATTAGACATATTGTTGAACAACCAATTTTAAAACACGTGTGCGCTCATAGTTAGTCGTGTTCAATTTCACATCTATGTTCAGCCCACTGTTGTAGTATTCCGAGTTTCAAATTTAGCCAAAACAGATTGTAATAGTTTTCGATTATTTAAACCCCTCGCGAAAGTTAATGTTTTAAAATTATCAATTATAAATGTAATATTTTATGGGATTCAAAACTGAGGTAAAACTGACCATACAGGCAAATACGTCTGAAGTATTTGCAGCCTGTTTATAAGTAAGATCTGGAATAAAGTTTCCGATTAAAAATAACAAAATTTCAGATCACCAATACTGAAGCAAAGAAAAACAAACCATAATTAAACAAAGCAAACACCAATTTAATCTAGTAAACCGATGATAATTTGGAAGAAACCCTGGATATAGTGTCTGTGTCTGGTATTTTTGGACTCAAAAACCCCAAAATTGAGGCCCAGATATGTAAGGGACTAAAATCTGCTTCTCATATAAATTTGGCAATTTAGGTAACAAACTGACTTCACTGGGTATTATTTTTTACATTTTAGGGCAGGCGCAAAGACCCCCCCCCCCTTGATTTTCATAACCGCCCCTCAATGTCAGACGGACAACAATTTAATATGAGATGATAAGGATTAGGATAAAAATAAAACGAATTTATTATAATTGTGTATAAAGCGATCGTGACATTATTTTGCGTGTTTCTAAGTACAATGTACTTAAGCATGTCGTGGAAGAAAACATACACAATGGAGTATGTATTCTCACTGGTCAGTATCAAACGAAGGTAACGGTCGTAACCTTTACATCTAAGATGGCGGACGGTAAGTTTCGATTTCGATATTTCGTTTTTATCGAATTAAAGCACTCGGTAGATAATGAAATGCTTTGATATTTGAACTATATTCAGTTTATATGACATTGAAACCATGAAGTATTATCATTTGTTCATAAACCATGCGTAGGCACCACAGTTCAACGATATCTTCCACAGCTTAAGGGAATGTAACTGGGATATTAGTTTTACAGATGATAAGATAGTTCATATGCGGTGATGCAGTAACGTATATGGAGAACTAAGATGGCCAGTTACCGCGTATTGAAAATCAACATGACCGTTACCGTATCATACATTTCAAGTTACCTTCACTTTAGCGATTGAAGATATCTTTGACCTGTGGCACCCACACACGATATATGAACAAATAATAATACTCCAGAGTTCCCATGTAATATAAGCCTAGTTTTGTCCAAATATCAGAGCATAACGTCAACTATAAAGTAGGCTAGTTTAATCTAAGGAAAACTAAAAATATCGAAATCGACAATTACCGTCCGCCATCTTAGATGCGAAGGTTATGGCCATTACTTTGCTAAATATTGACCAGTGATTCCCAGGAGTTTATTTCACTTCAAACTCGCTGCTTTGAATTAACTATCACGACATTGATGTCACGAGAAACTAATCCGACTAACAGTTAATATTAGTTATTCCCCTCCAGTGTTTACAGTTGGATTAACTTTTCAAAATAAGAACGTGAATGTTTGTTTTCCTGAAAACCTCGTATTATTTGGTATGAAGTATTGTTCCAAACCAGTATTTTGGTCACGACACAAAGTAGTATTTCCTATTTGAAGGGGGTCGGTGACTAACCTTCATTTACTCCAAAATCAAAATTATTGAAAACATATAATTTATATTATCATTATATGCTTCTTTTTCTATAGATATACACCAACACGAATTGTTATGTTCTCTTCAATTAGCAATTGAGCAGATCAAGGGAAGATACACAAATAACAGTTTGAAAAATGCTGGTATATATGAATTGCGTTTAAACCCTAGTATAGTAGACGCTAATATATCGTCCAATATCTTAAAATTCTGCGATGAAAATGGCCAAAAAAATCCCTTTCACATTATTTGACTTTCTTCTGACATATGTTGATACAACCATCAAGGCATTTTAACGAGTATTCTATTTGTAGCTTTCCAATGGTAAATGAGTTTTCTCTTATCTGTTACTGTTATGAATAAGGGGTGGCCAGATTTGACTAAAATGCGTTGTCATCTTAAGATTTTCACTTTTTTAGTTTGCGGATCCAATGAAGGATGGTACTACCTCTTTTATTGAATAATGTCTCTAAGTGGACGTTTACGAACGAAACTGACATGCAAAGTGAGAAGTGACGGGAAAATGTCCAAATGTTTGAAGGAGAGTGTACTTTACAATGTTCTATGATAAGGTGTGAAGTTTATCTTATCATTTAACGAAATCAATAGTAAGGACCCTGTTTTATAAATGATAACAAATATATTAAAATCATATATTAATCTATAATATTAAGCATGTTGCATATTTAGTGATTACTTCGGACATATTTGAAACGATTTAATACAGGGTGCTTCAAAAAGTGAACCCTTGCAACAAGCAGTATTTCAGTTATTAGCGGCATTTTTAATGAGCTATCAATTTTACATGTTTTAGAGGAAGGTCTAAAGTTTTTGCGGGTACCATAAAGGCCACCTGCAGAAGTTACATGATTATCAAAAGACATGCCTGATTCATTAATGATGTGCAAAATACATGGCGCTCCTAGTTCTGGATGACCGCTGCAACGCGAATTTTGAAGTTTTCCACTGCTCTATCAAGCATATCTAGGGGTATTTTGTATTTTTTATATCTCAAGAGCAGAGTTATTACTTCCCCCCCCCAAAAAAAAACAACATTGCTACACATTCAGAAAGAATCATCAAGGGCTGTTGTTCTCCGCGCCCGAAATCAACGGAAGACTCAAAGATCTCTGTATGACATGGAGAGATGAGGTGACCATGTGAAAGGGTATGAGGTGTAATCAAGCATGGTTATGAGTATGAACACCTAATTGTGCCACAACTGCAACACCTTCTACAAATAGGACCTGGGGTCATACACTGGTTTTTCGCAATGTCCAAAACTTTGTCACTGGCTGATTTTGGCCCATTTTGCAAATATAATGATTATTCAACCAACCATGACCCAATGCTATAAAATTATATTCCATTGAAAAGAGAGATACATATATGTAGCTTCGTGGTACATTGAATGAAATCAATGCAGTCATAACTGTTGTGTTTCTTTGCCATATTCAGCACCAGGCCCATGCGCTGACTTTTCCTAATGTCTATCATAAAACCTGTGCCCCCAAACTGATTTTGGACCACTGTGCAAAAACAATAATTATTCGACCAACGACAACTCCATGTAAATTAATAACAATTTGTTTAAAATGAGAGAAATCTGGCTTAAAGAGAGAATCAGATTTTGCGAGCAGGCTAAACAAAAGATTGTTTCAATTTTAGAATATTTTTGGCTCATGTCATTCCTTGTCATGTCTATTTTCTAAAAATCACAAAAGTGCATACTTTATTCCAGGAAAACAAAAGATTTTTACAATAATGTATTATTTTTTCTATAAGAATGGTTACCATTTTTATTATTTGGGAGAATTTAAAGATTTTTCACCCATTTTTGCACTTTGGATCATTAATAACTTCAATCTCAAATTTATAACATATTGTGAACCTTTTGGGAGATATTGTATTTGATATTGTAAGGAACAGATTGGGAGGTCAATTATACATGTTGCTTGTAATTTTGTCACACCCTATAGATCAGATTCTGTCTTTAATGGTACATTGGATGAAATACATGTAGATGCAGTCATCATTGGTTTTGCGGTTTTACGATTTGCGTTTTTATGCGCCCGGTGTAAATCATACGCGCAATATGCATAGAATACTAATAAATTCAATTATCATTGCCGATCTCCACGGTATAACTGAACAATTAAACATAATTATAGTCTTCAAAATGCAATATTGTTGATATGCAAGACATTGTAAAATTAGAATAAACACTGGAAAACATTTTTATAAAATTATTTTAAAATTATGTCTTTTCTGTCTTTCCTTAGTTAAAGTTGTAGCCTACTCATTCAAAAGTTTCATATGTATGCACATTATACACATTTCGTAAACTTATCTTATCGTTGTATTATCTAAAAGTTTTATCTAGTATAATTTATCTCGTTTGGGAAGAGCGCCTTTGATATCACAGCCACACAACATGTGACATGAATGCTCATGAGTCTTAGTTCTCAGATTATACGAACTTTTCATCGAATTGAATCAAAATAGTCACGTGATGCCAAACAGGAAGGTTTATCGCACGTTGATTGGACAGATCGAATGCGATAAACTGTACAATTTGCATATATAAATGGAACATAACAATAGACAAACTATTCCTATTATTTACCGATTTGAAAGACGAGATGAGAGCTCTCATCTTTTTCGGACTTTTGGGATCAGTCTTTTCTCAATCGATTCCAACTGGATGCGCTTTTACAGATGGAAGATGTAGTTATTTCATCGAACTTGGTCATAAAGGTCAATGTGACAAGAGAGGTACGGGTAATGGAGACAGTGAACAAGCCCTTGGAAAATGCAGAAAATGTGATTCTATCGAGAAGGATCTTGCTGATACAAAGGTGGTCGTAATGGAACGCCTAATTGAGATGAAGGACCAGGTTATTGATGCAAGTCGACATAGAAACACTACCGATGGTCGTTTGGATCAGATTGATTCCGCTTTGTCCTCTACAGCTGGGTCAATCGGCGGATTGGACAATGCCATCAAAGAAGCGAATTCAAGAATAGCGAGAACAGAAGAGAGGGTGAACACTGTGGTCGATGTCAATAGAGTCCTTACATCAAGAATACAGACAGTTGAACAAAGATTGAGAATATCTCAACAAGAAATTGAAGAGAAGCAAGAAGAAATTCGTCGAATTACTCGAGAAAAAGAGAATTTAGAGAGAGAGGGTGGCGAAAGGGAGAATGGATGGAATTCTGAGAAGAAATCATTTGAAGATACTATTAAAGCATTGACAGAAAACTTAGAGAAAACATCAGACCAGCTAACTAACACAGCGCAAGATTTACAGCAATGCTATCAGACGATAAACATTACGAAACCCGTGGATGAAATCATAGATGGAGGTACAGTATAACCTAGCATACTTTTAAAACAATTTGCAAAATACCAGGTCACCGTCTGGGAGTGGACCGATTGAATAAGGCTTTTCATCAAACTCTTTCATATTAAAAGGATAATAGCCAGCTGGATTCAATGCCATGTACTATGTGTTCAAAAAAATCGGCCAAATTGTATTCAAATTACGGGAGATTAAAAGTAAATATGAAACTTTATCTTGTGAATCTTCTGAATATCGTACAAGATGAATTACTGTATAGTTTTAAAGTAAAAGGTAAACTAAGTAAAGAGTAATAAAGGCCTGTAAACAAGAATAATTTTGGTTTGCGATGAGCATAAGTCCAGAGTTTTACATGTACTAATTTTGTAATTTGGATTTTGTAATATGTTTATTTATGTAATAGACCTTTCAAATAAACTTCGTCATATTTATTCATTATGAGAGACTAGAATGCATAGGCTGCATCCCCAATGAAATAAGTAGTAGGTAGCTTTGAGTACAAGTAAAATTAAAATATATTTTCTAAAATAAGCCCATTTCTGTTTGGAAACATTTCTTACCACAATCTGACTGTTGACATCAATCTTTCAGCTTATTAATTTGACTTTTAAGTGGCATATGCGTTTACTATAAAGGAGACTTTGTATTTTGTTCCAATGACACATATCCATATTTACAGACAATGGCCCGACTAAAACGTATACGTTCAATTTCGATGATGATGCCGACGGTAACATGACAAAGTATGGTGGAGGACAAGCCAACTTTGTCCGAAGGAAAGGGAAAAGCACCACGGCAAATTCAGGACCCGATGCCGACCATACGATGGGTAACAAAAAAGGTGAAATATGAAATTTATATACGATGACAAAGTTCAGACCTTAAAAAGTAGTTCAGCTTGCATGGTTTATCTAACATTACTATAGATTTTAGAATGCTTAAACCACAGTCTAGAACAAAGAGACCGCAGTTTCAATAATAAGAATACAGCTTCGAAACGCATAGTCTAGACATTTGCTTTTACGTGTTAAGATCTTTCATTTGTAATGTTGTAAGGCCAAAACATGACATGCATTTTCTATTATCTTATAGAATCTTATTCATATAACTTGACTCTCTTATTTGAGTCAAGGCACGGGAAAAGGGGTATCATCACAGATTTGTTTGCAATATTTTGATTTTTGTTCAATCTTTCCTTGAAGATTAGTCCAAAAAGACGGAATTGAATTTATCACAGTGATCCCCTTAATCTTGGGCACATTTTTGGCTCTATAGCACATTTTAATATTTGTGATAGGACCGGTTTTTCTGTGTTGAAGCTCACGTTATAATTTAGTTTAAATGATCGTTATAAAATACATTTAGGTACGTATATGTTCATCGACACTGAGGCTGAAGCTCTTAAATATAGATCTTCTAGATTAAGAGCGGCAATGCTGCAGACTCCTACGATACCCACGTCCAAAACAGGGTATGTATAGTACTCGTAAATATCGTTTCATTTTCCTGCATTTTTTTAAATGTATAATCAAATAAATAATGATTTGAAAATTGACAAACCGCCAGTTGGTGCAGCTATAGTTGTACACATGACGCACTCTGACGTAATACAAATACGCCAAAGCACTAAATATATCAGTAATCGCTATTCACAAGTTACAAGTATCACATATCGATATAAGAACAATTTAAGTAGTTTCAGTACTCCTAGACTTCGACTCACGCGGTCGTCAGTTCTTGGGTTTTAGGCATCGTAAAGAGCGTCATAACGTGAGGCTATTAACCAATACGTGACTCGACAGATGCGTTATTATTATAGGTACTGCATTCAATTTTGGTATCACATGTATGGTTCCGAGCAGCAGACATTCAACGTTTACGCAAAGGTAACATATTTCAAAGTGACACTATTATTCTTTTGATGCATTAACTTTCCGACAGTGACGCGTCTTCGAATATAGGTTCGGGAATATACTAGTTGTACATAAAATATTCCGTTTATTGTTTTTTTAGGTTAAGAATGGATTGGGGTACCCAATATATAGCAAGAAAGGAGACCAGGGTGATACATGGAGACTTGGCGAGGTCACTATAACTTCGGAGTATAGTAGAAGACCTTTTGAGGTAATTTTGAAAAACAGGACATATGCACTGTCGTTAATAATTATAGAGGATTGAAGCATGCAACTTAAAATAATGGTAATGCAATGGTTAACATGTTCACATTCAACGGGGTAAAAATGATTTTATTCAATTTTTATAGTACCTAATTCACATTTTGGAATATTGTAACAGTTAAACACTCAGTTATACAATGTCGTCCTTTTGAGAATAATTTTTAGATGGGCGATGTGTCAATGTGTATTAATTGGATAACATTTGTACGTAACTATCATGCTACTTGAAAACGAAAGAGTATCGCTGATGTATAGAGTGCACTTGGGAATCAATGGGGTGGCGCCCTCCTCCCCTGGGTAGGCACAGAAAAAAGAAATTGGCCCACAAAAGGGGCTCGATTAATGAACGTTTTTGGGCATAATGGACCCTTTGAGGTCTTATTCTTTAATTTTAGGCTAAATTATCAAAAAGTGGGTCTTAAAGTTTCAAAATTTGGGCAAACCTCTTGATTTTAGGGCCCCAAACTTTTGGGGGAATTTTGCGGAATTATTTTCACAGTTCAAATTTGAGTCCCCCTTGCTTGTTCCTGGATACGCCCGTGTTTCTTAGTTATGTACATGATGTGAATAAATACTTTAATTCCTTTCAGATTGTGTTTGAAGGGCAAGCAATATCATATCAGTATATATCCGGCAATTATAGGTATAGCCGACAAACAAATTCGCAGATAGCGATTGATGATATTTACATCACTAATAGACCATGTCAAGGTAAATGATACATGAATTGTATTTTTCTGTTAAAATAGAGTTATTTGCTATTTTCATCTCTTTCTGATTTCTTCAAGGTGAATTCTCGAACCTAGAACAATTACCGAGTTAAGTTTGAAAATGCATTGTTGAATATGAAAATGAAGATCAATCTCTTCAATTAGGAATTAAAAGATGTCCCGCTGGCAGTATTCCTGCTACAGACGGAAGTTCGTCCTGTTTTGTGTTCGTGCCCACTGCAATGACGTGGCCCGAGAGTGTGTTGCATTGTAAGAAATATGGCGCCAAATCTCACCTCGTGGAAGTGAACTCTAAAGAGAGACACGATTTCTTAGTGAATGTGACAAAAAATAATAAAGGTATAGATATGCACTTTTCTCTTTTTAAAATTCACTATGCTCGTCCTGCTCAGACCAATACGACTGTATGAATGAAATAAATATATCTCGCCGTTATACATGCAGTTTCTTATTGATTTGGCATTTCAATATCAATCTAACGTCCACAAATATTTGGAATCAGCTAACTAAATGTTCATTTTGAATTGTCTTTTTAGCATTAGAGTTTGCCTCGAGAGAAGGTTGGTGGACAAGTGGCAATGACGATGACAAATGGGGCGTATGGAAGTGGCTCAATACACCCACTTTGAATCGATTCTCTTACACAAACTGGCATCCTGGACAGCCTAACAACGTTGCTAATGAGCAACACTGTATGTTGATGGAATATCCAGCTAACAATTGGGCTTGGGGAGACGTCGAGTGCTTTTCAAAACATCCATTTATATGCGAAATTTCTGTGTAGAGAGTCAAAATTAAGTAAAATAGATACAATTGGACCCTCGGTGCGTCTCATTTATTGCTCTATATGCATACATTATACATTCAAAGGCAGGGCTTTTTACTCAAAATGAGCAATGTTACACACCACTTTTGATGATATATATATTTCGTATTTTTAACAAATACTGGATTGATGAAGCATGTTAGTTTATAGTATTAACCTGATAAAAACTCAATTTAGAATCTATTTAAGGCACGATACAAGTTTGAATGTGAAAACGTGAGCGGTAAGAAAATATGTCATAATTCTATTCTCGAATATGTTATGTGCGCAAGAAGAACTTTCCTCAAATTTTGAAAAATGCTCAAATCTAGATTTTGGAAGCTGTATACCATTCTCTTCAAATTATTCGGTAGTATAATTTGGCCTGAATACAAATTGGACACACGGAGAATTGTCTAAATGGAAGCTATGCTAATTGTAGCCTTCTGTGTAACTTAAAAGCTACATTTCGTGGCACATTTATCCCTTTTCGTTTTCACAGTTGAGTGAAATCAGTTATCCCTGTATTGTTTGTTCCATCTGTACATTGTGCCTCTGGACAACTTCCATTATTTCGATGACTTCCATTATAACCAATTATAACAGTTGTAGAAACTGATTCGACTTTTCCCTAAAAATATAACTGTAGAATTTAGCCTTCAAAGAGATCACCATGTGAGAATTTATTTATATATACAATGTATACTGTAGTTTATCTCATTGGACCGAAACGTATTGTGATGATGTTCAGTGAGATAAATCCATCAACATGGTTCGGAAGCCATATAACATTTTCACCGAAAAGTATTAAAATTAAAATAAGCTGATATTTAAAGATGATTTATTCCACTCGACTCGCGTACATGCGACTCAGTACCAGCACACACCAGCATACCATACCAGCACTGATTATTCTCAAAGGGGGAAAGCACACATGCATATATGCCAATGTACAAGATGCGAGTGGAGATAACCTTGATTTACTTCATTAAGTATTCAAGATTTAGTTTAAGGGAAATCATATTTGAAGTCTTCATGTAAAATTGCATCTGCAAATCACAGAATAGAAAGTCGCAGGAGCATTAATAGCGAAAACATTACCACCGATTTCTTTCTTTGACAACATTCAGGAAGACAACGACGGATTGTTTCATATACTGGCCAATAAAGTCTCTTGTCCACGTCCTCTCTCTTATATTTCCCTGTAAAAGATACGTTTGTCATTCACAAACCAAATCGGCGTGCGTTATCTGTCTTATTGCTTGATAAGGCGCTTGTGCACGAAACATTTATAGATGTTTGAAAGGGCGCTTGTGCACGAAGCATTTATAGATGTTTGAAAGGGCGCTTGTGCACGAAGCATCTATAGATGTTTGATAAGGCGCTTGTGCACGAAGCATTTATAGATGTTTGAAAGGGCGCTTGTGTATAACATTTAGTAGACAAGACCAAACCATGCGGGATTTACGAAGTGAATTTATTTCTATAACCTGATTGGCTCATCGGGCCATGACACGACACAAATAGTATATCAAAGTTAAGGTAGTTAAACACAATGACATTACATTGTGCACGAAGCATTTATAGATGTTTGAAAGGGCGCTTGTGCACGAAGCATTTATAAAAATAAGCCCTTCTCTTACCTGTTATAGAGGAAGCAACTAGGCTTACAGGAAGACCAACAGCAAACGTGACAATCAACGCAATCAGCGTATACCAAACATACGATACATTATACAAGTAGAATATACCAGACCTACAAGTCAGTAAAACTAGTTTTTCTAATAAATCATAAACCATGACCAGTCGTATGTCAGTATAAAGAAATAAACCACACGATAGAAACAATGTCATCTATATACAAAAAATACTTTGATATGAAATGTATAAACCATGAATATATAACGTCTCTCCTTATCACCAGACAACCACTATAATTGTAATCCTAGACCATGATTTATTTTTGAATACTTATATTGGTATTGTAATATGGTATTCTGTATTTATCACTCCGGTACCTTAATGGCTAATTTTACAGCCTCTAATATCATTTTAAATCTAGTGGTTCATGTATCAGAGCAAATGCATTTATATTAACAATTTGACAGTATGTCCTCATCGCCTCTTATAAATACTCCCATACTCATCCTTCCATCCTAACTCAGACGTCACATTTGTGACATCTAAGTGCGAAGTGTTGAAAAGATAAGCTGGTGTCGTTCCATTATTTCCCAATGAAGCTATTTTGGCATACTCTGATGTTGTTGTTGTTGTTGTTGTGTTAGAGTACTTTGTTGTATTTGTACAGCCCGAAATATCAGTTGGCAAGTTTTTTGGACCAATCTTAAACATCAGAACGCCCGTATTAATCCAAATTAGGATTCCAAGACTTGAAAAGAGACCACTTGCAACCCCCTAAAATGGATTGATTGATTCGATTTAGGCGGAAAATTATTAGAATTGTTCAATATTTCAATTTTTGGGATGTGTTTTAGGTCAATTGTCTTTAGATTATAAAATGGAACGAAGACAGCTGTTATCTGTGTGTTCGTTTATTCGTAATGCTTGATTGAACACTTTCTAAGAAAACAAATAATTGATAATACATGTAACTTAATATTTAATAGTTTTATTTAATTCGAGAAGAGTTTTATTTATCTTGCAAAATTAAAGTCCTTGGTGATGTCACGTCGGGGTACCATAGTAACAATGAAATCAGCCAATCAAGCGGAAGCTTAATTCTTGCGATATTACATCAATAATATTAGTGTTCGGGGAATGTATTAAGTTTCAAGATGATTGGCTTGCAACCTTTTGTTATAATACTAAGTCGCACTTGGGGTGGGGGGTCATTTGAATCCCCTTATTTGTTTACTACATTTTTGATTTCAAAATTGTTGGTATTGTTGTAACAAAGGTCAAATCGAGGAGCGTGACATTTTGTGATAAATTGCCAATTATTAACAGAAGTTTTAAATTAAAAGTGCTAATTGTTTATCGCTGTGTGTCTGACAGTCTTATTCTAAAGTATCAGAATTGCCTACACACTATGTGTCTCATGAACCATTTCACAACAAACTAGCAATTGGAATACTGTTTGGATGTGGAATTTTTATTGATGAATAATTAAATATATATTTAAGGGAAATTTTTATATATCAGTTGCTAGATATATACCTACCCACGTATTAGCACAAGGAAATAGTATACCAATCGTAAACATTCCGAAAATAGGTCCCCCAAGAATACCAGATAGTTTATAATATATAACTATAATTGTGTCCTTTGCCTCTGCTAGTATGAAGGTAACTGCTATTGTTGCGATTCCAAAGAATGCACCTAAAATTAGCAAACATTTTCATTCTCTCTGTTTGCAGATATTTAACAGATCCTGTCATTTCAAGTCCCTGATATCAAATGTGTTTTAAAGACTATAGAGACGAGTTTCGAAAACTTATCACAATTTACCATAAATGTTGCTTTCGACAATAGCGCTGACATTATTTTAGAATAAGTCTGATTTTCAAGATTACCTAGCAATTCGAATATTAATTAAAATGTTTCGCCATCTTAAACTTGTGACAAAAATTTGAGATGCGAAGAAAACATAAGGTGAATGGGGTTGACTTTACATCCGAATAATCGTCCAGTTTCGAGGTTTCATAATTAATTAATAGGGGGGAGTAATCTTTTCGATTCTCTTGAATTGGACATATCTAAAATCTCTGATAACTTCGACACATATTTGATTCGGTACTCCAGTTTTAATTATTTATTTCAACATTTTAGGATTGAAAAAAACTATTTTACTCTCTTTATTCCTTCTTATCCCTTTAGTTCAATAAATGTTCCATGAACAGAGCTTATGATTATAAAGACTTTTGGAAAGCGAGTTTGTAAGCGAAATCCCTTACAGACGTTACTCTCCTTTGCTAAACAGGAATTCTTACCAAAACATTTGGTAATGTTAGTAGCAAATCTCTCTGTCATTGACTTCTTGTGTACAGCTTTATAAATAGGTTTTGATACATCTTCCAAATACACAGCAGCGAGTGCGTTCTGTCCAGATGACATCGTGCTTGAAGATAAAATAATTATTGCTATGTTAGATAAGTTGCTGGAAAACTATAGATGCGTTATGTTACTTAACGTAGTATGCGTGTTAAAAAGCAACTTCGTCGTACTTAACCGCTTTTATTTAGAAACGCCTGGAGATTCATTTTGACCCATCTTATGACTAATTGCATAATGTCTCCCGAATCTCTATCACTTTAAAAATATATGCATGCATTATTTAAAATTCACACATGGCTAGGCAAGGTGTGTCCGATTCCAGCCAATCCGAACACAGTATTTTTACATGACAGCAGTGCATGAAATAATCAATAACGCATCTGTTGTGAATGCTTGTTAAGGTGATGAGATTGCAATGGATGCTTTCCCAATACTTGACCCTTGCAAAAGGTTTCATTGAAAATATGTTTTTAGTGATTTTTCATCTTTACGTTGATTTTGTAAAAAATATTTTGCAATCTGAGAAAAGAGTTTAAGCCCAAGACTCAATGCATTGTAGCTGCTTCATTCCACCCGGGCGTTGTTTCCTTAAGCTTGCATTCCCGCTGCGCGATCATGCAAAGATTTGGAAACAACACCTTCATGGTATGATTCAGCAAACAATGCACAGAGCCCAGGACTTACAGTATGGACTCTTAATGCCCACACTGCATTTTCTTTGCATTACCAAAAGTTATTGACCACCCCCCCCTCCCTTGTTCGTTTTTCTTTTATTTATTCACTGTAAACATCAATCTGGACACTTTTACACTTCCAAAAAGTATAGAATTAGAGTTACCTCATTGCAGCTGCCGTCACAGTAACAATAAACAACCCGGGCATTCCCTTCATGGAGCCGAACAAATCCATCACAAAATATCCTAGCATCTACAAAATATAAATAGGAACATGATATTAAACCCATATGTTTCTTTCATGTATACATCATATTTTGAATGCTTTAAAGAGACGCCAACAGTGTACTTAGGCAGCGTATTGCGCAATTGACTATAGAACACAGGTGTGTTTATTTAAGGGGTAATTTTCTACTGTAAATGGTTTGATTTTAAAATAAAGAACAACTTCTAAAACGCCCCAGTTAACTTGCTGTAAAGCTAGCACAATCACCATTCCATTAGGACATTGGTACGATTCTTACTGAAACGGTCCGTTCTAATTACTCAGGGTGGAAGGTGTGAGAATTGTACAGAAAATGACTTTGTGAGCTGGATGGAGTTTCTCTGTATTTTTCATTCTATTAGGGTTTCCTGCATAAGGGATTTCGCCTGCGAAGCATAGAACTCTTGCGAACATATCTAAATATTGGTCCCAAGAAGACATACCTTGAATTTTTTAGAAAAAAATTGGCTAAAAATGGAAACTACAAAAAGTCAAAATGTTCAACTCAAACAAAACTCTAGCTAACTAATATTAACACTATGTATTATTTAATGTTTTTCAGATGTTTAAGGACCTTCATTAGCGTACTAGTGTCTAGAAATAAGATAATTAAGGACAAAATTTGGCATTTTTGATCATTTTCGCTTTCAGCAGTAACATATAGTTCCTTATATCTTGAGTTTAATGTTGACTGGTTGTTGCAATTTTGATTAAATCTGTGCTTGTACATGTCTTCTTCCATTTAAGATACAAAAAATGTATATTGGACCACCAATGGTCATATTAGAGCTTTCAGATCTCCCCTACCCCATTTATTATGAAAAACTACTGAAACATATGAAAATATAAAATAACTTGAATTTATAAACTTTAACAATGTTGTAACTATTCTATATCAATATTATTTATTATTTAATGTTTTTCAGATATTTCAGAATCTTTATTGGTATATTAGTGCCTAGAAATGAGACATTTAAGGACAAAACTTGGCATTTTTTAAAGTCATTTTAGCTTTCAGCAGTAACATATAGTTCCTCATACATTGAGTTTATGCTTACTGGTTGTTGCAATTTTAATCAAATCTGTTCTTGTAGATGTCTTCTTCCATTTAAGGTATAGGAAATGTATAGTGGACCACCAATGGTCATATTAGAGCTTTCAGATCTCCCCTACCCCATTTATCATGAAAAATTAAAGAAAAATATGAAAATATAAAATAACTTGAAACTATAAAGTTTAATAAAGTTGTAGCTATTCTATATCAATATTATGTGTTATTTAATGTTTTTAAGATATTTCAGAATCTTTATTGATAAACTAGAGCCTAGAAATGAGACATTTAAGGACAAAACATGGCTTTTTTCACCATTTTCGCTTTCAGCAATAACATATAGGTCCTTATATCTTGAGTTTAATGCTGACTGGTTGTTGCATTCTTAGTCAAAGTTGTTCTTGTAGATGTCATCTTTCATTTAAGATATAAAAAATGTATAGTGGATGACCAATGTTCATAGTAGAGCTTTCAGATCTCCCCTACCCCATTTATTAGGAAAAATGACCGGAAATATTAATAAAAAGTAAAATAACTTCAAATTATGAACTTTTACAAAGTTGCACCTATTCTATGTCGATACTATGTATTACCTATGTATTACTATGTATTATTTAATCTTTTTCTGATGTTTCAGGACCCTCATTAGTATTATAATGCCTAGAAATGAGATATTTAAGGACAAAACTTGGCTTTTTTTCATTTTCACTTTCAGCAATAACACATATGTCCCTATGACTTGAGTTTTATGCTGACTGGTTGGTGCATTCTTGGTCAGATCTGTTCTTGTACATGTCTTCTTCCATTTAGGATATAGAAAATGAATATTGGACAACCAATGTTGATATTATGGCTTTCATGTCTCCCCTGCCCCATTTATAATATAAATGAAAAAGTAATTTCATAACATAAACTTTAACAAAATTGTAGCTATTCTCTATCAATACTATGTATTATTTAATGTAACCTTCATTTGATTACATGTGTCTAAAATTTGGCATTTTTAGCATTCTGCATTTAGCAGTAGCATATTTCCACAATTATAATTCTTTGATGATAGATTTATATGTGCTTTTTATTAAATCTGTCTTCTCTGATTTAAGTTAAAGAAAATGTATGTAAGACAACGAATGTTTTTATCAGAGGTCTAAGATCTGCCCTCCACCATTAAATGAGAAAAACAACACAAATGTTATTATTGCATGTTAATATTCTTAAAACTTTTCAAAAGTTTAGCACATTTATTAGCACACTAAAATCAAAAAATGACACATAAATGAGCAAAATGACCACTTTTTCACTTTCAGCAATAGTTGTTTATATTTTTAGTTGAATGGTGATTAGTTGACATATTTTAGATCATATATATTCAATTATGTGTTCCAGCAACAGCCTGATTTTTCAAATCTCCCTGGTTCTATGTTAGAGCTGCATTCAAGTCATTTTAAAGGTCTAAGTTGCTCATGACACCACAAGCTATATATTCAGATATGTAAGATATCTAAATAATTTTTAAAGTTATAATTTTTATAGTTCTAAGAAACTCATCCTTAAATATTGTCCAACGATGTGCACTTGTGTTGTTTATTGCCATATGGACAGGAAGCAATACACCCTTGACTAGAAACTTTGTATTTGCAATATTCGGTGCATTTTGCCATTTTACATTTCCTAATTGCCAAGGACATAATATGTTTCTTATGTTGCTATGAAGGTTTGTTTGTGAGTACTGGTTCAAGACACCCATCTTTGATATATCTTCAAATAGGTATTGCACTTTGAGATTCATATAGTAATTTAGAATGCTAACCTTGAAGGACATAAGAAACTTTAAGAGCTCTTTTTAACTCTCATCCTTCTTTGCAAGCAACATTCTGTATCATCAGACTGAATACAAATTCTCTCAACATTGAACTCCTTTGTCTTGTCTGCAGCACTGTAATAGACATCGGCCATAAGGAGAGTGTCAACTTCTTCATGATCAGTATTTGATAGATAAGTTGCAACTATCAGTTTTGCAAAGTTCAATAGCAGCTCTGCAATAAGTGAAATTCATCCAATTTTAGAGATACGGTAACATTGCTTCACAAACCAAAGACAGCTTACCATTTTGTAATCCTTTCCAAAATCATCTTGTTGGCTGTTCTTCATTTCACAATGTTTACATTTGCCAAAATATCCCCAAGCCCAATATCCATCATGAACTTCCTAATTACACCACCCCTAGGTGTAATATGGAAACCACCAAGCCTTTGACAACATTACAATTAGGTGGCTGATTCGGGGGAAATAACATGGCAGGGTATTACAAAATTCCCTTAAACGTAAATATTTATCAGTTTTAGTGGTTCACTTTTCATATTACCCTTATTTATCTGATAGTTATACAAATTAAAATATGTCCAGTAAAAGAAAATATTATCTGCCCAACACAAGAAAAGATATTTCCATTTTTGTGATTTTACAACATGGGGGCTATGGGGAATCTCCCCGACCTAGAAGTCACATTTTCAAAGAAAATTAAAATTTCAAAGTTGATAAACTCTTTTCAAAAGCATATTACAGTAAAATTTTAAATGCTAGGAACTACTTTGAATTTAAAAAATAAGCAATCAAAGACCAAATTGAAACAGTATATGTAAAAATAGAAACATTTATATTTATCCTAACTTTTGTATATTTCAGATAGTAATGTATAATGTTTAGCAAAGCTGTGGCCTTTTGTAATTTAGGGAGTTTCAGCCATGTTAATTTTTCCGCAAATGACATGGCAGAGAAGTATCAAAATATAAGAGGACACAGATATGATAGCTAAACTACAAAACAAACTAAAATATACAAAAGGATAAATATAAATATTTCTATTTTTACATAAACTGTTTCAATTTGGTCATTTGATTGCTTATTTTTTAAATTCAAAGTAGTCACAAACATTTAAAATTTTACTGTACTAGATGTAATTTTACATGTACATTCCAAATATGACATCAATTTGACTGAATTTTGAATTTTTAATGACTTAAATCAAGATTATTTCTACTCGCATCTAGGATATTGATATGAGGGAATTCAACCAATATGGCTTGATCACTGGTTATAATTATCACAGTACTATACCCCATTACTTTAAATATATTCCAAGTGTTGTACTATACATTGCATAGATTCATGAGCAGTTTGCAACATATTATAACCAGAAAAACCCAATAGACAAAGATAGAGAATACCCGCCCCATTTGCAACTCAACTTTAAATGTGTAATTTTTAGACTTGCATACTCATGAAGTTCCTGACACATCTGAAAATATCAAATAATACATAGTATTGATCTAGAATAGCGACAACTTCGTTAAAGTCTATACTTTGAAATTGTTTTTTTTTTAATTTCTGGTTATTTTTTCAAAATAAATGGGGTAAGGGAGATATGTAAGCTCGAATATAATGACAGGCTTTCCAATATACATTTTTAAATACCTTAAATCAAAGTAGGCAGGCAAAAGAACAGATTTGATCAAGAATCCATCAATCAATCAGCATAAAACTCAAGATATAAGGAACTATATGTTATTGCTAAAAGTGGAAATGATGAAAAATGCCAAATTTTGTTCTTAAATGTCTAATTTCTCGACACTAGTATACTAATGTTATTTTTTATATTTTCCAGTCATCTTCCCTAATAAATGGGGTAGGGGAGATCTGAAAGCTCTAATATGAACATTGTTTGTCCACTATACATTTTCAGTACCTTAAATGGAATAAGACATGTACAAGAACAGATTTAATCAAAAATGCATCAACCAGTCAGCATAAAACTCAAGATATGAAGATCTATATATTACTGCTGAAAGCAGCATTGATTAAAAAATGCCAAGTTTTGCCCTTAAATATCTCATTTCTATCTAGCCACTTGAATACCAATAAAAGTTCTGAAAAATCTTAAAAATAACACATAATATTGATAATAGAATAGCTACAACTTTATGAAAGTCTATAATTTCAAGTCATTTTATTTTTTCATTTTTCTCGTTTATTTTCCATAATCGATGGGGTAGGGGAGATCTGAAAGCTCTAATATGAACATTGTATGTCTACTATACATTTTCTATACCTTAAATGTAAGAAGACATGCACAAGAACAGATTTAACTGAAAATGCAACGATCAGACAGCATAAAACTCAAGATATGAGTAATTATATATTACTGCTGAAAGCTAAAATGATAAAAAAATACCAAGTTTTGTCCTTAAATGTCTCATTTCTAGCCACTTGTATATTGAAATAGGTTCTGAAATATCTTAAAAACATTAAATAACACATAATATTGACATAGAATAGCTACAACTTTGTTAAAGTTTATAATTATAAGTTATTTTATTTTTTCATATTTTTCGGTAATTTTCCATAATAAATGGGGTAGGGGAGATCTGAAAGCTCTCATACGAACATTGGTTGTCCACTATACATTTTCTATACCTTAAATGGAAGAACACATGTACAAGCACAGATTTAATCAAAAATGCAACAACCAGTCAGCATTAAACTCGAGATATAAGGAACTATATGTTAATGCTGAAAGCGAAAATGAGTAAAAATGCCAAATTTTGTCCTCAAATGTCACATTTCTAGACACATGTATACTAATGAAGGTCTTGAAATATCTGAGAAACCTTACATAACACAAAATATTGATATAGAATAGCTACAACTTTGATTGAGTTGAACATTCTGACTTCTTGTAGTTTCCATTTTTAGACAATTTTTTCTAAAAAATTCAAGGTATGTCTTCTTCGGACCAATATTTAGATATGTTCGCAAGAGTTATATGCTTCGCAGGCGAAATCTTTTATGCAGGACACCCTAATATAATAAAAAATACACAGAAATTCCATCCAGCTCATAAAGTCATTTTTTCCTTAGCGGAGCCTCTTAGAAAATTTTCCACCCCGAGTAAATAGTAGAAGATCATCAAACCGCGTGCTACAGAATAGTCAGCCGATAATATGTACGTATACATATATTTGAAGTGATGTACTGATAAGTGTAATGATTTATTTCACTCTTGGACAAAGATAAAATATATTTTATTCAAATGACAAATGCCACTAAGTTGTTTACATTGAATGAAATCAACACAATGTGATGTTACGCACAGTCAATCACGTCACTTTCAATTTCCATTTTAACACAAGATGCTTTGATAATCACTGGTAGTGCACTCTTAACTCATTTAACTTCAACCTAGTTACCGTATTTTATTACATGTTACGTAAACGGATCTTGGTCAGAACTTAACCGTTTAAGAAGTGCAGTTCACGTAACTAAAGTGAGGTACAATATCGATGATTCTATTGTCCTCTGAACTGTTTGTTCGCAAGCGTTTAAATTTTCAAGGTTCCGGAATTTTGTCATCAAAACAGCTGTTTTTGGTAACTACTACACTAACATTCGGTTACAAATACACTAACAACGATGTATCATTTTAAAGATAATTTAATTAGCAATAAAATGATATGTACAGAAATCATGAGAATTTTCTAAGGGAGATATAAGGCACGTGTGATCCAAATTAGTGAACTTATTAAACATTCATTGAGGAATACCTGATTTTCAGGCACATATTTTTAAAATTTTGAATTCTACATCGCCACAAACCCCTGAGTTGTCAGAGAAATGCAACAGTCTATGTGACCTTTTGTCAATGTTTACACACATTTTCCACCATAGTAGCAATGTTTTGTGTATAAGATAAGTTTAGCATGTTCCTCATATTTATAAATTACTATGTTCGCTCTGTTTAACATAGAGTTTTCATCAATAGCATGTGCATCAGCACCTTGACATATTGGTATGGTCCCATGAAATGTGTTTCTATACCTGATCTGATTGCTTTACAAGACCGAGTTTTTTTGGATCACAGGTAGCATATGTTGCAAACATCACTACTCCTATTATGCAAATGATGCCAATACATACAACAAACAAGGCCATGTTGACGTAAAGTACTCTACAAAAGAAAATACAGGTGACTATCTATATGCAAAGAAAGGATGACACTATACAAAGCCAAATGACATATGTATAGCACCTATGGAAAAACACGTAATACTTAAAAGCAATGGAGAGTTCAAGCTTGATTAATTGTTAACAACGTAACCAATTAACGGAAGGAACATGATTCGATTAAAGAATATGTAGGGCGCACATACATTTACATGCGCTTCAAGCGCTTTTAGTCTGCCTCGAAGCCTGTTCAGCTTAGCACAAACTCTGAAGCTGAACGCGTTTCGATTTTATTATGAACGCTTAAACTGTCTATAAAATCCGAGTCACAAGATGAATTATATCAGAAGGGGGAGCACCGGACGCAACTCAACCATAAATGTTAACATCGCGCACGAAGATTGCCAAAGGTACTTTAAGGAACCAATCAAATTACTTGATGCATTAGGGTTAGACCTTTGGCCATTTTCAATTGCAGTCTAAAAACTCTTACTCATAATGAGTCTGGACTCTATACAGCCATTCATATGTAAAATAAATATGCGGGGTACCTACATCTGGGCTTTTCTTTTGGTATCTAGAGTAAGGTATCTTTGAACGTAATGCTGACTGCTTGAAAACGTACCAATGTATAATAAACCAAATCCAAAACTCATTCCCCATAAACTATGGCGGGTTCTAGGATCCGGATTCAACCTGTCATGACATTCAATTGAAGAAGTTATTGAAGGTAAAAATGAAGTTTGCAGTGGTATGAAAATAACAGTTTTGAAAGTGAATCGAAACTATTTAGTATCTGGGGAGAATATTTTGGTATTTGACTTCTAGGTAAGCTTAGTACGGAACTATGGTAATTGGTACACGACTTAAATATCTACTATATTTCGGGGTACAATACCTATTTTGTAATACTTGAGGAAAATACAAAGAGAGTTTGGAAAGAAAGACGTACTCATTATTCGTGGTCCACCATGTATGCTTGTACTTACTCGTCAAATTCTATTCTACCATGAATAGCTGATATTTCAAATGCTTTATCGAGACCTCCGACGGAAATCGATCCTTTGATGATAATTGCAAGACATCCAGAAAGCACGAGACCGATTTGTAATGTATCGGCCCAAAGTACGCCTTTTATACCTCCCTGCAAAAGTGTATGTGTAAATGGGAACAATGAATTCTTGTTAGTTGATCACGTAACATAACTACAAGGGTCGTTCGAAAAGTCTTGCACAACAGCTTCTAAAGAGAAGAGATTTTATCATTTTAATGTGAAATTTCATACAGAGATAGTATTACCCTTCTTACAAGCTTATATGAAATTCAGGACCATAAGCAATATACTTTCTGAGATACATTGACTTAAAAAATTGAACCAATGGCCCCATGGTACATATGACGTCATTAGATTGAATTGATTTTGTGAATGCCTTTATAGACTGAAATGATTCCGTCAATCTTTGTTCTTTCAGCTGTTAGTCTGGCTATATTATAACTAATTTATATTTAATCTAAATATACAGTACTTAACATCTGATCTTCCTTTTCAGTAATGCATTATACTTGTAGCATTACGTCCAGTCCATTAGCAAATGTCTGAACAATCAGTACCTATAGGATATCAAGCCCTCTCATAACTACAGCTACCCTCAATACATTTCCCTTCTCTTATTCCATCTTGGAATACTTAACAAACCCTATTGGAGTCATCATATGCAATATGTCTTAATCATGAATGAATATAACTTGTGTAATACTGTTTCCCCATTCTTTATCATGAATTCTATCAATGTTTTCTGCTCCAACTTTATTATTCCAAGCCATATTCTCCAATATTTCCTGAATTCATGAGAACTTTGATAACGTCACAAAATCAGGTAATTTGTTTAAGATGTTTGAAGAGTATGTTTATAGTCATTCTTTGACATAACCAAAGAAAACAAGATGTGAAATATTGAGATAAGACTCACATTTTCCATGAGAACTATACTAAAAATTGTTTAAATCTAAATTGACAGTTAATGAAAGTTAATTTAGCATGCTAAGTAACATTGATCTTTATATGTTACTAATTATATTTTACAAAATGATATGTACCATAGCGTCATCACCGTGGTTACTATAGCAACCGTAAAATGTCAAGTAGTTAGCGTATATAAATGAAACTTTGACAGTGTAAGGGAATAAGGTATGGGCACATACAGACCAACTATGAACAAGATTGGTCCATTATTCTCACAATTAAACATATTTGTGCAAAACTTTTTGAACAACCCTTGTATTTACAAACAGATACACAATGCATTACATGACATTTTGAAGAATCCCCGTGTATTCGACTTATAATAATGTTTAAGTCGAATACACGGAGATACTTCAAAATGTCATTCCTCAAACAAATGATAAATTACGGATCATTGTGTCAATGGAGGACTTTTTGTATCAATTCTACCAGTATCAATAGCATATTAATCGGTTTTAGGGAGAATTATGGCACGATTGGTTAAAATGTACACAAACCTCCTTTGTTTTTATAATTCAAATAAATGGTACCTAATAATTATAACCTATTAATTAGTTCTTGTGTTTTGTTATTACTTACAACTGTTGTATACAGCATGCATACAACACCATTCAATACAATGGTACCCCAGAGTGGTATTTCACTAACTAAATAAAGAAGCACATATCAATTAGAATTTGGAATTGTGTGAATTCAGCAATTCACATCAAACAACTTGCTGGAAGTAAAGGTTAGGAAAGCACTCTACCATACCTAGCCCCTAGAAATCAATTAAGATACTCTGTTTGTCTAATTGTACAGGGTGACACAAAAAATGCCACCCACCTTACGTTACATAACTTGTTTGTCAATTAACATATAGACATGTTCTTTGACACATTTAAAGTAGACATAATGCAATTTAAAGCAACTCAAGAAACTTCAGATGTGTGTAGCTCGAGTGGGTCAAAATTTATGAGCGTTACAAGATTTCCTCAGCATATTGCTCATCCCTTTGCAAGCACACTTGGATTCTACACAAAAAATGCCACATACATTTTGTAACATAACTTTGTAAATACTAAAGATTTTTGCTTATGTGCTTTCAGGGAAAAAAGTCCGGTCAGTCAGTCACATAATGATTTAGTTGTCATAGATATAATCATTATAACATTTTTCTAAAATTTTGTTACAAAAGGTGGGTGTCATGTCTGTGTAAAATCCAGGTGTACCTGTAAAGGAATAGACTACAAATCTTGTAACGCTCATAAATCTGCATTTATTTGAGCTAGTCATCTGAAACTTCTTGTGGAGTTGCACCATCGATGCTAGTTTAAATGTGCCATAACACAATTAACAATAATTGCCTTCAAATCACAGATTGTGACATATGATCAAAAGTCCTTATACCGTATAATCATACGATGTAAAAATATCAGTTTTTGTAGCGATAAGTGAATACCTTGTGTTAGTGTTATCGATGATGCATAGAGACTTATGGAGATGTAGACCAGCTGCAATCAAATATGATTAAAAGTGTAATAATTCATTATTTAGTTATAATCATGGTAAATATAGACTAGAGGGAATAATCCAGATGCAAGTAGGTACGTAGGTATGATTCGGGTTACACAACATGGCAGGTATGATACAAAGTTGACTTAGTCTATTCCTCAGTTCTAGTAAATAATTTTAATATTTCCCTGTGATATAGCCTGAAGATGAATGGACATTTCAAACTGTTTTTATTACTTGTATTGTATTAGGGTTGTAACAACTTGAAAACAATTTCGTAAACTTACGGTACTTACAATTTGAAATGAATATAGAATCACAGCTATGATTCGTATCGACTTGTTAAATCGTAGTTCAAGGTACTGAAAATGAATAAAAGATGATTATAAAACAAAAAGTTCATAAAACCGGAGAATTGTTTCCATTTGATAACTCCATTTCAGGTTTAATATAAGGAAGTTAAGCTACACCATTTAAGGTCCAGCCCTCGGTTTCAGCCATCTTAAAATGTGACTGAAAAATAGTTAAAAGTTTTTTTCAGAAAACGTGCCTTAACTATTTCTTCAAATGATAGGAGCTTGGAAATGTATATTCATATTGAAAAAGAGCAGAGGTTCTTTACCATTAAGATATTAGCCTATAAAAGTTGGTCCAAAATCCATTATTTTGGACCATAAATGGTATTTTAGTTATCAAAAAACCATATTTTTAAAATGGTTGCCATTTTAGGATGCAGCGGCCATCTTGGAAATTGATTTTTGTCATCAAACATATAAAATTTGAACCAAATGCATTGATTGGTATTTGAGCTATCAAAGAAATTTTCATTGAGCTCTATGTTAACTAATTCCAGGAGGAATATAATACTACACGTTAACAAACAAGTTTAGATCACCTACAGACATTTGGTATCTAGACTGTCTTGAATATAATTAGATCACTATTACAGAATGGGTCTCACCTCATAAACGCTTGTAAGCTTAAGGTCATGATATATTGGTAAATAAACATGTGCCGTTATCAAATAGCCGATTGGGCATCCGATTAGAATATACAAAATCATAGTTCCATGGTCGTAAATGTCAGATGGAAATCCAATAACTCCGATTGTCGAAACAAAAGTGGCGAGGATCGATATAGACACAGGGACCATAGACATTTTTCTATCTCCAAGCAAAACTTCTTCAGTGGTACTCTGCTTATTTCCTGTACATCCATAGTAAAAGCCAATTAATATTGAGGCCAGTAGAGCAAGTCCGAACACAAGCCAATCTGCCCAAGTGAACTGTACTAGTTCTTCGTTAGCCATGACCCCGTTTGCTAGTAATGCTATCCTATGCAACGATACTGACTTATGGTACCTCGGATCACTATTATCCTATGCGTGATACTGAGCACGTCTCAATGAGTTGAGCGTTTAAGACTTGTTGGGGCGGAATGCCTCGTTTAACTACTGCAGCCCAGGTAATTTTCCAGTGCTACTATGTTTTGCTTCCTGCGAAAAAAATCGCCTTATAATAGCTGAAAATCCAATAGTTCTTATTCATAAAATATGATTTTCGGGAAATGCCTGGGCATATATTTCACTCAGTGTTGACGGTAATTTCGTTCAGTGCTGATCTGTAATACACTCCATGCAGAAAGATCGCATGAAATTATATTCGAGACACAAAGGAGCACGTAGGTTATCGCAAACAATTTCAAATGATTCTAACTTGAATTATGAATATTTTCTGATCATGAACATGGGTGTATCTTTTAGATCCATTCATTATCTTCAAGAAAAGTATATATAATGATAACTAAGTTAATTAGACCTAAATGATATTGAAGGGGCAGTGGACCAATCAACATACTTTTTCAAAAATGTTGACCTAATTTTCACCAAAAATGCAACCTTTTATTATATTGTTGAATGCATAATTAGAATGTGCTTTGAGACATGTTCGATTTCCTAAAATGAAAAGTTGATTGCTCCAGGGACTTAAAAGATACTGAATTTGGATGACCAAAATGAACTGAAACCAATGGAGTAATAACATGGGGAACACTCATCTTAAAGCAATTAAATTTTTCTATCAAAACAAATAATAGTAATGCATTAAACATTGTAAATTCATTAACCAGAAACATATTATATATTCAATTTATATGACCAGTAGATAAAAAATGATAAAGTTACATTGTCTCCAAAAGTTTGGCAACCTTAGGCACGGGTTGGGATTGTCTAGTTTTGGGAAGATCCCGGAGCATTATGGCATTATGCAAAGAAGAAATATCAATAATTTCGCACAATTTATTTTCCAACTTAAAAGCTGCTCCATCTCCGGTGAAATAAACCAAGTATCTTAATACTGATGAAAGCACATTTTCTTTCAAATCTGTGCGCCTCTATTTTGTTAACTTTAAATAACCTGTTAATGTGAATTGTTTACTATGAATTATATGTAATGTTTAAATGTTCACCTATGTGGAGGTAAGAAAGACACTGAATTGAACCCCAAAAGCAAACATCAAATAATAAAAACATTTTGAAATGAGTTAAAGCATATGTTTCATTTATAAACACAAGCATTTGATCGAATGGGTATTTATTATTCATTACTTTTTCAAGGAAAAATAAATCCATTGCGAATTTTTTTTTGATTTTTCAGATGCACGTTTATCATTTTAGGTTTAAATTATTGCTGTTTCAGTGCATTTACGCTATTTTTTCACGAATGTCAAGTGGATCATGTTAATGTCATTTAGCAATTAAATGTATTAAGGGAGGCCATTAGATAAGTATGTCTCTGGTACTTAATATAAGTGTAAGTTAAAAAGGTACACACATTACGTGCAGTGGAAAGTTCTGTCCAATAAAAAAGCCAGATGTAGTCATCTTTTGCTGAGTAAAGCAAAGACATAAGAAGGATTATATCAAATAAGTCTAGATAGTTTAATTAAGTTATTATTTCAAATGAGTATTTCCTGATAATCCACTGATAATCGCCAACGGATTATCGAGATTTTTGAACTTCAAATACCTAGTTACAGATGGCCTTCGGTTGAATTTAATCTCCTAATTAAATATAGAGCCCATTGGTTCCCCTTGGTTTACATGGGAACAAAAAATCATCTTTAGAAAATAAATTGGGAAAATTTGGAGGCATTGGAAATTTAGTCATGTTACATTTCCATCAATATTATATTTTCCTCTCAGGTTATGTAAATAAAAATTCAAACATAAAGAGGAGGGAGCAAAGGTTGCCAAACTTTTGGAGGGGGTGTATTTGCCAGAAAGACTAGAGTATTAGCCTTGCACAAGTTTCAAATCGTGTGTCCAAAAGGATTTGACAGCATTCTTTAATAAAATAATAAAATGTTCATTTCCCAAAAACAAATTAAAGTTGATAATGATTCACAAATTCATCTGAAATGTTTTCATTCTCAAAACGCTCATGATTCTCGTCATTAACAATAAAAACAGCGGAACGGTGATATAGATTAGAACTAGTTGTTCTTTGTTGCAAGGCATTACAATTTAAAAGAAATGTTTTAGAGCTTACAGAGCACAGTGGATAAATACAATACTATTTGTCATCTGTCACTTCTATCGTCAGTACCAATTGAGAGTATTCGTGCAGCCATTACGACTTTTATTGCGCGCCGTGATTAAATAAATATTACATTCTTCAAAAATATTTGCTATTGAATATACAAGTCTTCAGTAACTAACTGTAAGTTCATGAGGTCATTATGAACACTCATCTATTACAAAATTGAAGAGCAAAAAATGTTTTGAATTGGAACCTTTTCAAAAATCATCTAAAAGTGTAGGAATTGCATGTTTCTGTAGCTCAATGTATGCCCTTGATTTGGATTTCATTAAACAAATGTTATATAAAAATGTATGATTTTGCCCCCAGGTTTCAATTTTTTCTTTACACTATACATATTATAAAAATAAGCATTCAACCATAAGGAGGCTAACCACTCAATACAATGAGGATGTTACAGTTGCCGAACTTTTGGAGGGTTGTAAATTGTATGTACAACAATATATATGCAAAAATGCTTTTATGTGAGGTACACCGATGAAGGGCGGATTTGTGGATAACATTTAAAGTCGAACCGGTACCCCTGGCCACCAAATGCTGGCTACGCCACTGATTTGCCCTAGACGAAATGAAACGTATTTCAAATGCTTCACAATTTGGCCACCGCAAAAATCCAGGAAATGATGGAAATGAAACGTTTTCTCTCGGATTACATTTATTGTAGATTTATTGTAGACACATCTGCTGGATATTCTCCATATCTAGATCGTTAAAAGTGCACGAAAGGCGCTTTAGAAATAACAGGTATAATTCCAAAGTAAAATTCCTAAGGCGCTTTAGAAATGTTGGTGTAATCAGGATGGCGATTTTGTAAAGCGCTTTCCACTAAAGCGCTTTTAGTGTTTTTTCCGGTGTAATTCCAGCAATTATGATACATGCAGCATAGGATTATGGGTAATCATCAGAATTAATCTCTCATGTTTATAACTGAAATAAAAACTGTAGTTCATAAATGCAGATTCTCCTTTCAGTAAAGAAATTCAGAGTCTATTGGAATCGAAGAACCCTTTGTTGGCTATCCCTTGTGTATTCTGTGTCTTTCGATACTGATTTTCACCGTTGTCGAAAGTTTGATTTTCAACAAAAACAGTTGTCGAAACAGAACCATTTTTTGTCTACAAATAAAAACACAGATACATATATGTCGTGACAAGAAACAAATGCAAAATACGATCAAATCATGGGTACGTACATTAACTTAAAAGCTACGTTCACACCAACGGCGCTTTAATGCGACGTGCAAAGCCGTTTTGCACGCCGCATTGAAGCGCCATCAAAGCGCCGTTGGTGTGAACATTAGCTTTATGAAGAATCAGGCCGGTCGAGTGTGTTTTTCTAAACATGATTCATACACATAAATATAAAACATATTATATTGGTTTAGTATGAATCCCTCCTCCGACAGCAGTCATTTTGTTTAAAATACAGTACAACCGATAGTCGTGGTCATTCCAATGCATAGTACATGTAGATGCAGTGGTGAACTGAACTTACCGTCGATTTCTTACTTCTGCAACATCCGGAAAGTTGTTTAAATACCGACCAAAAAAGTCTCTCGTCTAAGTCTTCTGCTTTATATTTTCCTGCAATATAAGTCTATCACTATATAATTATGTGAATGCAAGTGACAACAAATTATTATAAGCATTATTTCTTTAAGGAATAAACAATCCTGTAAACTCGTATCGTTATTAGAAAAGCAAGACCCATCGTTTATCTAACTTAAATCACACAATGGGTACAAACTCTTGTTGAAAGTTAAATGGCCAATGTTCCAATTTTAGGAAAAACTCCATTTCTGTTGCGTTGACTATAAGGTAAGTTTATTGAGAAGTGAGTGGGTGTAATAAGTTCAGCTTAAGTGCATTGCATTGAACATGGTACGTTCAGTGTTCATACTTTAATAATAGTAGAAAAATAATGCACTGCTCTTTGTTATAGCTGGATATTCTTAAAAATAAAGTACAGTTCATTCTATTTTGTTGCTACCTAAGTGTGGTTTAGCCTTTGATAATTAATGCGCGCTACAAAAAGCTTGGGTATCTGAGGGGTACTTACAAAGCGTCAGCTAAATCGACCTTTATCAGGACTCCTAGACTTCCATCAAAGCGAACATCAGTTTGACCTCCCGAACTACGTTTCTTGCACTCGAACCACGCTTCTCACATCGCGAACGTGAAATCTTTTGTCGCGCAATACCATTTCCCGAACATATTTCTTTACTCGCAAGCAGAGATCCGTGCTCGCGAACAATTTGTACATTGTACATGCTGATATTTAGGATTCTTCTTAGTAATGCGTAATAATACGAATAAAATTACGGACTTTTTCGATCAGGTGTGTGGTTCATGATCATGGATCCCTGTGCGCGAGTTGAGAAATATGTTCGGGAGCGAGGAAATGGTGGTGTGCGACTAAAATTTCATAGAGTGCAAGGAACATAGTTCGCGAGGTCAGAACTGATGTTCGCGCTTATGTTTATGTATCTTTATTGCCTCCATAATATATTGGAGAGTACATAATTATAATATGCAAGAACATATGCGTTGATGGAAGTCTAGGAGGCCTGTTTATACTTTTATCTTGAATTGATAGATCGGAATATATAATACTTTAAAATTACATTGACTTCTTTAGTTTCACATAGATGTAATAGTATCACACATTGTATTCTTGTTACCTGTTACACAAGCAGCGAGAAGGCTTACAGGAAGACCAACAGCAAACGTGACAATCAACGCAATCAGCGTATACCAAACATACGATACATTATACAGGTAGAATATACCAGACCTAAAAGTCAGTATAGACTAAAATATTCAAACTCGACAAATGATCAAAAACACAATTACAATGCACATGGATAATTTAAATACGATGCATCCTCACTTAATACTGAATGTCATGAAGCATTAAAAATAAGTCTTCAACTAATGAATGACAATAACACATAACAATAGGGACGACAGGAAGTAAGGCCCTTACTCTTTACTTAATTCTACGTCAAGAGTAAGTACTCCATCTGTAACACTTGAAAACGACGTGTTTAATTCGAAAGGATGACCTGTCTGTGTTAAGTTGAGGTATCCTGATGTCACTATGTCGAGGAACTCCGATGCAGTCGTTTTGTTGTAATATTCAGAGGCGTTTACGATACAACCCGAAATATCAGTCGGCAAGTTGTTTGGTCGAATCTTAAACATCAGAACTCCAGCATTGATCCAAATGAGAATCCCAAGACTTGAGACAAGCCCTGCAGCTGCACCCTACGTGTATCAAAACATTTCTTAGTTGGTATAGTGCTTCATAAAGTTTCATAAATTAAATTAAAGTACAGTAAAACCTGTCTTATTGAACACCTCTCGCTTATGAACATCTGCAGACTTGCCAACCTAAAATGAAAAATTTGCGGAGATTATTTTGAAAATTGCGGTACTTGCTGCGGAGAGCAATAAAAGAGAGATTTTACGGGAGTTTTACCAAGAATACCGGAGATTTCAGCTCAGCAAAAATACGGGAGATTTTACGGACATTTTCACAGGAAAAAACGAGTTTAGAAAAAATTTAATTTCTGAAGATTCCCGTAAAAAACGGGAGGTTGGCAAGTCTGATCTGTCTCCTCTAGACACCCTTCTTCCGTACATTCTAGTGACATTCTATCGCTTAAATTATCCCCTACGTATTGAACACTTCCCAACACTAAACGTTTTGTTATCGGCAGGAAAATATTCAATATACACAGGTTTTACTGTGATGCTCCAATGTATATAAATCATTGTAGTAATACATACCCAAGCATTAGCACAAGGACACAATATTCCAATTGTGAACATTCCAAAAAGAGGTCCCCCGAGAATACCGAACAGTTTCCAAAAAATGATTAAAAGTGTGTCTTTTGCCTCTGCTAGTATGAATGTAACTGCTATCGTTGCTAATCCAAAGAAAACACCTGAAAACAATCCAAACAGTTTGATATTTAAAACCAATGCTTGAGTTCAACTCAAGAACGTTCAAAAGTATTTGTGCAGTGAGTTGATGCCGTCTGAACTTACCAAAACATTTAGTTATGTTTGTTGCAAATGCTTCTGTCATGGGTGTCTTGTGCACTGCTGTATAAATGGGTTTAGTCACATCTTCTAAATACACAGCAGCGAGAGCGTTCTGTCCAGATGACATTGTGCTTGAAGATGAATAAATAAAACGTTTTAAAATCAATTAAACATGAGGTAGGACTGGCGCAAACAGTTAGTGTCTATGTTTCCTCTCGCATTCAGTTTACACGTTCACCCTGGAACTACGATATTATTGAATGGATTCATTTCATGAAATCAATGTCCATCATCTTGCTATGCGCTTTGTGCCTCAGTCACATTTAATTTACGGTAAGCGTAGGAGGGCCGTTCTTTCAGAAAATCCAGAGAAATGTGCATCGTCAAAATATAGGGATAAGCAGTACCGTGTAAATTTTGTGAAGCTACAACCGCCATGCGTATTGTCTTCTGTTAACGAATTATTACCTCATGGCTGCTGCAGTCACTGTGACAATAAACAACCCAGGCATTCCTTTCAAAGACCCAAACAAATCCATGACAAAATGACCTATCATCTAAAAACCATGACAAGATATAGAGATAAAGAAGAAAATGGAGATTTGGGAAAAATAATCGATATATTATCTATCAAATAAAACAGTTTGGTACTGATGGAAGGTTTTGAAAACAATGTCAAGTGTTTGCTCTGTATTTTAACACGTTTTACTAATTTCCCTTTGACCCTTGTGGAAATGTTACAAATGTATATTGTATGAAATTTGACACAAATGGTGTTAAAGACCAAAAGAACTTGGTCATTGTATAAAATATTCTGATAACTCTTCTTGCTCCCGGGAAAATAAAAATGATATGTTTCTTTTACCTGACAAATACGATGCTGTCACTCTTAAAAATGAATTACTTGAGTATTTCCCAAGTATAAAAATTACTAAAGTTAAATACTTAGTTTTATTTCATTTTACTTAGGTTTTACTTATATTGTCATTTTGAGTTTTTTAATTGCTTAATTATGTAAATGAGTATTACAATTACTACAGTAAGTATTTCAATTTCTCTCCTTGCATTAGTAGATTCACCATAAATTCAGAGTGCCTGTGAAGTCATTTTAATTTTTGTTTAATTAATATATATATCATTGTTTTAAATTACTTGTAATTACTTTGAATTACTTAAAAATTATTCAGTAGTTCAAGATTATTTAAGTAATTTTTTACTTAAAATGAGTAGTACAAGTTCTCAATATAAGGAAATCCAAGTAATATTTTTTAAGAGTGGTGATACTAGCGTGCACAATGTGTAACATAGATTTCTGATACAATGTATACCTTATCTGGAATGTCCACATGTCCAAGTTTCATCGGATCACAGGAGGCATATGATGCAAACATCACGACTCCAACCAAGCAACACATACTTATAACTATCCACGCTATGACGACGTTGATATACAAAGACCTAACAGGATACCAAAAAGGTGAATTGAAGAAAGGACACACGGCAACGATTCTCTATTTCCCACATTCAAAAAGGATTAAATTCGTTACTTTGTCCATGGGCTTTCAATAGAAGGGTAGGCAGCTTTCCATATTTCATACTTAAGCATTGCCTTGGATTTTTAAAATTGGAGAAAATGCTTCCTGTACACATTCCAAGAAAAATCTTGTTTTGCGCTTTGCATGTAAAATTTTAAGAAAAAAATAAAACACTATTATTATCTACATACATGTGAATAATTTAATACAAAATGGAATTCATCATAATTATGACATTTTATTTATTTATTTATTTATTTGGAATGTGTCCTTGAATAATTATCCACAATGTAACACTGAAGTGAACATTTTTATTCCTCTTTTCCTTATTGGTCTTTTTTGTTTACTTTTAAATGAGATTAATTATGTTTTATGTTTTAATCATATTTAAATTTGATTTTTCTTCAAGATGATACTAAAAACAAAAACTGAAGCATGACACTGGTCATTTTGAAATTCCCATGTATTAACACAGAGTTGCCTACCCTTCTAGTGAAAGCCCATGCTTTGTCAATATTATTGACGGTTGCGTATTTAGTAAAGTAAAAAGTACCATGGTAGTGATGGTATATTGTACATACCCTTGTGCCTTTCGATTAGTATTTAGTGTGAGGTATCTTTGAACGAAGTGCTGATTGCTTGAAAACATAGCAGAGTATAATAGACCCATTCCAAAAATCATGCCCCACACAGTATGGCGAGTTCTGGGATCTGGGCTCAACCTAAAATACAAGAAAAAGGAAAGCAAGTTTTGGGGCTGTCAAAGGTTACATAAAGATATCCTTATGATGTGCACCTAACTCTTATGTGCGGTCCAAGGTCAATGCTTATGTCATTCAAAACGATTACTTCAATGATGAAATATGAAAGTAGAATGCTTGCTGTATTTTTACATTACATATGTTTACAAATCTGTTAACAATCAACAACATAACCTGCAACGATACTTAATGTGTTACAGGTGGACATTTTAACTTACTCATCAAATTCTATTCTTCCATGATCAGCTGCTATCCTAAAAACTTCATCAAGACCTCCAAGGTTAATTGATCCTTGTACGATAATTGCGAGACATCCTCAAAACATTAGACCAATCTGTAACGTATCAGCCCAAAGGACTGCCTTAATACCACCCTAAAAGTAATTCAAATACTTATTTGCAACTACCTATGATACGGCTTAAAATATTTAATAATATAATATGAACAATTCAGTTTTTCCTCTTTTATGCAAAAAATTAAATTAGCAATTATTTCACAGGTTATATTGTTTGACTTACAACTGACGTATACAGCATACAGACGATCCCGTCCAATATCACAGTTCCCCAAAAAGGTATTCGACTTACTTAAGAAAAGAACAGACAAACACACAATAATTCAGCAACAATACAGAAAATGTTGGTTTTCTCCGTTTTTGTAGTGGCATCATCCCTTTAATATCAGGCTTGGTCAAAGATATAAGATGTTTTAAAATGAGCTTTGTTTCTTTGATTCAACACTCTCCATACATGGATATCATCTTGATAATTGGCACTCTCGCAACAACATTTTGACCGAGATTTTTGTAATTGGCAACCTCAAAGTCTGATACGTTTAACAAGATTAGTTTAACAATTTTGCCAACTTTGTTATCCCACATGCAAAATCGTTATTATTTTATGAACCCTAACTTTCTTTTTATAGTCAGTGTACGTATACAGTGTGTCCCAAAAAAAGGAAACCAGCAATAGATTGCTTATTTCTCAAATATGAATAATAATATTCAGTCCTTTTTCTTATGATACCAAAGGTGTTTATTTTTCTTCACGGATGACTGAGTTCTAAGAGATTTAAGTGACCATGTCAGAAATTGGTTTGTGCCACTTTTTCTGTCATGAATGGGTGAACAATGAGGGATTAAAATGGCTATGCAAGACCATGTCCTATTCTAAATACACATTTCTGAACAAGCATTCCACATAGCAAGTTCATGCAGCTGACTCAAGATCAAAGAGTATTCGAAGTGGGAGCCTTCAGCAGGTTGCTGATCAGTTTAGAGTACGCTTCCCAGATAGAAATGTACCTGCTAAGTCGACAATCTGGAAGAATATAAAGAAGTATCAGAGAGAAAGAACAAGTCTCAATCTCAACAAGGGACGTTCTGGAAGAAGAAGAACAGCTCGGTCTGATGAAAACATCAGGATTGTCCAAGACCAGCTCGAAAGGAACCCCCAAATCTCTACCAGAAGAAATGGTGTAGGAATTCCACACACTTCGTTTAACAGAATTGTGCGACTTGACATTAGATGGTACCCATACAAACCTCAAAGGCGTCACCAACTTCTTGATGCAGATCTACCAAGACGACTTCAGTTTTGCCGTTGGCTGATCGTCCAAAATCGCTTGTTTTTGGATAACTTGGTCATCGGGGATTAAGCCTCCTTTTTTATGAATGGGAGAGTCAACACCCAAAATGTCAGAGAGTATGCACCACTGCATGAACCACCAGCCTTCAACTATGATGGTAACATGAGTAGAGAGAAGATCTCCCTTTGGATCGGGCTTTGTGGAAATGGGACAATCATTGGACCGTGTTTCTTCAATGGCAACCTTAACGGAGAAGATTACCTTAGAATGATCAACGATGATATTGTACCAGAGCTGCAGGAGCACTTCCAACAGCAACGGGGTGGTGTATTCAGAAGACTGTGGTGGGCCCAGGACGGTGCTCCTCCTCATCGTCGGATTATCGTTCGGGACAGATTAAGGGCGCTGTTCAACAGAAGAGTGATTACCTTGAACCACGAGATTGAGTGGCCACCGAGATCCCCAGACCTGACACCCTGCGACTTCTTCCTTTGGGGTTATCTCAAGGGTAAAGTCTTCACAATACCACCAAGAGACGTTGATGATCTAAGGGCCAGGATTGTCGCAGCAGTGGGGATCTAAGGGGACAGAGAGACATCATCAGGGATGCACTACGTGCGATGAGATCAAGGGCAGACATTTGCATTGAAAGGAATGGGGTCATGTTGAAGGACGATGGGGTTAAAACAACTTTGAATGGATATTGGGATTTAAATGGGGTGTTAAATATGATATGTGTAATTTTAACTGGAATAAATGAGTAAAAGAGTGATATCCTGATGTTTGTTGTTACTTATCACTTTGTTATGATGGTGAAATTGACTTGGCTGAAAGTGTTCACTTAAATCCCTTATAACTCAGTCATCCGTGAAGGAAAATAGACAACTTTGGTATCATAAGAAAGAGGACATTATAATCTATCAGATGGTAGCTGTGAAATGTTCCTATCATTATTCATATTTGAGAAATAAGCAATCTATTGCTGGTTTCCTTTTTTGCGACACCCTGTATTTGAGCATTGAAATGAAGTCATCTGTGAAATATTAAAGTTCTAGACAACCGCAAGGAAGGCACATGTCACATCATTATCAACAAACTTACCTTGTGTAAGTGTCACTGATGATGCATAAAGGTTTACCGAGATGAAGACAAGCTGAAAAGAATGGACAAATATCGATAAATAGGGATGTCAAAAGGGGAAATATCAAAAGTATCCAGAATACAGTATAGACGAAAGCGTAACTGGTAACTGAACAAAACTGGTCGTAAGAAAAATATATTTATATTTATATTAGAGTATTTTTCCAGTCCGTGGCCAAACTATACTTACAGTTTGAAATGAGTAAATAACAACTGCCAAGATTCGAATAGCCTTGTTAAAGCGTAATTCAAGGTACTGAAATAAAACAAAATGGGGAGAAACCATTAGATCCCTGTTTTGCTTCTCAGTCGTTATGGTTTTGAAGAAAAAACATAAAGTTTATGGTGCATTAAGACTATCATAATACATCTACAAAATAAACATTTCACTTCATTTCAAGGTCACAGAAAATATACCACCAGGAATATTACCTAGATATTTGTAACCGTTGACTATCATAACCCTTTCATTGTTTAGTACCACTTTCACTCTATTTAAGGTATCCTCTTCAAGAAACATTATTTTAAATTTTGACATTATTTTCTGTCACTCCATATATTGTCTAGTACATAACTAGATGAACAATTCAGTTGTGCTTGTAACCTAGCTACGGAACCAGCTATGTCGTCAGCATAGAGCAATACAAAGCTATTTGGAAAGTTTTCATCTACAAAACGATAGTAAATATATTGCAGCTATTGTGTGATTGTAAAATGATCTTTATCTTACCTCAAAAACGCTGGTTAACTTTAAACCATGATAAATCGGTACATAAACATGGGCGGTTACCAGGAACGCAATTGACACCCCGGTCACTACTAACCAAAGCATAGTGCCATGGTGATATACTTCTGATGGGAAACCAATAATTCCTATCGTTGAAAGGAGTGTAGCGGCGATCGACACGGACACTGGAAACACAGACATTTTTCTTCCGCCAAGTAAAATGTCTTCGGTAGTATTTTGCTTCTTTCCTGTACATCCATAGTAAAATCCTATAAGTATTGATAACAAAAGTGCAAGTCCGAACACAAGCCAATCTGCCCAACTGAACTGTGCTACAGCCTCGACCTCCATGACATCATTTCCTGGTTCTACTTTGTTCTGTAGAATTATCATACACTCTACACCTTTCGACGCTGAGAAACTATACGTGAGTTGTTACACATATCCGATACGTTTTCGGGAGAATGTATGCTTCCGACCTATACGGTTCATGACTATTTGAAAAGAAAATCTGCCCTTTGCATTTTATGACACTTTTACGGTATGTTTTAAATTGTACACAATAACGTTACCTCATAAAATACGGATGGCCTATTTTTTCACTCATGCACAATGAATAACGGGAGGTATGATGCACCGTTGCTCATATTTCTTGAATATTTAGCCACTTTACTTTCTTGGCTTAAACAATTACAAAAGATCTATTTGAATCCAGAAGAATGCAAATTGATTGTTCTTATATGACCAGTTAGGAAGGTTATACAAAGAAAATGTAATCAGCCCCAATTGCAAGAATACGACGTATGTCCGATTATTCCCCAAGTGATTTTAGACAGGCATATATATTTCACCAAGAGTACTTTATGGGCATAAATACAGTGTTTTTATGAAAACAATATGTTTTCTTTTGAGGGAAGTCCCCATGATGATAAAAATATCAAACAAACAATTAAAAAAATTATGAATAGGGACCCCATGTCAACATCTTTACCAAAATGTTGAGCCTATTTGCTCAAAATAGGATATTTTTCTGATTTTTATTTGTATGAAAAGATTATCCAACAAGGGTTCAAAAAGTCTCTAAAAGTAGAATTGTTGGAAGATATAGTTTTGAAGATACCAATTTTCGATGACCATAATTATGCTGAAAACAATGGATAGCATGAGTTTTCCCTATGGGAAAATAACATGTGATATGTTGTTAGTGCATTTCAATACACATCCCCTTTTCAGGTATTGTTAATATAGTGTTGAAGAAACGTTTGGTATGTTTACATTGAGGAAAACAAGATCATCGTTTTAGAAAATAAGCCTGACATTTTTTAAAAGTACCAAGGTGGGGTTCTAATCCATAATTTTTCGGGATGTTTGATTAATATTATACTATCTCTAGGACTTCACGTGAAAGAAAACATATTGTTTTAATAAAAACACTGTATTTATGGCCAGAAAGTACTCGTGGTGAAAGATATGACCGTCCAAAATCAATTGCCATACCTCACATGGTCCTTTCAATGGATTTTGACGGATTAACTCAAGCAAAATAAGAAGTATTGTTAGGCCTTGGTCACATTTTCTCTACGACAGCCGTATGGCGGCCGTAGCTTCAAAATATCGATATAGAAAAGCAAAGCTCAAAAACAAAGAACTTCATCGTTTGCTTATATTTTTTGCATAGTATGTATTGATGTTTGGTGAAACAGTTGGCGTGGTCCAAGTACTCTCACAACACAAAATATCATAATATCATCAAACGATAAAATTCTTTGTTTATTGAGCCCTGGCGCACCAAATATTTACATAGGCCGGGCCCATATATGATGAACATATCCGATTTTTTATAAAATCACACAAAAACTATCTGATGCACAAATAGTTTGTATAGATAGTGTATCTTGAACACCAGTTTTTATGAGCGCTTGGGACGTTGAATCGAAAGGACGATTTCAATATATATCTACAGGTCGGGGAAAATGTATCCTGCGTCGCTATAGAATGAATTTCACAACTATTTCCACAATTATATTGAAATTAGGTATCAACTATTCATATGTGAGTATTTTCAAAAATGATCATAAGCTCCGCACCAACGCTCATTTTGGCCACGCCAAATATTCAATATATATAACGCAAAATCAAATTCCTTGTGCTGTACCTGTTGTTATGGCGAAATTATATGTTACTATGAAATTCACCGTGAAGCTCACTGTCTCGGATGTGGTTACAGACATTTACATATAGAAATATCTAGAAACTAGACTACAACTTTCTGAAACGATGAAACATCTGTTTGCTCACATTTTATCACCCTTGTGTTCTACCGTACCCCTCGCGTTCAACTGTCACGCTTTATTTGGTACGTACCCTGTGTATACGGTCAATAAAAATATAGACTAGTACATGGTTAGTGTAGTTTCGAACAAGTTGGTATTCGTAATTAAATTCTCTAAATGGAAGAGCATTGGGTCGACATATATCTCATATTCTTTAAAATCAATTCAAACATGACCGTGCTCTATTCGAATTTCTCAACCAATCAGAATGCAGCATAGCCAATATAGAACGTTCTCTAATTCTCCATAGATGCACGACCATGCTCTATTCAATCTGCAATTTGCATTGTTTTGAGTGACGTCACATCTCAGCTGCACATCTGGGGCTCTGTCCGGGGATAGCTGTTCTTTTTTACTCCCTCCGTAACTACTGTAACTATTTAACTATGGCTGACTTCAAGTTTATACACCGTATAAAATCTAAAACGGGGAGTAAAATAGAACAACCCAAACAAATTCTAAAATTTTTCCGGCCGACTTCAGAATCTTGACAGCATGCGTATTCTTCCTTCATGCACGTTCCACAGACACGGCTTTTACTAATTTTTATGTTTGAATCGGAATAAATAATGATAGGCCATTCAATATGGTGAAATTCAGCACTCGTTGGACAGAATGTTAGTACAAATGCACTCACCTTCGGTTCGTGCTTTGTACAACATTCTGTCCAACTCGTGCTGAATTTCACCATATTGAATGGCCTATCATTATTTATTCCTTAATTATGGCTGTTAAATAAAGACCACACATGCGTTTTTGTTATTATACTTTCCGTTGAAAACGCGTGACATATAACTGCAGTTAATTACCGGTTCAATTTTATTAGATGTTTGTTCTTTTTATTTATTGATAAAAATGTATATACGGGTAGCATTAGAAAGAATGTCGCTTATGAATTAATAAAAAGTACTCATTGCCCAGATTTCTTATTTCCTTTATATTCAAACTGTATCCCAAAAATAATTGAGGATTGTACTTTTAACCCAGACTTTATATTGTATGTTATTCATGTATTGTTGGTGGTACAACTCGCTGGGTCAGGATGCCTTTTTAATTTCAGACTCGTTGACATGTATTGTTTCAAATGTACTGTTCTATGCAATGTTTTGCAAACTATGCTATAGAAGAAATGTCACGATTAATTAAAAAAGCTAAATCGCTTTGAAAAAGTACTCATTGACCAGGCTATTTTATTCAAAAGTACATCCCAAAAAATAATTGAATAAATAGCATATGATATATGTTTTGCCGTGAAATGAAGACAGATTTTTTTATAATTACATACTAATCTATTTATTGTTTAGTAGACCAATGCGAACAGAGCAAGATATTAACAGATACTAAGCAAATGATCGATCTTACTATTTATCTGTCCTAAAGAATCAATATCTTGCAAAAACATCATTTGAAAGGAACACAACCATCTTTAGCCACGCTAATAGTCACATATTGCATGATTCTTTTTATAAGGTGCATAGGCATATATAATGTGTTTTACTTCACTATCAAATTATACACTCTGAATAAAACTGGCCCCATTAATCATTTTAAAATCCCATTAAAATTTAATATTTGCGAATAGGTTCTACAATATGCATAATACAATAAAATTGTTTTTATTTACAGTATATTTTACTCCGCTTGGTCGGTAAAAGAAAAATATCGGTTTATTTGTATAATCAAGGTAAGTTGTGTTTTGTCCCCCCCCCTCCCCCCCCCCCTCCTTCCCCCCCCCCCCCCCTTCCCCCTTTTCGATATTTTATTTCTTCAACATTTCGACCAAATTAATCTCAATATCTATGAAAAGTATATACCCAAAGTTTTTTGTCCTAAAACGGTATATCTTATTTACACCTATCACATTTCCCACCCTTTGCCGGATAGCAAAATGTTATATGTTGTGTTGAAAAAGTAAAATATTCACCAAAAGATGCTCCCTCCCCAAAAGGTTACTATGCCCTACTTTTAACCTTATTTGACATATGTTTGGGATCTGTCGATTTTAAGACCTATAATATGGTAACTTAGTTTTTACTGCACCTCTTCGACCTTGGAAACGCCAGAAAACGCCTTTGAAACGTCATCTGCCCCCCCCCACCCCCACCCACCCACTAGTGTTATAAAAAATACGCGTACATTGCCCGTATTAGAGTTAATACCATGTTAACGAATACAATAGAAAATAGTAGTTCACGAATGCAGATGTTCCTTAAGCTAAGAAATCTAACAAAGTGTCATTGCAACGGATATCAGGAATCGTTTATTGTTCATCTTCTATGTATTATGTGACTCTCTACGGATTGCATCCTTATCGAAAGTACCATTTTCAATAATGGCAGTTGTCGTAATGGCGCCATTATTCATCTGGAAAAAGAACATATTAACGTCGTTACAAGGAACAAAGCAAAAAACATGGGTACTTATCAACAACCTGGTCGAGGTTTTTTTAAATAGGATTTATAAATTAATATAAATATAAAACACGTATCGATTAAGTAGAAAACCATCTTCTGTGAGCAAGCATTGTATTTACAAAATACAGTACGACAAGGACGGTTAAGGTTTACAAAATATTCTTATAAGAAAATATTAATGCTTTTCAGTTAAATGAGTAGATGTGAAAAAAAGCCTTATATCAAAATACTGCACTTGAATTGGGAGAGAGGGGGATTAGACATCGTGATTTGGGATAATTTGGGTTTTATTTCATTATGACTTGTGTACTCTTAGATTTTCTTTTTCTAGCTGTGTTCTGTAATAGTTTTTAACGTTGCGCTTTGATCGAAACCATTTTACAGCATTTGTATTCTCAAGACCAAGGAGAAGGTATCAAAGTAGTCATAGAACACATCAAGAATGAGAAAACATCTGATACAACACAGTCATAAGAAAAACAACCCGTACCAAAATCATAATCTACCGTGAAAAGAAACAGTGTCTAAATACCCCTCTCAATCATTCAAGTAGCAATATCACAATCCGACACCCTTACACCAAGGGACATTTCATTCATACTGAAGTCATAACAATAAATGTTGACGGATGAATTTAAAATTAATAGCCCGGATTCATAACATCAAAAATAGTTACTGGTACACATACAACATAAAGCATGCAGTCTGAAATGATGCGGGACAGACAAAATCAATCAAATTTTGAAGTCCACTAGTGTATCAACGGGCCAACATCCACCCGCAAAGCCGACGCCATAATGCAAAACAAAATATTTCACGATGGTATAACATTATGAATAGCTTCCATGTAGATAAATACACAAACTTTTTAATTATCGAAAGCTTACTGGTGATTTCTTTCTTCTGCAACATCCAGAACGTGGTTTAAATACTGACCAAAACAGTTTCTCGTCCAGGTCTTCTGCTTTATATTTTCCTACAACATGAGTTTCTAATGGAGTGCAACGTACATGCTGATCCATTTCATTTCTCTAAATGAGTCAACGTACATAAGGATGATCCATTTCATTTCTCTAAATGAGTGCAACGTACATAATGATGATCCATTTCATTTCTCTAAATGAGTACAACGTTCATAATGATGATCCATTTTATTTCTCTAAATGAGTACAACGTACATAATGATGATCCATTACATTTTACTTAATGAGTGCAACGTACATAATGATAATCCATTTCATTTTTCTAAATGAGTGCAAAGTACATAATGATGCTCCATTTCATTTTTCTAAATGAGTGAAACGTACAAAATGATGATCTATTTCATGTTTCTAAATGAGTACAACGTACATAATGCTGATTCATTTTCATTTTTCTAAAGATCCATTTAAGGAATAAAGAATCCAGTATCATTTTTTTATAAAAGTACGAGTACATGCACTAAACCGTACACATTATGCACTTATGAAAATGCACACGGGTAACCCAATAGACTGAACTATTCAATATTCAATATTGATATACATGTCATCACTTTCAGCTGCAACGCTGTACTAAACAGCTTTCATTGAAATAGGCCTTATGAGAGAATTTCTTAATATACTGTACATTGTTACATTGTTAGTTAATGTTCTCAATGCAATATACACTTTCATATATATTTTGGCTGATACAATATTACATATTATTACATATTTTGTTTGACTTGGATGTTTCACGCAACGTTTATTTATTACCTGTTACACAAGCAGCAAGGAGGCTTACAGGAAGACCAACAGCAAACGTGACAATCAACGCAATTAGCGTATACCAAACATACGATACATTATACAGGTAGAATATACCAGACCTACAAGTCAGTAGAAGATTAATTCTTCCTCCTTCAAACTTGACCAATAATCACAAACATGACAACAATGCAAATACTGGAAAAAAAACTGGAAACCCTAACACAATTTTCCTAATATCTTTGTCATTTTAAGAAATAACTTTGCACATTTGTACATCACTCAATTTCCTTTTTGCCTACCCTCTTTCATGACCATCAGATTGATAGTCACAGTGTTACAGCACTTTAAAGAACATACCCGGTGGCCACTATTGCGCTGTAGACCAACCTGTACATGTCGTCAAAAATGTCCCTACCTACGGGAATATGGCAGAGATAGAGTATATAAGAATGACCTCAGGACAATTGCAGACCTCAAAAGTGAGATCATCTGTATCATTCAGGTCATACCTGCTGAGGAATGCATTTGGATCATTGACAACTGTGCAGGTTTGCCTACAGCGCAATAATGCCAAACCTGAAGCATGTTGTTCAAAGTGCTGCAAAAATGTGACTATCAGTCTGATGGTCATGAAAAACGGCAGGGTAGTAGGAAATTGAATGATGTACACATGTGTGAAATATCAGGGAGTAATTTCTTAAAATGACAAAGATATGAGGAAAATGCAGGGTTACCGTTTTTTTACCACCCTGTAGATTCGTTTAAAAATCGCCAAATGAAAAACTGAACTAATCAAGCATTGAAATATTCTTCATCTTATGAATGACAATATGACCTCATTTCAAAGGGCAGTATAGAGAAATCTTGTCCCAAGAGACCCCCTTTTGCCCAAGGCTCCACTGAAATGAGCTTATAACCTTCATTAACATCTACTGAAAACTAACTACAAACTAGTTCGCCCTGAACGTTGCATCGCAACTTAATGAAATTATACAACACAATACATAGGCAGAAACAGATTAGTATCAGCACGGTCCTTACTCATAGTCCAATTCAGGCAGGCCATTTGTAAGTGCTCCAACTGTAGCATTTGAGAACGATGTGTTTAACTCGAAAGGATGAACTGTCGGTGTCATGTTGAAGTATTCTTGTGGGGTAGTATTAAAAAACGCCGATGCAGTCATTTTGTTGTGATATTCAGATGTATTCACGATACAGCCCGAAATATCAGTCGGCAAGTTGTCTGGTCGAATCTTAAACATCAGAACTCCAGCATTGATCCAAATGAGAATTCCAAGACTTGAGACAAGCCCCGCAGCTGCACCCTATTAACAGGTTTTTCAATTTGAATAGTGTTTTTCTTCAACAAAATCCATTATGTATATTGGTCAAAGTATCATAGATTATTGCAGTAATTACATGTACTTACCAAAGCATTGGCACGAGGACATGTTATTCCTATTGTGAACATTCCAAAGAGAGGTCCCCCGAGAATACCTAACAGTTTCCATGCAATAATTACAAGTGTGTCCTTCGCCTCTGCTAGTAGAAAGGCCACTGCTATGGTTGCTAATCCGAAGAATATACCTGAAATCAATCCAGGCAAGTTACGATTTTCAGTACAATTCAATAGCATTTAAAGTATTGTGCATTGATTTGATGCCGTTTGGACTTACCAAAACATTTAGTTATGTTTGTTGCAAATCTTTCTGTCATGGGTTTCTTATGTACTGCTGTATAAATAGGTTTCGTCACATCTTCTAAATACACAGCAGCGAGAGAGTTCTGTCCAGATGACATCGTGCTTAAAGTTGAATAGATAAAAATATTTTGAAATGAAATTGTCATGAGGTACGACTGATGAAATAATTGTCTCTATAGGCCTACTTCTTTTTAACTCATTTTATAGGTTCACCCTAGAACTATACGCAAACATTGAATCAAATCAATGAATATATCATGTTGCAATGTACATCAAACGCGTACTTTCTACGCTTAACAGTTTAACTACCTCATGGCTGCTGCAGTCACTGTTACAATAAATAGCCCAGGCATTCCTTTCACAGAGCCAAACAAATCCATGACAAAATAACCAATCATCTAAATTAATTGCACATATATAGAGATTTGAATAAAAAGAAATTTGGTGAAACACATCATCATCGATTCCTATCGAATAATAACCTATCGAAGAAAACAACTGAAAGAAGTTTTTGAAAACAATGGCACGTGGCAAGACATTGTTTCTTCATATATAGGAACGTAGTTTGGGATAGTTGGGGTTTGTTAATCCTCATGACTGGTTGTATCAAGAGTTTCTATGAAAATTCTGGGTGTGTCGTTAACAATTCGGGAGTTCTGGACGAAAGATCAGAAGATTTCTTGAAGAATCCGAATCTTTTTTCTTAAAAATCAGGGCTTTTGACGATTGATGGTGATAACTAGACTTATCGTAAAAGTTTCAGAATTGCCGCTTAAAAGTTAATTAGCTCTAGAACTTGATATCCCCTATCGTATGTGCGAATTTGGAGAAAATCTGATGAGCGTTTTTTCCCGAAATCGCAAGGACAAGATTTATAGCAACACCTTCAAAATGGCTGTGATACTAACGTGCTCAATGGTTTACATTTATAGACAAGACAAGACAAGACATACCTTGTCTGGAATATCCACATGTCCAAGTTTCATCAGATCACAGGAAGCATATGATGCAAACATCACGACTCCAACCAAAGAACAAACACTAATATGTATCGACGACAATACGACGTTGATATACAAAGACCTAACATAATACCAGAAAGATGAAGTTAGAAAGAAATGATTTTCAGATCCAAGCAAGATCAAATTCGGAACATTGTCAGGAAAGATCAAAATAAAACTATTGCCGATTACATTATTATTTAGTTATAAATTAATGTAATAGTGACAGTGATACTTTGGGTTTGGGCCAAAGTTGTCTAAAGTGACCCCCCCCCCCCCCCCGGCTACTGGCCTGTAGGTGATGCCTACCCTTGTGCCTTAATTTTAGTGTCTAGAGTAAGATATCTTTGAACGAAGTGCTGATTGCTTGAAAACAATGCAGTGTATAATAGACCCATTCCAAAGATCATTCCCCATACAGTATGGCGAGTTCTGGGATCTGGGCTCAACCTAAAATCAAGGAAATTAAAGCAAGTTTTAAGGTGTGTCAAGGTTACTTTTGTGCTATGTAGACCAAACGCTAAGTCTTTCGTTGTCAACTTCAATTATGAAATATCAAAATATACTGCATTTTACATATTCGTGCCAATTCTGTCAACAATAAACGACATCACCTGCAAATAATATATAGAAATTGTATTACGATTGAACATTTTAACTTACTCATCAAATTCTATTCTACCATGATCTGCTGCTATCCTAAAAACTTCATCAAGACCTCCAAGGTTAATTGATCCTTGTGCGATAATTGCGAGACATCCGCAAAACATAAGACCAATTTGTAACGTATCGGCCCAAAGCACTGCCTTAATGCCACCCTAAAAGTGATTTATGGAATAAATTCAGTCCACCCTTCAAACAGCTTGAAAGAAGTAGGAGCAAATAAATTGTGCAAACAATTCATTCAGTTATCAATTTCTGAATTTTTCACTTACGACTGATGTATACAGCATACACACTACTCCGTTCAATATCACAGTTCCCCAAAAAGGTAGTCGACTTACTAAAAGCAAACAAACAAATATCTAGCCCAATACAGGAAAAGTTATTTTTATCTAAGTAGCACTATGTCTGTCTATAGTCTTAGTCAAATATAATTATGAGAAATGTTTTACAAGGACCTCTTTTTCTTTGATCCAGCTCTTCCTGTACCATTTCATCTTGACAGTTTGCTCTTTATTTGTTCCGTTGTCTTAAATGCTGATTAAGGACTTGGGTTAAATGTTTTACATTATATAAAAATATTTTATTAGTACTGGTGCCCTTTTAGGGCCAAACGTACTTCCGATATACAATTTTCAATAACAGGAAATATAGCAATAAAGTAAAGAAAATAGGATTACATTTTTCAAATGACAGATAAATAAGAATCCTGTCTCTACCAATCATTAGATAATTTATCATGTCAGCAGATTCTTTTAATATAATCCCTCACTCGTCAATGGAAAATTGTCCTTTTATGGTAATTCATGTTTTTAAAATTACTACAAGTGTTTTCAAGTTTTTCAATATGAGATTTTCTGATATACTCCAATTGTTTACCTTTGAGTATATTTATTTCAAAGATATCTAACAAATTTATAAACATATTTATATATGTATTTCAAAGTATCGATAAGTGTATCCATAGTCTAGATAGATAAATGAATAAATAAAATGAATGTATAAGCTATAACATGGAGAGTAAACCTAAGTTTTTATCTTTTTATCATCTAGCGACATGAACAACAAAGGCACATGTCGCATCATTATCAACAGACTTACCTTGTGTAAGTGTCACAGAAGATGCATAAAGGTTTACGGAGATGTAGACGAGCTGAAAGAATGGATAAATATCGACAAATAGGCATCCAGAGTCTCAGAAGGCGGACGATCAAAGCATCATAGTGTGGACAAGAGAGGACATATTAAGTTACTTATCATAATGAAAACAAATTTCGATTCTACCAAAGAATGGTCAAAATCGATGTCCAACGACAAACGTCCTTTTATGACGTTGATAAGTAAATTCAATTGCAACTATATCTAGAATAGACTAGAACGGTCTAGACCGCCAGAACGAACTCTATGACGCGGTATCGCCGCCAGAACCGCGCGAATGATCGCGCGACTAATTCATTAGTCGCGCGACAATTTTAGAGTTGCGCGATCATAATCAACCGATAGAAAGTGATAATTTATTCGCGCGATTGTTTCTCAAGTCTCAACTTCGCCCGACTTAAATGAACCATTCAAAACCATGTTTTCAAAAGAGTGCCACCATTTTGATTGGAAGTCCGAAATATTCGATTCAACCACTAATTCTACTTATTAGTTGATCTAATTGCTGGTAGGGGTGCCGAATTGAAGTAGTTTATTAGAGGAGTTCGGCGAACAGTTCATAATGCAGCCGTTGGAAACGGCAGTTAAGAGATAAATAATGGTATTTACAAGTCTGGCTATTCATAGTACCCATCACAAAATCTTTACTTAAATACGTAGTTAACCAATATTCATTAGTAGTGTTATTTGGTTTTGAGTTACTCCATTTGCCCAACTATTTATTCGGAAATATTACCAACATTTGAAATACAATCATGTGGTTTAAAATAGGTGAATTTAGTTTTGTAAATGTTTAACATTGTAATTAATCATACGCATGGGTTTCCAATCAGGATACCAATATCCACTGGATATTGTTCCAGGTTTATACCACTTTTTGCAGAGAGTATGGACGGTAATTTTAGATTATGGATAACAGATATTAGATTATAGATAACAATATTGAAGACAAATGGCAAAATAATCTATTAGATATGATTTTAATCTCTCTTTATCCCATTTATAACACAACTGAAATAATTGAATACATTTTCTCAAGCCCTTGTGCTCGGGGTACTAAACTTGAAATTCCTTACGTTAATTCGAGGAAAGTTTCTAATGATGCATTAATGAACCCCGCTCAAGTCATCCCTTGCAAAAATTAAAACCAAAACAACATAAATTGAATAATATCAAATTCTGTCAATTTTTTTTTTATCTCTCGAACTAAGTACAATTTTTAAATGTTTATCTTTACATTAAGTTACGACTGAGACAAGGCATCATGAGCCGATTTAGAAAAGCGAAAGGGCAAAAACCAATTAAACACCGCGTCAGTGTGCGTTCTACTATCTGTTGCCTAAAAATTAGCCCGACGTATTTATATTAAAACACCTTATAGACAATACATGCATTTTAATTTCACAATTACTGATTAGTACTGTATACCTTGCGAAAACGCGAAAATTAGATGTGAAAATATAAGTGTAATATAGTATTTTATGGCATGCAAAAATGATTTTTAACAAAATTCCTGATGATATAAGAATTCCTATCAAATTTGTTATCATTAACTCATCTGCTTATTTGCATTGAAAACTAAGTGATTTAAACCTATATAAACCAAATGGAGAAATAACACTTAACAGTTATATACGATAGTATATATTTGTATTTCAGATGCGTAATAATCAGTTTTTAACAACATATGACGATATAAACTTCAGTTATCATAAAACATTGCATGTGCTTTCTTTGAGGGCTGGAGATAACATGTCGACCTGTCCTGTTGATAGACCTGTCCGACAGTGTGCCAATGGCTTTCATTTGTTGGTATGACACGGGCGAACTTAACAATATTAGGCCGCATCATTGTGCTACCCCATTGGTTGGGTATCATCGGGCGACGGTAACTCAATTTTCCGGGCGGTTACTAATGCAGACACGCGATTTCTATTGGTTAAAATCAGTCGCAGGAATAAAAAACATTCGCGCGAAAAACATGAATTATTCGCGCGACCATTCGCGCGGTTCTGGTGGCGATACCGCGCCATTCAACTCAGCTAGGCGATGACGTCATAACCATGAGTTTTTTTTAGTTCGAGACGCGTGAGCTCCTTGTGTTTAATTCATTTATCACCGCCTTTGGAGGTCTATTCTCGGGATATGAGTAGTAGCTTAGGAGACTTATATTTCACCATTGATTTGATCAATGGATTGAGCCATAGTTTTAACTTAGTTTTAAATGTATGGTGGTAATACTGATAAACATTGTCCATTCTAGCTTTCACTATATTGCCCCCTCCCAAATTGAGGTTAAAGATATTCTGTAAATGTGTAAATGTTCAATATTTTTTGCATTTTTGACTCGTTATATTCTTTGTGTTTTGAATGTTGCCCATTATGCTTTGTCACTATGATGTAATATAAGATAATACCAAGAGGATCAATTCAAAAAAGTCTTATAAATGTAAATAATGATTATTTTGATAATGAATAGAAACAGTGACAATAATGATGAGAAAAGAGTGATTTTTTCTTCAAAAGGTTATTTTATATATGGTAATAGAATGACCTATATTTTGAAATATAAAGGTCAGAATGATCATATTTATGGATCTGGTTATCAAATAAAGTCCCTTCTTTGATATCCTGTACAATTTCTTCATGCATTGTACATGCATTCTTAGAACACTCTCTCAATAATGTTTTCGCAATCATTATAAACGCATATAGCTGTAGGGACCGGGGGCTCGATGGGTTCGGACGAACCCCCGGTCGGGATTTTCTCCCCAATATTTGTGGAAAAATTCATTAACCAGAAACATATTATATATTCAATTTATATGACCAGTAGATAAAAAATGATAAAGTTACACTTGTCTTCAAAGGTTTGTCAACCTTAGGCACGGGTTGGGATTGTCTAGTTTTGGGAAGATCCCGGAGCATTATGGCATTATGCAAAGAAGAAATATCAATAATTTCGCACAATTTATTTTCCAACTTAAAAGCTGCTCCATCTCCGGTGAAATAAACCAAGTATCTTAAAACTGATGAAAACACATTTTCTTTCAAATCTGTGCGACTCTATTTTGTAAACTTTAAATAACCTAGCATATTAAAAAGTTGCCTCATTTGGTTTGCAACAGATTTGATTAATTTCTTGATCAGTAACGTATTATTCGCAGCTAAAGGGGACATTATTGAATCTACTATATTCGGGCCGATATTCCATAAAACCTTGCCAACTTGGTTAAAATGCATTAACTATACGATGTTGTAAGATACCCAGCGTCTGTTAAATTGATTTAAATCAAAGTTAGACCAGATCGATTTATTTGAACCAATCTAAACAAACATTATTAAATGAGAATAAATAATTTTTTCTCAATATCCCAGATGCGAGTAGAAATAATCTTGATTTACGTCATTAAAAATTCACAATTCAGTCAAACTGATGTCATATTTGGAATCTACATGTAGAATTACATTTAGAAATGTGGTTTTGAAAAGAGTTAATTAACTTTGAAAATTTATTTTCTTTGAAAATGTGACTTCTAGGTCGGGGAGATTCCCCATAGACCCCATGTTGTAAAACCACAAAAAGTGAAGTATTTTTTCTTATGTT